GAGAATGGGTTTTCTCCATGGTGACATCGGACGTGTAAGGATCAAACGGAGAGCCGCTATTATCGGGCGATGAAGTAGTTTCTGGCATGGTTCCCGGGCAACACCCACGGTTGCAGGTACGATTTGCAAAACAAAAAGAAAGCGAAGAGGGATCAAAATTAATCACACTCCAAGGTGGGTATGTCCTTGAACGAGGAGTGGAAAGCTAGAAAGACAGAGACTCAGCAGTGGATCAAGCGGACACAACAAAAGATGAGGTCCATTTGGATTCACCGGAGCCGAAAAATGATAACAGGAAAGACCGGTCCGAGTATACGCGTTCGATAGTCCAAGGACACTTGGAAAAATGCTCCTTGGGAGGTGGTTAGCCAGAGGGGAGCAAGATGAATTGAAAACACAAGATGGCCAAACCAGGCACCGCTTTCGAAGGAGAGCCAGTGAAACACTAAAGAGGATGAAAATGCAAGACAAGAAAAGCAAGATCCCAAAGAGCCACAAAGTCGGGCACCTAGGCTTCAAGGAATAAAATGCAATAAGGGAGGAGATCGCAGCTCGAACGATGACGAGATGCAGCTCCCTAACATACACAGCGATGAAGAGATAAGTCAGGAGAGCGAGAACGAGAAGAGAATTGCATTGGAAGTTGTCTTTGGAGAGGAGCACAGAAAAAAATCAGGCCAGATCGCGCAAGAGTAACGTTGCAGCGAGGAAACCAGAATCAGCAAGACATGTAGCTGGCAGCCACGCTACACATACACTTGGAAACAGGATATTCAGGAAAAATAATGACAAATACGGATATTGCGCGTGGTGCATGATAGGAGATGGTAGCTGGTATGGACTCGTTGCGGCACGTTGTTGTTGATGGCGATGGAGGTTGGGGAAAAATATCAGGACCAGCTCGGAGCGGGGTTTGTCCGACCACGCCTCACTCTTACACCCAATCAGGACGGGCGTCGGGTGTGCCCAGCAAATTATCACGTGTATTCCACGGGTGGCCCAGCTCGCTGCGCCACTCACATGTAGACATTACATCAGCCTCTCCACAACTGTCTTACTCAGCGGTGTGGCTCAGCTAGTTCCCCACTCGCCAAAACCTCCAGGAAACGCAACAAGAAGAAACACCGCACCTGGGAAACAAGAGGATATCCAAATTGGACTGATTGTTTCAATATCTAGGCCCAGGCAGTTTGATGGAAGGATATCTGTAATCATTCTGTTTTTTTTTCACTGCTGTTCGTCATTCACCTGCCCATCCACCGCAGTTTGTCTCCAACCACTTGAGGCATTCCCATTCTTTACCTTTACTCCGTATCCCAAGTGAACAGCGCCCATTTTTACTCCCAGCCATCAGTTGAGGAGGGACTGCACTGAACTACTTGGTTGGAATTCCGAGACATAGGTGGTTAGTAGCTCCTATACCACATGGTTGATTTCTTCATACCCGAAAGCAAACTTGTGAAGAGTTCCCAAGGCAGCCATTTCTCATAGGTGTCCCTGGGGAGCCGGCGCATTAAAGTTGATTCAATATCATTGGCTTGACCACAGTCTAAAGCACTCTTGCTGCTGGCAATTATTTGTTTAATCCTTTTTATCCTCCTTCCGGGTTCTCACCGGATACCTTCGCTCCTCACACCCACCTCACCATGGCGACCCTAAACCTGTCCACCAATGGACCATCAATCTCGAAAAGTTACCGTGCAGTGGTAGAGGCTTCAGCTCCAACCGGCCCAGCTGCTGCTTCACCAACATATGGGCAATGGGCGGTATTTGTGGTATCAACACCTCTGGTCAATGCATTCCAGCAAGATAGTGCAGGGAAGGAAAGCGTCTTAAAAGTCCAAAGTAGCGGAGGTATACTATTGTCCCATCCGTGGAACCAGCTACGGGAATCCAAAACACGGCTAACCGATTCGAACAGAAGGGGAACTTGAAGATCTTATCGAGGATTTCTCCGACGGCAGGGTACAGTTTGCGTATGTGAAAGTTAAAGATCCAAACACTGGTCTCCCTAAAAATGTCCTGATTGGCTGGTGCGGCGAAGGAGTCCCGGAAAGAACAAAAGGCTATTTTACAAGTCATCTGGCTGCTGTTTCTAAGCTCTTACATGTGTGTTATATCACCATTGCCGGCCGGTTGTACCTATAAAATACTGACAAACTATAGGGATACCATGTTCAAATTACTGCTCGCTCGGACCGGGATCTTACTCCCGAGACCATTGTACAAAAAGTTGCCGACTCCTCAGGATCAAAATACTCTGCAGGAGATGCCGCAGTACCCACGAAACCCGGTCCCAAGCCGACCGTCGCATCAAAGCCAGTTTTTACTCCTTCTCGGTCTGGCGGCGCTTTCAAGCCTTTGGCTGGAACACACCGAACGGCAGCACGTGCCCAGGAAGATGTCGATGACGATGGCTGGGGAGCAGATGCGCCGCCGGTTACAAGAACTCAGCTTGAAAAGGTCAAACCTGCATATCAGCCAACGAAGGTAAACATGCAGGAAATCATGTCGCAGAAGCCGAGCGTATCAAAATTCGAGCATCGTCCCACGGACGAAAATCCTTCGAGCACCGTTATAAAAGGAACTTACCAACCAGTTGGGAAAGTTGATATTGCTGCCATCCGTCGACAAGCTCGTGAATCCGGTCAGTCACACGATGACCGTCCCGAACCGGTAAAGGGTGCCTACGAGCCAGTTGGAAAGGTAGATATTGCCGCGATTAGAGCAAGAGCACAGGGGCCATCAGATGGCTCTCAAGCACCACCTAGGAATCTGTCTCCCGCAATAACGGGGGGTTCAGGAGGTAGTGAGGAACGAAGAACCCTTGCGGAACGGTCTGCTGCATTCTCTTCTTCGGATCGGCTGATGACTCTTCCCAAACCGAAAGTTGCCAATAAATTTTCGGGCGCTTCTACTTTTACTGGTACAAAAGCTCCAGTTCCTGGAGGATTTGGCGTAGCTCCAACCACAAACGCTACTACAATGTCCGGTGCAAGCCGAACATTTGCTGACCAAGGGGGTAAAACACCAGCGCAGCTCTGGGCTGAAAAGAAAGCTCGGGAGAGAGGCAGTGCAGTGGAGAGCGCTTCTTCGCCTGTTGGGAGCCAACAGCCACTGCAAAGCCAGTCCAGTGGCGGAGCTGGATGGAAAAGTTCATATACCGGCAAATCGTGGGCACCGGTTCAAACGGCCCAGACGGGGGATAACGGTGCAGGCCACCGACGTTCTGGCAGCGAACTAGATGAAACAAAGATCTCACAAAAAGATGAAGAGGAAGAGCAAGATATCTCAAACAGAGGGGTCGGCTCTATTCGTGATCGATTTGCAAACGCCCCCCCAATGAGCGCTGCTGCCCCAGTGTCTAGCTTTGAACGCTCCGCTCCGTCCCCTCCCCCGTTGGATACCACCAATAAACCAGATCCCCCTCGTGGTGTCCCAATTCCAGGTCTCCCATCGCGCCCTACAGAACCAGAACAACTCTACGAGGGTCAACCCGAGCCCATTCCGAGTCCGCCTCCGCAACCCCGTTCTCCGACGCCGCAATCTCCCACTTCCGTTCCAGGCTCACCCATTAGAGTTGCAATGCCCGTAGGTATGGGATCCGCAGCTGAGAAGATACCCGATGCACATGAAGAGCAGTTTTCCTCCCCAACCGCACTACCAGTCCGCTCCCTCGAAACGCAACTTCCCCGTGAAGAAGACCTGGACGATGAGCTTACACACAACGACGCTCGAGCCGTTGCCCAGAGCGGTGCAACCGCGCTCCATCCGGTGCCGCCGGCGGCGGCAAAATCCAGCGAATCAATCCGCGCACTTGTCATTTACGATTACGAAAAGGCAGAGGACAACGAGATTGATCTAGTTGAGGGCGAGTATGTCACTGAAATCGATATGGTTAGTGATGATTGGTGGATGGGTGTGAACGCGCGTGGCGACCGTGGTTTGTTCCCTCAAAACTATGTTGAGCTTGCATCGGCCCCGGACCAGCCGGCCCCGGCGTCAGGGTCCGGATATGGCTCTGGAGGAGATGCACAACCGGATACGACTTCAGGGGTTGCGCAGCCGGGTACAACAGGAAGAACAGCAACTGCGCAGTATGATTATGAGGCTGCCGAGGATAATGAGCTTGGGTTCCCTGAGGGTGCGAGGATCACCAATATTGTAAGCTTTTCTCCATTTTTCCTTCCAATCCCTTTCAAAAAAAATGTTCTTTTTAAAAGACTTCCAGCTTAGAAGCCCTATTGCCCTCCTAAACCCACCACATGGCTAATATATTTTGTTCTCAACAGGAATTCCCCGACGAAGACTGGTGGCATGGTGAATACAACGGCCAACGCGGTCTTTTCCCATCTAATTATGTTGCACTGGATTGATTCCTGAAACACCTTTTAAAAGCCCGGATAAGCTCAGAATGCCTCCTGTGACACAGTTTTACTTGCCTGCAAAACCAGCATTTAATGCTTCAATCTTGCCGTCAATTATATTGACATTTATTTTTTTTGCAGTTGATTTTATATTATGTTTTCCTTTCTCTCCTTGCATCCACTTGTGAAACCTTTTGACATTAGACTGGTAACTCTTTAACATTTCAACCATCTTTGCGTGTTGCGGATGCGCAAAGTAACAAAATTTCAGTTTGTTTACCTAGTTAGTAAATCAATATTGTTCTCAGAATTAAAGTGAGGCAACCAGAATATCCTGGCATGGGTTTTTTAAAAAAAAAAAAAAAAAAAAAAAAAAAAAAAATACAATCATTTTATTGAGATTTGTTGTATATAAAATACATGATCATACCAATAATACTGGCTGCTAGCTTTCACCAGCAGAAAATCATTCAGCTTCCAATTTCCAATTTCACCTTCCTTACCCAAAAACCCACACCTAGCAAATCCAATTAAGCCCAGCGGCACAAACAATGATAATAAGTAACAAGGTCAAGCTGGTGCCTAACAAAGTAATAACGCTTTTGACATGTATGTTAGAACTCAACTAATCATTCATTCCCCCTCAGCCGCCTTCGCATAGAAAAATGTAGCTCCCACAGCCTCCAGTCCATACTCCTTCGCCCAATTCCGCACACCCAGCCTCACTCCGCCATAGCCCCAATGCTTCCGCTCTCTTGGGGCACTCACATTGCACGCAGTTGCCGCGTCACCCTCCAACAGCACGAAAACATACCGGTGGTAACCGGTGCATATCAGGGGTGAAGGGGGAAGGTAGGATTTCAGGATTTGCGCGGTGAGAGTGTATGACAAGGTTGTGCCAGTGAAGCTGTCTGAGTTCCTACCAATGTGTCCTTGAAGGCTAGAATACCCGGGGCTCGATATATTGCTCACGACCCAGTGGCACATTTCGCTCCAGATGGGGTGTTTGCGGCTCTTTGCATCTGGATCGGTGAGAACTATGCTGTAGAATTTTGTGGGATGGTCAGGCTGGGGTGCCCGGGCCGGACTTGGAGATGGATCTGGATCTGGAGTGAATGGAAATGGGTGGAATTCGAAGACGGGCTGTGAGCGGACGGCATCTGGAGAAAGGTAGCTGCCTAAGCTTACGGTTGTGTGAGTTGATGGGTAGCTTATGAGCAGCGGAAATGTTGGAGTGAAGTCATCAAGAACTGTGTGCAATTGTGTTGGGTGGTAAGTATGCATAAGTTCCCACGCCTACTCAACTACTAGGAGGCGTTTTAGAATTCATGACGCGGAACTGACCGTCAGGGATTATGGAGGCCGCGAGTAGACTGAAAACCAAATTGGGTCGGTCAGACAATGTCATTTGTTATATATACAAGGTTCTTGATCTGATCAAACGAAGGTTAAGCCTACGCATCGCGGATGGGAGAGTATAATTTCGTTTCCCTCTCCTGGATAACTTGTTGCGACCAGCTATGGGAGGTCATTGCAATCGGAGCAACTAAGGTCATCACCAGGATAGATATCAGTGATACGGCCAATGTGTAGTAACTCGCAGACTTTGCTTAATCTGGGCAGTGAGGAGCGATTTCCAAATCTAAACAGTATGGGGAATATATAGTGTACAGGTTGAACGAGATCAAATACATCGCCATTGGTGAGAGGAAGCGATGGGGTCTCATGCAAACTTTGAGCTCGTATCTTATTATCTACGAGAAAATTCCTGATAATCATATCGCCTCTAGAATTTGAAGCTCTGCGCATTTCCTAATCCGGTATACTGATGTCATAGCTCAAGTTGAGGCAAAGTGAAAAACTGACAATCCACGTGACTATGGCACCCTTCCAAGGTTTCAAGATGCCTTGGCATTTTGGAGCCTCAGTCTGATTGGATGAACCACGTGATAACCATCCTGATTGGGGCTTCCTGAGAAAATCCATGGATGATCTCGTAAACAACGTTGGAAGCCGGCGAAGAACTTGACGTTTTGCTTGTTGTCGCGTAACGGTGTATACTCTATTCCCAGCTTCAGATTCTTGAAGACGACAATCTTCTACCTTTCTTTCAATTTTTTGCAGGCTATACCTGATTTACTTTTCATATTTCTCAATACCTCAAACTGGCGTCTCAGAACGCCCCTCCCCCTGGCTATCTTTAGCAGCCTCTGCAGTCAAGCAAAACGGTAATCTGAGGATAAGTCATCGGGTTCGGGCAAACATCTTTTGAATATGGCGTCTTTGGGCGATGATCTGTTGGTCACGGTCAACAAGCTCCAGGATTTGGTTTTCAACACTATTGGCAATGATTCCCTAGACTTGCCACAGATTGTATGCACCTTCTTGTCGCTTTCCTATTGCGTTGCTCAGGCTATGAAGAATGGCGTTTACTTATGTTTTTTGATACCCTAACTACGATTTTGTAGGTTGTTGTCGGTTCACAATCTTCGGGGAAATCTTCTGTGCTCGAAAACATTGTCGGAAGAGATTTTTTGCCCAGGGGAAGCGGCATTGTTACCAGACGACCGCTAATCCTCCAGCTGATTAATATCCCCAGCGAACGCGATGATCTCCCTGATAACAATGAAGTCCACGTCGCACATACAGCATCCAGCGTCGCCGGACAGAAGGAGTGGGCTGAATTCCATCATCAACCTGGAAGAAAATATACCGATTTCGCCCAGGTCAAGCAGGAAATTGAGAACGAAACTGCAAGGATAGCGGGAAATAACAAGGGAATCAATAGACAGCCTATCAATTTGAAGATATTCTCGCCGCATGTGCTCAACTTGACTCTGGTAGATCTTCCCGGGTTGACCAAAGTGCCCATCGGTGACCAGCCCTCCGATATCGAAAAACAGACGCGCAATTTGATTTCGGAATACATTGCGAAACCTAATAGCATTATTTTGGCGGTTTCTCCTGCGAACGTTGACCTTGTAAACTCTGAGGCGTTGAAACTTGCTCGCCATGTCGACCCAATGGGCCGAAGGACTATCGGGATCTTGACGAAGCTGGATCTGATGGACCACGGCACGAACGCTTTAGATATCCTGTCCGGGCGAGTGTATCCATTAAAGCTGGGCTTTATCGGAGTGGTCAATCGATCCCAACAAGATATCCAAAGTGGCAAGTCGTTGGCGGAGGCACTAACAGCCGAAGCGGAGTTTTTCAGACACCATCCGGCCTACCGAAATATTGCTACTCGCTGTGGGACTCAGTTCCTGGCAAAAAGTTTAAACACAACATTGATGTCACATATTCGCGATAGGCTACCTGATATAAAAGCTCGGTTAAATACTTTGATGGGCCAAACGCAGCAAGAATTGGCAAGCTACGGAAACAAACAATTCAACGGCAAGGAACACCGAGGCTCGCTGATCCTGCAGCTCATGACCCGATTTGCATCTTCGTTTATTTCCTCGATTGATGGAACCTCTTCCGAGATTTCCACAAAGGAGCTTTGTGGCGGTGCGCGGATCTATTATATTTTCAATTCTGTCTTCGGGAACTCTTTGGAGACAATTGACCCAACTCATAACCTTTCCGCCCTCGATATCCGAACAGCCATCCGCAACTCTACTGGTCCTAGACCTAGCCTTTTCGTACCTGAAATGGCCTTTGATTTGCTTGTTAAACCTCAAATCAAGCTTCTCGAAATCCCCAGCCAAAGGTGTGTCGAACTCGTCTACGAGGAACTTATTAAAATATGCCATACCTGCGGTTCGACTGAGCTGTCCCGATTTCCCCGCCTGCAAGCCAAGCTCATTGAGGTCGTGTCTGATCTCCTGAGAGAACGACTTGGCCCTTGCTCTGCCTACGTCGAATCACTCATTTCTATTCAGCGCGCATATATTAATACTAACCATCCAAATTTCCTTGGTGCAGCTTCTGCCATGTCATCTGTGATCCAGAACAAACAAGAACAAGAGAGGAAAACTGCTATGGCTGAAGATCGACGGAAACGAGAACGACGACGGATGAAGGAACTTGGGGCCGTTAATGGAACAGCAACCCCGGATGGCGAAGAAGAACAAGATGCCGATGAAAAGTTACAAAATCTGGCAATCCGCGGCCAGAAATCTCATAATAGAAGCAGATCACCCCACATTGGTCATGCGCTGGAAAATGGCCATTCCGCCATCACAGCCACGTTAAATGGGCCTCAATCTTCCTCCTATGGTAATGGAACTCAATCAGCTGGAACTGCCAGAGATTCATTTCTCAACTACTTCTTTGGCAAAGAGGGTGCTCCTACAAGTCAGGGGCAGCTGCCCCAACCACGCCATGCCAATCATTCCACAGAGCCCAGTTTTAGCCAAAGCTTCCGACGCAATGAAGTAAAATCTCAGATTCCCGCCCAATACCCTCAGGACAATACTGAATATCCCGTATCTTCGGAATACGGCGAACCCACATTCCCAGTAGGTTATGTCCTATGATACCTTGCTAAAAATTCAGAAACAATGAATCAAATTAACCCTGTCTCTAGAATGATAACTTAGAACCGGCACTCACAGACCGTGAAGCCCTCGAAACGGAATTAATTCGCCGTCTCATTTCCTCCTACTTCAACATCGTGCGCGAAACCATTGCTGATCAGGTGCCCAAAGCCATCATGCATCTTCTTGTCAACCACAGCAAAGAAGTGGTCCAGAACAGACTCGTCAGCGAACTGTATAAAGAGGACTTGTTTCCCGAGCTTCTGTATGAGGACGACGGGATCAAGGCAGAACGCGAGAAGTGCGAGAAACTATTGGGCACGTATAAAGAAGCCGCGAGGATCGTTGGAGAAGTTTTGTAAAATATTATCTCTTTTTTATTTTTTGTGGCTGGTAATAATACTATTATTTGATACATATATTGCACGTGATTGTTCTTTCGTACCTCTGGATCTTTGAGCCTTTCTGCTTTCTCTACGAGTGTCGCCATCTCTCTCGTCTTTTCTCATCATTTGTCTCACTCGGAACAATTCTCATTTATTCCTCTTTTTGCTCCCTTTGTCGAGTGCCTTTTTTGTTTGATTTGGGTTAATCGCTCACAGGCACAGGTGCATGAGCCCGTTGGGCTGGATGAGTGGGAGGCAAACCAGTCAGTTCCAATAGACAACACAGCATCATCGATTATCGGCAGGCATTACATATAGAAAAAGCCCATGATTATACTGAACACACCCTACCGACATGGATCCCCTGGCGAGACCGAGGCAGAATATCTCCAAGAGAAAAATGGAGTCTGCACGACGGCCAAGATAAGGAGAGGGTTGGCAGGTTGGTTGCGTTAAGGTTTTCCATCCATACTTTCTTCTTTTCTTTATTGTCCGATGATTCCGTGTATATAGAGAAACAAACCTGACGTTGGATGAAAGGTCAATAAGGTTTGGGCATCAGCACTTGTCTAAATTTAAGGGTCCAAGATTGTTAATCAGCTATCAAAGTTCAGGCATCAGCCATGCCGGTCGGGTTACAGTTGAACCGTGGTTTATTTAAAGGGCCTGTTTGGTGCCAGGGCCGTACAGAAAGTGGATATTTGCCTTTTGACCGTGCAAATCTTTATTATTATCATCTTTCCCTATATGGATAGTAAACTGTTTGATGTTTTGACATTACTTTTATTACTTACAAGCAGTTTTTACACTGGATGATGATGATTATTAATTCTACTATATCATCACTTTCTCACATCAAATATCAGTGAAAAATGAATCAAAATACATGAATTGAGTGTTAGATGAGATAGTTGAGATACTCTGATTGATCACTGATAAATCTGATTAATTATTATCTATATCATTACTTTCTGAGTTGCATTATCATGATTTTTGATGATGCTTGGAGATTTCAAGCTGGTCAGTTATACAGCACAGATTTAACTTAAATAGACTTAAATCAGCCACTTTTCCAACTAATTACATTGTTGAACTTTATAAAGTGAATTAGACCTTTTTCAGCCAGATTAGCATGCAGAGAGCTGTATAAGTCTGTTAGCTGACACTGTAGAAACTCATACAGCCCTGGACAGGGTCACTGAACAGGCCCTGAAAGTTGAACATGGTTTATAAAAAGTGGGTCTGAAGAATAAACCATGCTCAGCCCTTCACTCCCTTCCTAAAATCTACGCCCACTAAACGGGTCATCTTTTACACTCCCTCAGTATATATTATTAATCAGTTGTCATAGTTACTTCAATATTCAGAGTTCTCCAACATCTGAAAAGTGGTTATGGGCTAGAATCAGTAACTAACTAAGAGTTAGAATCCAGGTTACCTAAGGAATAGAGCTCTGAAAAATATGATAAAATCACTGTCTCTGAAGCATTCAGAGTATATAGAGATGTGTGGGAGATGTGTGGGAGATATGGCTAGCACATGTAGTTTTAAAGAAGGGGTTGACATGGTTTATAGTCAAAACCACACCTATTCCGGCCCGAAAAATTAACCATGTTCAACTTTTTATTAACCACGCTCAACTATATGCCCCATGCCGGTAACTCACTCACTTAACAGATTGTTTAATCATGGCATCGGCATTTGCATTCTATATACGCGATGGTTTTCGGCTTTCGTTTCACATTATATGCCTACAACGCCACAGCCATATCTAGGCTGGGCGAGCGGGGTATATATGTATCTGTCGAAATCCCTTTTCCCATAACTAACTCCATAATTGTCGACTTGATTTCGTCTCCGTCCAGCTTCTTTTCAGGCTTTTGTTCATCATGTCAACCACGCAGATTCCTACTGCAGCTGATTATGTCATTGTGGGTGGTGGTACTGCGGGCCTAGTCCTGGCAGCAAGACTGTCAGAGGATCCGGGCACAAGCGTGGTCGTTCTCGAGGCGGGAACAAATCATCTTGAAGATCCCAGAGTGAACATTCCTGCTCTCTGGACTACGTTGTTTGGGACGGATGCCGATTGGGCGTTCGCGACAGTCCCCCAGGTGTGTTTCTATCAACTACCCGTCCCTCAGAGTACTGGATGATGCTCCTTGGAACGGCCACTAACAGTCCAGAGAATAGGTAACACTGGGTGACAGAACCATCAACGCAGCTCAGGGCAAAATGCTGGGTGGTTCCTCTGGCATCAACGGCCAGGCATTCGTTTCAGCATCAGAGCTTGTAATTGATGCATGGTCCAAACTAGGAAATGAGGGTTGGACTTGGAAAAACCTCCACCCGTACTACAAGAAGTCGTATACCTTAAATCTCCCTGATGACGAAACGTGCGAGCACCTGGGATTGAACTGGGTTGAGCCCTCTGCCCACGGTTCTTCGGGACCCATCCAAGTCTCCTTTCCGGGGCAACTTCAAAACCCGCTTGTGAAAGCATGGGTGGAATTGTTCAAGAGCATTGGCTACGACGTTACCGCCGACCCGTATTCCGGAGCCTCAACGGGTGGGTTTAGCAGTCTTGCGGCTGTTGATCCCCAAACTAAAACAAGGAGCTATGCTGCGAATACATATGGCATTGCTGCGATGCAGCGCCCAGGAGTACGTATTGTAACGGACGCCTTCGTCAAGAAAGTGCTGCTAGAAGGCTCCAAACCAGATGTGCACGCGACTGGTGTCGAGGTCGACGTTAAAGGTCAGCTTGTCACCGTCGGAGCAAACAAAGAGGTCATTATTACCGCCGGAGCATTGAACACCCCCAAACTGCTGGAATTGTCCGGAATAGGAAACAAGAAAATCCTTCAGAAATATAATATACCCGTCGTTGTTGATAACCCAAACGTTGGAGAAAATTTGCAAGACCACTTGATGAGCGGAATAAGCTTTGAGGTTGTCGACGGCGTAGTTACTGGAGATCCACTTCTCCGACAAGAACCCGAAGCTACTCAATCTGCTATGCAGATGTATTCCGAACACAAAGCCGGTCCAATGACTATCGGGGGGGTTCAGTCAAGTGCCTTGATGCCGATTCTTGAATTTGCAGGTGTCGACGGTCAGAAATCACAGACGCGGTTTTTCGATAAGTACTTGCCCACTGCATCTACCTTCCAATCCACTGTCCGCGACATCTTCGAAACACACAAAGCGCCTACGTGTGACATGTTTATGTTTCTCGCCCAAGCCAACCTTCACGAAGCTAACACAAGCTGCTTCGTTGGGACCCGACTCCTCCCCGGTAACTATCTCAGTTTAGGAGTTATGCAGAGCATCCCCTTCTCTCGCGGCCATACTCATATATCCTCTGCCAATCCCGAGGATAAGCAAACAATTGACCCCCGTTATTTCTCCCATCCACTGGATATCGAGATCTTGGCCCAAAATCTGCTTGATGTAGAACGTTTGCACGAGAATGAAGCACTCACCAAATATCTCAAAAAACCAAACGGACGACGAAACCATTCCGACTCCTTCCTCACGGATGTAGAATCGGCGAAGAAGTATTTGCGTGACACGGTAACAACGGCGTATCACTTCTCAGGAACAGCTGCAATGCTCCCTGAGGACCAGGGGGGTGTCGTTAATGAGAATCTGGTCGTTCATGGAACGCTCAATCTGCGTGTGTGTGATGCAAGTATTTTTCCTGTTATCCCACCTGCCAATCTTATGGCGACAGTATATGCTGTAGCTGAGCGGGCTGCCGATATCATCAAAACGGATGCGTAGGCGCTTTTTTTGTCACTCCGTATGTGATTAGTCAGGGATGGATTGTTATATCGACTTGGATCTTGTTTTCGTCGCGCGAGTTGATGTTTTTTATTTTATTGTTTTGGGCCTGAGAATTCCAATGTTTCCTTACTATCGTGATTGTTACATCCGAGGTATCAGAGGAATATAATACAATATAAATTATTCCTTAATACTGAGGCAATGTAATATCGATATCCCACCAGAGTTCTCTGTATCCAGAAGACACTAGGGCGGGTAGAGATTATCATGCATTAGATTAACGTATAAGAAGGATTCTCAGTATGTAAATTAATAGTGGTAGCCTGGGACATATCCCAAAAGAAAACCGAGTCGAAGCAAAAAAAAGCAACTATTCTAAACAGAATAAAAGGGTCCCAAAAAAAGCCATGTGTTAGAAAGTGGCAGACTCATGTCATTGCCTTTTTGTCTTTGCTTTCATCTCCCGCCTTAATCTTGCCCCTTCATACCCATACAACCCCCCACCAGCAAACACCAATACCGCACCTACTAATACTCCACTTACAAGTACATTCCCGAATACGTATACAGACAGAATTAGCGAGACTAGTTTTCGAATGTTAAGCACCACAGTAACTGTCAAAGAAGATGAATTTGCAGAGAGAAGATGCACTCCGCGGATGCAAACATATTGCGTTAGGCCGTTGAGTATTAGGTATACTACTTTTATGGGCGTTTGACAAAAAAATCGGAAAACTAGGGACTGCTCGGATAGGGTGCGAAGATAGGATATTGCAGGGCTTAGAAAACTTCCCGTAGAAAGAAAAGCTACAGTCGTAATTGCCGCTGTAGAAGGGCGCTGTGTGAGGGCGCTGGATGTGGTGTTTGCGAGCATGGACGTAGCAGAGAGAGAGGTTAGGACGGACGGAGATGCGAATATTACTCTCAACTGGGATATGAGTTTTGAATAGTACGGAATGAAAAATGGGAGGGAGAGAGAATGGGCGTAAAAAAGCGATTCGCGCCAGCTTTTGCGGCCATAAGTTTCAAACAAGCAGTCCGCGTAGACACCTTGAAAGGCACCAAGGACCATTGCAAGCCCAAGAAGCGCAAATCCAGTTAAACTGGTCAGCAATGCAGGGCCGTCATCCTTCCCCGTGCTGAGCGCGATATCTAGAGATTTGCCCTTGGCACTGGCGTCCGCCAGCGCGGCACATACCACCCCAGCTGTAAGCAATACTACTGCCAGGATCTGAGTTCTTGTGTATGTCTTAGAATTATATAAGTGGCCGATTATCATCGACGCCACGGGGCCGCCGCTTCGGATGATGATATGAAGCGGGACTGAGATCCTGAATGCGAAGACGAAGTTGTTGATGACGTTTACAGAGAGGAAGTAAGCGGTATATATCACCCAAGATCTTAGAGGGACTTTCCGAGGCGCAAGGAAGAATGATCGGGGCCCGGCGGAGAATGAGAAGACATTGGGAAGGGTGAAGAACGCAGTGAAAGCGAATTGAGTAAATGTTATCAGCACCCCTAGGCGTAGCAATTGTTAGAAAAATTTTCTTCGTATATAATCTGTCGAAAGCCGGAGGAAGGGCTGGCTTTACCAGATTCTGGGTAGTCTCTGCATCAAGCCAATTGGGTCAGCAAACCATCATCGCTTAACGATCACGCCCTGTCCAGAAAGCAAAACTCACTTGACGATAGCTTCCAGAGCAAATACCTGTCTCAAACGCCTTTGTTAGTACTGGCTTGCAAGAAGAAAAGAAAATTTTCGGGGAATATCAACAATCGCCCAACTACATTAGAACAGCACCCGCCAAATATCAAGGACACCATGATGCCAATATTCAGCCACACTGGAATAGTCGTCTGAACAACTGCCGCTGTAAGGCCATGGCTCTTATCCGTTGTATCCTCGACCTCAGGCTTTCCTTGTTTAACCTCACATCGCCTATCTCCAGGATCTTTGAGCATGCTGCTGCGCGACGTAGGGCCATTGCCGTTAGTTGAATCCCGAGTGCCAGTTGCATTGCCCTTCAGCCATTGCGTCTTCGAAGGATCATTTAATGAGTCGGCCATGAGCTCGTCTTGTATAGTTTCACGCGCACGGCTAATTGGCCTATATAGCTTAAGATTAAAGTAAGTCAATGCTTACGGCGCATGGAATGCAGAGTTCACAGCAGTCGCTGGGGAGAAGAGGGAGAAGAGGGAGCGGCAACGAACATTCCAAACCGATGAACTAGCCTTCAAATTCAGCCTACCCAACAACCCCGAGGGTTCCAATCGGGACGAATGATGTAGCTGTCAGGGCATTGTTGGACGAGTGTGCTGTGTTGACCTTGATGTTTGGATCCTTGGGTGTACAAGCTAAGGGGCGTTGGTCAATTCGGAATTATATTTGGTGCGGGAAGCTAAATGTATCACATCATCCAGATCACTACGTGCAATCAATATATATTCCTTGACCTTCTAAATCGTGCTTGTATTGTTAAAATAAATCTAAAATATTTTTTTGTAGTAGGGAATGGTCATATTATAATATATTATATCCTCAGTCAAATACCCAAATCCTATTCTGAAAATCTGACGCCAAGTAAAAGAAATATGAACAGGATATATCCTCCCCAGACTCCCTCAAATCTATCAACCCACGCCAAAGTTAACAAAATAACGTAGGCAAGATACTACATGAATCAGGCCAAATCAGATCACTCATCCTCTATATCATCGTCACTAAGCACCAACTTCTCAACAGCTTCCTGAACTGGAATTGCAAGTTGGGGCGCAAAGGGCTTACTCGCAGGTACCTGGCCCAGCTTGATCCCCTGTCTCTGTTTCTGCGGCGAAATGACATCCTTATCTGCAGGTGCACTCCAGGGGTCCATCGCAGAACCGCCACCATAGGAGGTATCTTCTATACCAACATCGACAAACTCTTCCTCACTTGGTCCACCAACCCCAGAGAATTGGGTCATTTTTTCTAACTCCCTACGTTCTAGCGGGTTTCGAGAAATCAGGCGTAAGTACGGTAGGCGCTCCAGAAGAATTTCCTCACGAGAGATCATTGCTCGAGCCGCATGTGATGGGTACGCAGATGTATCCCCAGCGGATCCATGGCCATGATCGTGGTTAGAAGATCCATCCGCCCAGCGGTGATTCTTCCACGATTCCACGCCGTCCAGCCGTGGAATAGTTGTTCCAGAGGACATGCCCGTTGTAGGATCCGTGAGCCGACGCATCCACAAATCCAACAGCCCATCCAGTTCTTCGTTTTGCCTCCAAAGTCTCATCGAAGTCGGGAAGAACATCTTATGAGCGTCGCCTGCTCGCATACCTGTTGGAGCCTTCCTTTTGACAGGGAAAGGCAGAGAGAACAACAATCCCCGTACAGCTACCTGAAAGCTAATTTCATTTTGGCGGAGCATGTCGATGCTGGAACCAAAACCCTGATATGAGGAACGCGCCAAACCAACTCCGCCTCGATTTGTCTGCGTGTTGTGAAATCGGCTGCTAGGCCCCAAAATGTCCGTTTCTGATAAGTATGAAATGCACTTCTCAAAATGGTCGGCAAAAGCTGGGCCAGTGCAAGAGAGTAAGTAGTTTTCATGTAGCGCTGCAATAAATGTTTGGAGATCTGTTCCGGTCTCATTGATTAAATCATCGATTGAGACTAGGGAAGCCTTGGGTCGCGCATGAGATTGAAGATGTCGTGGAGGTTGGGGCAGCTGAGGGTCGAGTCCGTGCGAAATCGTAGGATCTTCACGTTTATTATACACCACCTTACCCACCGCATGGAATATACCCAGGCTAGCCTCCCTTTGAGTAACCATTTCTAGTGATTCTTTTTCCATCGACGTAAGAGGTATGCCACCTCTACTAGGCCTTTTCATGCGACCAGCTACGGTTCCACTCCAATTTGTATCCTCCTCACCTCGCAAACACATAAACTCCAACGCAGAAATCGCGCTCCTTATGTCTCCCATTTGTGCGAATGCCTTTAAAACCTCGGGTCCCGGAACTCTCTTTCTCTTCGATCGACGAGCTTCCTTTTTCAGAACCAGGTCGATAGCTTTGGACATGAAGGTTGGAGCTACCCTGTTAAAATCGATTATACTCACGCTAGGATGGCTCGAAATTTCAGGGCCGAGCAATCTATGTACCGTAAAGCTGTCAGAGGAAATACCTCCCCAGCCCAGCATAGTTTCCGAAACGATCATAATGAGAGGGGGGCTTGATATATTAGTGTCTCGAATGAATTGGTTGTCGAACGGTTGCCGAGGAGTCGCTGTCACCAAGTAACTCTGCAAAGCAAGTCTGAACGCCCGCAAGCCTGATGAACTCTGGTTCAAGGAGCTCGGGAATTCCTCAACAAGAATAACACGTCGCTTTTCTGTAGTACTAGCAATGAGATGATCCGAATTTCCATGTGTTGCCGAATGCGACGGCTCTCGCCCGCCGCCACTCAAAAAAAGGCTTCCAAACTTATCACTTCTCCCAAGGAAATCTTCGAATTGGGCTCCCATAGATACATATCCTTGAGACGAAAATTCTGAGCCCAATGGGCTCTTCCACTCAACTATCTCGAATCCAATGGTATTGGAAAGTATCGATATCGTAGTTGATTTCCCGCTGCCAGCTGGGCCCCTGAGAACAAGAACTCTCTGCCCCCGTCAGCATAATTGATAGCAACCGTCGACGAAAGCAACGCCCTGCAAAGATAAGGATACGAAGGGAAGAGATATAATAGCACTCAACTCGTTTGCTTTTCCCACTAAACACATCCACCAACCACTTCTGCACATCTGAAACCTTTCTTTTATTAACCACCAGCTCATCGAGATCGGTCGGCGCATATTCTTCCGCCCATGGGCGTATCCCCCTCGTGAACAATTGAGTGGGCGAAGTAGAGTCGCGGGCCCGGCTCGGCTCCACTCCATGCGCAGTTGAAGTCCCACCAGGAAGCAGAAATCGCCTCCCAAGCCCGCTCGTAGACTTCGTTGTATCTATGTGCTGTCGACCCTTCATATCATTCGCTTTCCTCCGATCCAGGTGCAAGCCTGTCTTATTACCCCCTTGCACCCGGTTCCCGCTCCCACTGCTGAAAATATGACTTGCAAATAACTCCTCATATGAATCATCCTCAATGAAATCCACTATCTCTTCCTCCTTGTCATCGTCCTCAATTTCTTCCACAAGGTCCGTTTCCTCGGTGACACTGCTCCCCACTCCCGCACCAAGGCCAACGCTGTCCTTCTTCCTACTCCACCTCTCCTCCTCCGTGGCCTTAGCAAAAAATGAATGCAACGATTTTGAGGGCTCCTCCGGGCGACTATGGGTTTTCTTCCCCCTCTTCTTCTCAGGAGATGAGCCGGGAGTCGTCTGTAAGGAGCGTGGCTGGCCCGGCCGCTTTTGCTGTGAACTGGACGGTTTCTGGGTGCGCTTCTGTGTCTGCTTCTGCAACAAGCATGTAGGAAGCGTATTTGTTATCAGTTTGGGAGCAACAGCAACCGCAGGAATGGCCGTAGACGCTTCCGTCCTCGATGGGCACGCAACGGTTCCTTTCGGCACTGGTGTAATCTTCCTCTTCACACCTCGGTTAATTCTTTCTTTCAATTGAACATTTCTCCTCCGTCCAGACTCAACATAGTCATCGTCTTCTCCTTCCTCATCTTTTTTTACATTCTCATGATTTTGAGTGCCATTGTTAACCTCCTCGTCGTCCGAAGAGAGGACGACAAGCCTCCGCTGCCGTTTTGCGGTTCGTGGGGCGGACATGGGAGGGACGTGAGAGAGATGTGGCAGTGGGCTCGTGCCAATTGGGCTCAGAGGTCATGGCTGGTTTTGGCAAAGTAGTTTTAAAACGAGGTATACGCCTTTACTTATCCGTATGAACGCCGGCGTGTGGTTACGCGTGAAAACGCATAGTGAAGTTGAACCTGTCAAATGCTTGGGCTAGAGCGCTCTGCGGTAACGTGACTTTTTTATTGGTCAATGAATTTAAGTCTCGCAGAGCATCCGTTGCGCTTATCATGCAGCAAATGAGATGAACATTTATATATGGAAAAGATGGGGTGTCTGTATAATCAGCTATCAAGGAGGTATTTAACAAAAAGAATCTCTATCCATGGATACTAATATGAGGTGTTCCTTAAAAGACAATTCAAAAACAACTTGAACCTCTCATGATAATCAAACATGGTGGCAGGGAAGGGCAGGTATCTATCTACAACAAAGGGCAAACCCGGAGGAAAAAAAGCAAAGAAATTGTACACGAACCGAAATTGAAAAACGAAATCGCATGGCCCTCGGACGCGCGAGTTAACGGGAAATGGAAAAATAGGCCAACCGGTTTTCAAACTCCAACCAGGGACAAAAAAATAAAAAACCAGACACATATTTCTATCAAATCAGAAGATCCCCTGATCAAACTACGAGCCTGCGTTCAAGAAAACCTCCGGAGAAAGAAGAAGGAAATGAAAAAGGGGAAAAAAAATGAAAGAAACAAAATGGACTTGAAAGGCAGAAAATGGAAATCTGACCGCACCCTCTTAAGCTCTCAACTCCCCCCAAACATGTCATAATAATAATCCTCATCCAGCCCGTCTCGACTTGGAATCTCAGGCGGATCTCCTACGAACGTCCCATCATCAAACCTGATATTCAACAGCCGAATTTTCAGCCCATAATTACTAACTAGGTTAATCAATTTATTCGTCTCTGCAGTGATGGGCTGCTGATTGAGCAGCATTAGTAGTCCATCCAACCACTCGGATGCGATGCTATGGGATTGCGGGTGCAGTGTTAGAAGGACGGCTTCCTTTTGTGTGTTCTTGCTGTTGCTGCGTTGATGCTGGTGCTTTTGGGGACTGTTGTTGGAGGAAGAGCCCGGAGGTCGACTGACGTAGCCGTGGATGCTGATTTTGGTGGAAGAGGATGGGTGGGGGAGGGTTTTTATGGTAGAGCCGGAGGACGCGTCGGAAGAGGCGGAAACATTGGACACGACGGAGGAGACGATGTTAAGGTCAACTAAATTATGGTTCTTAGTAGGCTTATCAGAAAGCGGACAAGCAAAGTTTGCGTACTTTTATCCGTGAGTGTCTCTAAATCAGGCGCCTGCTGTCCCATCGACACAAAGTCGGCATAATGCAAGTACCGTCGATTATGCGACAACTGCACATAGCGACATATAGTCGTCGGAGCCCCTGCGCGTTTCGCATCTTGCTTCCCATTGTTATTCACCCCATTTTCCACCTTACTATGAGCGTTCTCCGTCGGAAACCACGCCCCCTCTAACAAACATCTGATGCGCTGCTCTTTCACAAACTGTAGCGCTTCGTGATGGAGCTCATCGCGGACCTGGAGTAGATGTTGACCCCATGCATCTTCGTAAGTTAGCTCTAGCAATTCCATCTGCAACTCTCTAAGGCGTTGGTATTCGAACTCCGCCATCTCCTCCTCAACATCATGCACATCCTTTGTCCGCGCGGCGCCGCCGACGACAGATTCGATAAGGATTCGAACCAGTTCCACAATTTTAGAAAAGTCCTCCAGTTCAGCGCCGGTAGCTTTCCACAGACGGAAAAACGCGTGCACCCCCGCGACATGTAATCTAGGCCAGTGGAGAAGAAGCGGTTTGAATAACTTATCATAATTCGACCTTGACTCAAGTACAAGATAACTCTTCACATCGTCCAGATCCGACTTCTCAACCTCGAAATGCTCATAGAGGACTGAAGTGATAGCCAGGGACGCTCTTGCAATCGGACATCGCTGAGGCGGCGGTTTCGCAGATTGCTCCAAAAGCATTTTCTGGAATTCATCCTGATGCTTCCTCACATAGTCCGTCAAATCCATCATACCCAGGAACCCCATCTCTTCAAATTCCCACTGGGGGCTTTCCGATTCAAATCCAAGCCGCCTCCATTTCTCCGGGTTATGTCTTCGAGACCGCTGCGTGTCATCCCCTTTCTCCGACGCTGCCCTGTCCTTGTCCTTCTCCCTCTCCTTCTCAGTTTTGCTAGCCAGATGAATCCCTTTTAACGCCCTCCGATGCTCCGGCTTCTCTAATTCAACAGGGACATCCTTCCACTTTCGCAAGAGGACTTTTGTCGATGATTGAAACTCAAGGAGCGGGTGAGCCAGGTCCTGCAGTGCCGTGCCTTGCATCAACACATACACCGCTCGAATAACACCTAGATCCTGTAACCGTTTTATAAACTTGGGCCACTCCGCCTCACTCTCGTTGATGATCGAGTCCCTCATCAATGAATTAATTAACTGCAGCGCATTGGCACACAGCGCATGGTCTGCGGACGATAGCCTGCTGACAAGCATTTCCAGAAAATGTGGGTAGACCGCAATTGCAGGTTTCAGCGCTTGGAACCCAAACACGCCTGGTTCTTGCGAGCGATGCTGGCTCGTATGTGGATGAGAAACGATGGATACTAAGATCGACATCGCGCCACGAAGGATATTCACAAGCGGATGGGTAACGATAAGCTCAACAATCTACAGAAGCACCACAATAACACACCATTGCTCGTTAGCAAAATTGTCAAAAATATTTCGATCTGTTAAAACGAGCAAAAGAAGGAAAGAAAAAGAAAAAGAAAAAAGTTGTGAAAATCAGGAACCCCAAAAAAACTGACCCTCGTAACCAGATCTTGTTCCACACACTCCCACCCCTTATCAACTTCCAGCAACCGCGAAAACGACGCCAGGCTGTATGCAAGCGTATTCCCCGTAGCCGTCAACGCCAGGTACTTCAACTTCGCCAACCCGCCTTCCGATATGAACACGTCAGCGAACGACGGGTCGCCGATGTTCGATTGGAGCTTGAAAACGGCCATTTTGCGCACTGCGTCCTCATCGCTGCCCAGCCGCTCGACGAGCTCGGAGACGTTGACACCCTCCATGGCTGTTTTGTAGCAATGTGGACGTGTTTTCAGGGAGGTGTAGTTTCTAGTAGACAGGTTCGGATGCGACGGCAGTTGTTGACATATGTATTCTAGCCCGCAAGCAGGGGAATTTGAAAAAGCGAGAGAACAGGATCGCTTCCAACCCAATCAATTGGCTTCTCCTCTCCCGTAGTGCGGTCAGAAATGCTTGTGTAGACCTTGTTCCTTTTCTTCTTCTTTTTTTTTTCTAAATATTTCTCCAAGTTCACGTCAAACCCAAAGTTGGCAGGTAGGGAAATATCTTGCCAACGTAGCTGGCGCCGATGCATAATATGCCCCTAGAAAGGGGCTCCGGCATGAATGATATGAAAATTCGTAAAAATGAGCGACAGAGAAACAAACTGGCGGCATAACAAGATGAATATCGGGAAACCCCCAACCCCGGTAACCCGCAATCGCAAAAAGAAAAAGCCAATGGTGAGATTGGACCAAGCGGGCTTGAGTCGGTTGTTATCAGAGAGGTTTGAATCTCTGGTCCGAAGAATCAGATTCAGTCACGTGCTTATAGACATAGTTAACCCTAGGGCTTTATCACAAAAGCTACAAGGCAATTCAACAAAAAATTACAGAATAAAATTTTTTTTTTTTTTTTAAAAAAAAGTCCCTCGATTGTTTCCTCCAGCTTTCCAAAGGAAAGATCAAATCCAAATTCTGGGCTCAACTGTAATACAAGTCTAGGAGAGGGATATGTTGTGAACAATGGCCGCCAACCCCTCTTGTCTTTAGCTGACTGAAGGTTATCTATCGATCTTATTGGTATCTATCCGGTGACTGTGCGTTACGAAATAATTGGTTTATCTAACTCAGGTAATGGTTGGTAGGTTCTTGTAAAAAAAAAAGAGAAAAGGGTACGATAAATTGCACACACACACACACACACACAAAGAAAAGAAAGAAAAGGAAAGGAAAGAAAAGTATTAGAATTAAAAAAAGGAAAAAGAGGTAAGAGGAATTGGAAAACAATGGCTGGACACTGTATTTGTTATGTATTTATATGTAGTTAGTCTGAAATCACTATCTACAAGCCCTCAGTAAGGCCTATTTGTTCCAGGGACCTTTTGTTTCTCTTTTCGTTTTGGAGGGGGGAAAAGCAACAAAAAGGAAAAAAAAAAAAGGCAAAGGGAAAATAGTAAATGAAATACAGCAAGTATCCCTGGAGCAAGAATGAAGAAAACCACCCTCTGCGCTCTAGATCTAGAAAATATGCATCACCTACTCCTTCCCCCCCTCTCCCTCGTCATTTTTTTTTTCTATTATTTTCATTTTTTCACTTTTGTTTTCTCTTCTTTAACTCCGCCATCCAACATTCCAAATAACATGAGCAATATCCCTCGCCGTATTCACCGTGTCAACAACCTTGCCGATGAAGCCGAAGTTCATAGCCCTGCCATCCGCCTCATCATCATCGTCGTCGTCATCATATCCGCTCTTATCTCCCGTAGTATACAAGTCGTCGTAGTCGAAGGATAGGAATTGGTCTCGCGAGGAGAGATATGAGGGGCTCCGATTATCATTATTTTTTTTATCATTAGGATAAGTACTATGGTTATTAGTTGGGGTAGTATGGGAGTTGGTGTAAGAATTGTGAGTAGAATTGTAATTATAATTGTGATATTGGCCATGGGCATCATCGTTGTTATTCCACTGTCGCTTGTGGGGATCCGTGAACCATGGCCCGCTGTACGTCGACAATGTCTCCTCGTCAAGCACTTTCCGGCTGGATACTCGCCACTTCATATCCATGTCTGAGGTGGTGGAGTTGGTGTCATCGCCGTCACCTTCATCATCCAAGAGGAAATTATCACGAGCTTTGGGCTGTTGTTCTGGCTGTTGCTGATGCTGCTTCTTCGAAGGACGAAGCGTTTCCGTCGAAGATGAACGTGATAGACGGGGAACAGGTAGTGGCCACCACGAATACAGCGATGATTTCGCCGCTGCAGAGTCGACGATGTCAACCTCGTCAGGTTCGGGGGTATCCCTGCGATATTTCAAAGTGGTTGGCGGTAACGGCGCGATGGTTTTGCTATCGCTGCTAAAACTGCTTCGTGGGGTGCTCTGGCTGCTTAACGGTGGCCGCGGGGTTACCTGTCGCATTTCAAGAACGCTGTCTTCAGACATATCATCGTCGTCGTCTACGGCGCAGGTCGTGTCGTCCATATCATCGTAGTAATCGTCTTTCCCTTCAACTGCGATACACTGTGAGACTTCATCGTTGAAGCTAATATGACGCCGCTCGCTGGGCGATTCAGTGCCGGGAGAAACAGTCGTTGCACGACTACTACTTGAATTTTCAAAGTAGGCGTTAGGAACATAATAGTCGGACGCTGACCTCCCTAGTCCGGGCCTGTTTCTCATGTTGTCCGCTTCGCGGGCTTGTAAGATTGCACCAGCATGGCTGAGGAGCGTGCGTGTAGATATGAAGCGTTGGAGAATGGTTTGAGAGGCTGTTCTCTTTTTGAGGATCGGTTTTTTGTTGAGAAAGGGGCTAGGTGGGGAAAGGCGGGTGGGAGGCGGGGATGAGGTGGAGTGGGGGAGTTTGGATGCCGTCTGTAAAGGACCATAGAGCCAAGTAACATCGCAATCTTTTAGCCTGTTGTAGAGAATTAGATTTTTAAAGAATCCCAAGATGCAATGTGCCATATCCCGTATATCACGAAGCAGAGAAGGAAAATGCGATTAGACATACCAATTGAGTGACTCAGGAGTGACCGTGCCAAGTCGATGCTTCGCTTTCGTCCATGTCCGCCATACGGCATTCTCTAGTCTCACTCCGTTGTTATATGCATCCCTCCTGGAAGCTATATATCTCCAAGAACTCCAGATATCTTCTTCTTTCCAATCGTGCGAGAGGTAGTCAACATGCCTTGTTGGCTCATCCTCAATAGAAGCATCATCACCCACGATCCGAGGCATCACATAATCACTTCTCCATTGATCTATTGAGGGGGAGCTGGGCATGTGGACAGGCGGGATGAACGAAGACTTCTCTTCCTCTTCATGGTAGGATGCGGTATCATACGACGGGAATAATATGTCGTCATCCTCTGGCTCCTCTGGTGTCGGCGGCAGGGTTATTGGGGGAGGGCTGGTATGGACAAAAATCGACGAGAAGATGGGCGAAGATCGTCCCGAGGACGATTCGGAGGATATTGAAATGCTGGTGACGGGATAGCATTCGGGCTGGGGAGATTTGATGTAGGTTCTGTGGGTTTCTATGGTGGATGGTTTGTTGCGCTTTCGTCGATGGTGATCCGATGGCGGTAGTGAAGTCCTCTCTGGGATGACGGGTAGCACAGCGGCCATGGCTTTGGAAATACGAATCGCGTGTTGCAGGATAGGTAGCCTGCGCTATACGAGCTCTCTTGATGTGTCACCGCTGGAGACTTGAAGCTTAGGTGACAAATGGCCAGCACAACGTGTAGGATTGTCAGGAAGCTGGCTGCGCGCAAACGGCAATACGAAGATCGAGGTTCCGCGATAATGGGCGTCTTATGTACGGAGTATTGGAGAAGTAAACAGGAAGCGACAGACAGGGGAGAAATTGGCAGAAAACTGGTCAAGGAACAACGATGTACTTGGTGCTTGAGGAGAGAGGACTAGTGCTCGATCGTAGACATGAAAGAGAAGGAAAATAGCACTGCCATCACACACAATGTGTAGAGGGCGGATCGTCTCGTTTTCAGTGTCAAATATGGTGCAGACCAGCCGCGTCAGAGGAAGTGAAGTGATGTAATTGACTGAGTGAGTTTAGAATTTGGTGGACGGAGGAACCAGCGAGTGGATCGGCCCTTTGAGTCACCGCAGAGTAACTTCCATCACAGCAAGAGTTCAAGAGGTCAAGGAAAGAAGCTAGAAATAGACGCTGCAGAAAAGTGCTGGGGGGATTGATTGGCAGTGAGAATGATGCAAAGGGAAGAAGAATACTGGGGAACTGCCAGTAAATATCATTACTATTGACGAGCTACTATTACTATTATTATTTAGAGTCCGATGAAACCCTCTGTGCGATGGAGGCAGTCTAGATTTTGCAAATTTTTTGTCCCGCTTCTTATTGTTATCTCAACGCCACCGAGAGAGCCTGCAGCCTCCGATTGTTTCTCGTTTGTGCAGTTCTCCCTCTCTAAAGAGATTCTTATAACTAACTATATGTCAAGGGTTCTCCTTCGATTATCATTCTGGCCTAGTACAATCGCTGCTCCCTGTGTCGAGACTCGCTGCGCTGTACTGTACATACATGTACTTATCATGATCGCTTCTTTCGCCCTTGTATCTTTGTATTATGCCTGTTTGTCTCATGTTTTTTGTGGAACATTTGTCCTTAGCCCCTAGCACCTAAACAAGTATGTCTTATAATACATAGATCAATTACCTTCGGGTCCATCCACTTTCTTGCTCTCATCGTCATTACTACTATTGCTGTCCATTTGTCTATTGAATTAGTTATAGGTGGGTCGGGTTACGGCGTGTTCGAACCTGACCCTCACAATAACCAGGTTATATGCGGAGGCGCAGTCACTCAGCCATCAATGCCACTGCATATAACCTGGTTATTGCTGGTGTGTGTTCAATTTCATGTTCATACATACAGAATGTTGGCCCTAGGCTGCCTATCACGGACTAGCGCACCGCACATATATGCCTCAGCTGCCTGCATGCTAATACAACCACTTAGACGTCCCACAGGTTATGAGCCCGGATTGCTTGTTTTTTTATTAAACCTTCCACTGCCCATCTAACGTCTCGCGAACTGCTACGCTGATCAGCAGAAGGGATCCTGACGAAGGCTAGAAGAGCTTTGATCGCGGGAAAAAGATTAAAATTTGATTGATATAGGGGGGAGAATGCCTCCTAGAACTCGAGCTACCATGGGGATGGATACCCCAGCTAGCAATGATGATATTGAATACGAACCTACCACTACCCCTGGGCCACCGGGCCCAACACCAACAACCGATATCTTGATACAGATGATGATGGGATATTTGAAAAAGCAAGATGAATATTTGAAAAAACAAGATGAATGTCTGCAGAGAATGAATGAATATTTGGACAGAAGGATGGGAAAATCCTTACAAAAATCAGCTGAAAACTCTGATTCTCTGTCAAGAGATCAAGAGGATATCAAACAAGGGGAGGATGAGATGGAACTGGCTATACAAGCCACTGTCACTGCTTCTCCATCTACTGAAGAATCCCCTGCAAGAACCACCAAAGAACTCTCTGTGAGAACCATCTCTATCACCATAAGAATCACCACCAGAGCCACCACAAAGATGACCATGATGAGATCTATCATTAAGAATACCACCACCACCACCACCACCACCACTGCCGCCAAAGAAGTTTTCAAACATCAATACTACTACCACGAACCGAAGCCTCACAGATGCCGAAAGGGTGAAGGATAGAAGAATGAAAGAATATAAAGAATAGCTTGATTTGATTGATTTGATTTGATTTGATTTTGCAATTTCATGTATAATAGGATTTCTAGATAGATAGATAGATATCTGTACGGCTGCTAGTCCGAGGGGAGGTGTTGGCCCTAGGCTGCCTATCACGGACTAGCGCACCGCACATATATGCCTCAGCTGCCTGCATGCTAATACAACCACTTAGACGTCCCACACAGAATACTTATATTTAGTAAGAGAAATACTATTAAATTCAGGTATATGTGACTTTGTACACAGAAAATTATATAACCACTAGCTAAATGATCTGCTTGGCTTCATCTCTACTAAAAAGCTACTGATTTCAGACACTGTGTAGAAGTGCAAGTCAACTGTCTGAGTGTCATACACAGTTCATACAACTAGACCTAACTCTATAATAATAATATATATACATCTATAATAATAATGAAGAAATGAAGATCAAAGAGAAAGAACAGAACAGAACAGAACAGAAAAATGAAAGCTTTATATATACTCTATTCAATGAGAATGAGATTATTCTGTGCATCAGACTGAGCATCATAACTCACATCATCTGCTGCTGATGCTTGTAGCTAGACTGGCCGGTGGGACCATGAATTTCACATTTGGTTTGGTTTGGTTTGGTCCCAGTCCATTTCTTGGCATTATTTTAGTGGGACCAGGATCAGAATGGGAGTGTAAAGTGACTAGAATTATCAAAACATGAGTGAAATGGGACTAAAAAATCTTGATATTCCATGTAAAGTGACTGACTATCAAAAATAAGAACATGATCTGGGACTGATCATGATTTTGACTCAAGTTTGGTCCCATTCTGATGATTATATAATACATCAATCTGATGATATGATTGGTGGAGATATTACCCCTATCTTGCTTAGTGCTCAATGCCCTGATGGCTCGCTATTAGATCCTCTATCTACCACTGCCAATCTACCTACCACTGCTAATCTATGCCGCTGCCAACCTACCTACCACTGCTAATCTATGCCGCTGCCAACCTACCTATCGCTGCTAATCTATCGCTGCTGCCAACCTACCTACCGCTGCCAACCTACCTATCGCTGCCAACCTACCTACCGCTGCCAACCTACCTATCGCTGCCAACCTACCTACCGCTGCCAACCTACCTATCGCTGCCAACCTACCTACCACTGCCAATCTACCTACCACTGCTAATCTATGCCGCTGCCAACCTACCTACCACTGCTAATCTATGCCGCTGCCAACCTACCTATCGCTGCTAATCTATCGCTGCTGCCAACCTACCTACCGCTGCCAACCTACCTATCGCTGCCAACCTACCTACCACTGCTAATCTATCGCTGCTAATCTATCGCTGCTAATCTATCGCTGCTAATCTATCGCTGCCAACCTACCTACCGCTGCCAACCTACCTACCACTGCCAACCTATCTACCGCTGCCAACCTACCTACCACTGCTAATCTATCGCTGCTAATCTATCGCTGCCAACCTATATAGGGTAAATCATGGTCCCATTTGGTCCCATTTTGTAAAATGGGACCAAATGGGACTGGGACCACTAATTTATTAGTAAAACATGATCTGGGACTAGATTTATAATATAAACAGTGTAAAGTGACTAATTTACTAAACACTATATGGGACCAGGACTAAGATATCTAATAATGGGACTAAGGAAAAATTTGGTCCCAGTCCCATGCATGGTCACACGGCCAGTCTACTTGTAGCTGTGATGACTGTCTATTATAAAAATCATTATATATATCAGACTGATCTGCAGAGCTGTGAAGAGAGCAGTGTGCTGTATAATCATATCATTTGCAGTTAGCACATGCTTCTTCAAAGTAACTGTATATATAGTGACACAATGGGAACAATTTAAGCTCAGAGAATGTATGACACTGCATACAGTCTGTGATAAGAGTTCTATCATAAAATTGAATCAGAATGACATTGATGTATAATGAATGATGAAACAATACTTGATCAGCTCTGATATATATATAAATATATAATATATCAAAGTCAGAGACAGCAAGCAGAGCATGGAATTGAAGACTATAACAAAATATACTCAGCTGGAAATTGCTGATATATATTGTATCATACTCTGATTATTTCTATCACTCATCTTGATATTCAGCAGCTGAATGATATGAGTCAATCAATTCAGTCTGAGTCAGATTTCACTGAGCAGCAACAGAATTATACAGAATAAGAGCTCTTATATTATAATCAGCTTTCTATACTGTATGATAGAGAAGCAGAGAAATACTCATATTATTCACAGAGAAGAGAAAGAGAGAGAATACTGTTGAAAAATAGAAGAAAGCTGATCTTCTTTTTTATGAAAAAAAAAAATTGAAAATCTTCTCTGACTACATACACAAATCTCTGTCAGTGTTCTTCTTTTTTGATATAATGAAATGAATATTTCATACAGTATACAGAATGAAAAAAAGACAGAGTGAACAGTAAATAAATGATTTTAATGAATTTCAATAAGAGAATGATGAATTCTGATGCAAAAGAGGTTGTATATATCAGTAAATAATAATGAAGAAGTTGAAGAGAGAAAGAGAAAAGAAGTTGAGAGAGAAGACAGAAGAAGAGAGGATTTTATAATCAACTTGTTATTATTATTATTGTAAATGAAAGAGAAAAGTGAGAATATCTTATATATGAAAGAGAAAAAAGAGAAAGAGAGAATGCTCACTCTTGTGAATTCTACTGAGACAGTCTGTGTGTATAAATAAATAAATACTCAAGATTAAAAGATATATAATATAGTATAGTTAATATACACAGATTATCTTCTTGCTCTTCTGAGAAAGATAGAGAGTTTATTCAAACTCATTCTTAATTATATACACATCAACTCAAACTTCTTCACAATCTCTAGAATAGATTTTAATTTCATTATACAGTAGCAGCTGAGTATCTCATCAATGATTATCTTTCACTGAAAAAAGAACATATACTTACTATTCTTCTTTCTTCAGTTAGATCTGTATAATGACTTCAGATACTGTATAAAGAGCTGTCTATTCAATCTCTATTTCCATTTCTTTCAGAGATCATTGATCAATTGAATTGTATAGAAGAGCTGATATATTCAAATATTATTCTCAGTTGATAATGCTATAGCAGAAGTGATGACAGCAGCAGCAGCAGTTGATAAAGAGAAGAATAAAGATACAGATGCAGAGATAAAGAGAATCTTAACAGTATCTTTCTATATATAGACAGAAACAGAGACAGACTGAAAGATTCAGAATTCAGTTGTTATTATATCAATTCTACACTGAATTCTATCAATCTTCTTCTTTATTTATACATCTCTGATTTTTATCTGATTCATTATCACATTGATCTGTCTTTATACAGTGCTCAGACTTTTAAAAATCTGTGGCACTGACTGTTGAAGTATTATTTTCTGTGAAGAAATGAAAACTGACTCTGCAGCTCATACAGCATCTGCAAACTGCTTATACTCTGTATACTAAAACACTGAATTAGTTTACAGTGAATGAGTTGAAAATTCTCTCTGAAGAAAAGCAGAGTTCTGTAGTATCACTGTATGAAAATAATCTAACAGCTGCAAAAACCTCTGAGCTGCAAAATCATCTGAATCAAATAAACTTTCACTATCAAGCAGCTTCAGACTCATATCAGAGATCTCAGAAGAAGTAATATAAAAGAATTTATTCTCAGAATGAAATCAGATAAATCATTCATTTATTTATAATCAGAGAGATTTCTTCAACAGCTCTGATGAAGTGACTGTAGCTTATGAAAAATGATAATTATTTAGCAAGCTAGAATTGAACTCTGTAATTCTCTGTACAAACTTCTGATTGATCTGACTGAGATAGCAGCTGATTAAAAAGTTATTATTTCATCATTCAGCTCTGCAGATACTGCTCTCATTCACTTTATTAAACTCTGTTTTCTATACATCTGTAAATCATTCAGTATAAGTTTTCTTTATCATCTCTGATATATCTGTGTATATAAAAAGCTTGTTTATTCACTTAAGATAAATTCTGTAGAAGATCTGCTTGTATGAATTTTTATTTTTAAGTAAATGAATATTATATCAGAGTTGATAGTAGTGGAACTGAGACAGAGACTTCTGTATAATATTTCATCTATAGAATAGATAGAATACAATCTGTGACATTGAACAAAGAATATAATTCTTATATTATATAACAGTTGAATATTCAAGTCTGTTGTTCTGATTTATTTTATTATTACTTATAATCTGAATAAAAGATCAGCAGAGTGTTGATTTCTCATTTAACAGCTCAATTGTAAATAGATCAATCAACTGCATCTCTCATCTGAACTGTTCTCTCAGCAGTATATAATAACTCATGAAAAAGTCAGCTGCTATATAGAGAAGAGGCTCAACTGTATGTCTTTCATTTCTCTGCCATCTCTTTCAATACTGATATACAAAGTTTATTATATTCAGCTCAGTATAGCTGTTTATCAGAGTATCTATATCTCTGTTTATAAACTTCATACATCTCTGTACATATTTTATAGATCTATAAGTCTTTAATATATTATTCAAAATCTGATCAACTGAGTGAGAATGAAAGTTTTTCTGTCTACTCTGCTGCATACAATACAGATCAATAAAAGCTGCTTAATACTATTTGATCAGATTCTCTTCTATTATCTATATAATCTCTTCTCTCTCAGTATTCATATACTTTTTTTTGAAATGACTTTTTCTGAATGAATGATTGAGAACTCTCTCACTAAAGAATTAAATTATCTTCTACTCAGAGACAATCTGATCATCTGAAAACTTCTTTTCATTACATTATTTTTATTATATAAATAGTGGAGATTGAGCAGTAGTGAGAAGTTAGTCTATCAAATTTCATCTCTCTTCATACACAGAAATAAAGAAAAAATAGAAATAAAATAAATCTATATATTATCACTTATTTATTCTGCTTCTCTGCATACATTATTTGTATATTCTTTGATCTGCTTTATCTACTGATTCTCAGTGCATTCTCTCTCTGTACTGTCATCTCTACAATAAAATTATACTGTAGCTGCTTCTGTACAGCAGCTGCTTCAACAGCAGTATCAACAGCAGAGATTATTATCAGTCTTTCTTACTTGTATGAAGATGCAAGGATTTCAAAGTAGATGAATAAGAATAAGAATAGTTAAGAATAGAAATCAATACAAGAGCAGAGGGAGAAGAATACAGTAGTGGGGTGATAATTATTAAATACACATTCAGAGAGAGGCTGATACAGTCATCATACATAATATTACAGAAAAGTTACCTCTTTTATATGATCAAAGAAGGTAGCTCACTGTACAGAACATGTATGGGTTATTCAGGGGCCTTGGCTGAACACCATAGGAACATGTGTTCGAACACAGGCAAATCCACCTTCATATAACCACTAGTTATAGTTAATTCACATATCCAACAGAAGCAAGCCACACCGCTATGCCATGGAACGCAATTTACCCCCAGATTTTGCAGCAGCTGGTGAGAAAAATAGCTACCTAAGCTCTCTCTAAGATCACGACAGCTCGCCTTGATATGGCGTTCGTTGTATTCGCTGGTCCCTGATATCAAATCACCAATGAACCATAATCATCCTGATCTCGGCACTCTGATACATGCGCAGGTGGTACACATAATACATGATACTTTGATACTATACTTGATCCTTGATACTTTCAATATCCAAAACCCGGTTTCCAAGACCTGCGGACTCCAAGCTTCCAATTTTCTCCTGCAGTGTGACAAGCCTGGCTTTCCTATTTCCGCCCCTTGTATGTGTTCCTACTCTGTCCGTCATTCGAAAGACTTATCAGCAAAGAGTTTCCGCCATCCCTCCCTTTAGCAGTGTGGATCCCTTAAGGTGAAATAGAACATAGCGCTCTAAGGACGAATCAATTGTCCCACGAGTCTACCAACAACCAAGCACAGGAAGCACACAATTCCCCCCCCTTCGGGCGGATCTATGGTAGTGTTAAACCCTGAGTTCAACCTTCCAGGCAAGGGTTTCTTAAAAGAACACTTGTGCAATATATTTTATTTTATCATTTTTAGGTTGTTTAATAACCCTACAATCTGAGCCAGCTCCATGTTCTGTAGGAATGTTCAGAGTACATACCTGTTCCCCTCACCGAAATGCCGGGATCGCGATAAATTATCAACATGGTAGTCATACTAAAAGCAAATGCACGAAGAACCGGTTTTCGTCCCCATGGAGTTTTAGAATTATTGGAGACTTCAGACAGAGCGGGCCTAGGACAGTCTTTCAAAATCGCCTCCCGGACCCCACCTCTGACCTTCAACTTTCAACGCTAAGGGCAGAACGGAATGAAGTCTAGAACAGAGAGTCAAAGGCGGGAAATTCTCTGGGTCCCGAAGGGAATGTGGTATCTTATCATAGAGGGCCATGGTAATCTTCATGGATCGGGTAGTTTCAAATCCAAAACAAAAAGCATTTTTATTTGTGCCTTTTGAGTTGAAACCGAAAAAAGGAATTGCTGCTGCGCTCGCATTTATCAAGCAAAGTATATACCCCTCGAGGAGGAAGGAGATTGCAGCATCGGCCCAATCAGGCTTCGGGCATCCGTCTGGCCGCGTCTGGGCCTGCGCCGAGGGACATTTGGCATCGGAAAATTATTAACCGTTGGTTGGGCCGATTGCCGAGACGAGATGAGACATCATTTGTGTTCGTAGCTTCTTCGCCCTTGAAGCAAAATACGCCCGCGTGGCTTAGTGGTAAAGCGTATCACTAGTAATGATAAGATCCTCAGTTCGATTCTGAGTGTGGGCTAATTCAAGTATTTTCAATTTTTTTTTTATTTTTTTCCGTTCTTACATACATTCTTACTTACTTAATTCCCCCTTTTCTTTTCTTTTTTTCTTTTCCAGTTTTCAGTATGTATAGCAATTATTTTTCAAATTGATTCTTCTGAGTTCTCTCGGGGAAATATCTGATCACGGTTGGATCGTCAAGGAATGCTGTCGGTCACTTCTCTCTCCAAACCCCACTCAGTCCTCACTAGCCCAAGCGGCTTCTTCCTTGGAACGACTTGCTCTCACAAGGTTCCAGGCCCTGACCGGGGCGACCAAATCCGCTTTTGCAGGCAGGGCCAGACCATAGGCCATGCCCATGTACCTGTATCTGTGAGCATGGATTTGATAGGCGGCCGGTGCTGCAAGGCGTTTCATGATTGAATAAGTGGCTGACAATCGTTTCTCGCTTCGCTCTACGGAGTATGATTCCAAGGTTCTCATCCTTACATTCTCAGGTTCACAAGGACTGGAGCTTAAGTCTTGAGGGAAAAAAAACTTTTCACCCCTCTTGTGTCCTGAAAGGTTTCGAGGAGGCCTCTTCTCCGGCTCCATTCTGGCTTTCGCCATTGGTGCGGGTTTAAACCCATGAAATTTGTCGCTGTCATCCATTTATTTTTTCTTCTTCTTTTTTTTTTCTCCATTTATTTTCTTTTTTTTTTAACCCCGGATCCCAAATTTCCAATTTACCCCGGATTTCCAATGTTTGCTGCTGACGTCCAACAACCTCGCTCCCGCCCTTCCCGCGTTCGGATTTTAAGAAAGCCAAGATAAAGAACAGGATTCTTGTGCTACTAGGAGTCGCTAATCGCGTTAATATTGTGGATCTGGACTCGTTGAGAACTTTGAGATTAGATGTTAACTTCCCCACTGTGGACTGCTCTTCGCATGTATGTACCACACAAGAAATCAAGCGGGGTGCGAATAAACATGGTCTGGCTAAAGAAAGCTAAGTCTTAAACATCTAGGTTTGATGTGAGAATCATTGAGTTCGGGTTTGTAAATCTTTTCTATTCTCTTTTCGACCTTTACCTATTTCCTGGTGTCTCCTCCACATTTTATGGGGGACGTAATCGCCAAGCGAATGTCCAGGTCTCATATTATGGAAAGTGCCTAGGAAAGAGACAACAAACGAAATAATGAAAAAGTTAGCTAGGTTGACCGATTTGAGAGGTGATACAATGACTTGACATAACCATCTCATAATGTATGGGTGGGTATCTTAGGACTTGCCCCAACCATGTTTCTGAATATAGCTATTTTGAGCTGCTGAAACCTGCTTTACAGGTTGTGGCAGATTGACAGCGGTCTTGAACTGGCAACGATTTTCGTACCCGGGAAATGAACATTAATAAAGGCCTTTGGATGTGAACTCTTTTTGGCCCCGCAAACCCAAGGGACTAAAAATTGGGAAACAGTTGAAACATCCAATCTTAGTTTAAAACAGGAACAGGGAAAAATATCGAGAAAGCATTCGTGTCCAGACATCCAGAGTCATGGATAGTAAAAGAGAGGCATTGGCACATACATAGATACACCTTTGCAGACTCGCAAGCTTTCATGTCCTATGGTATTTGCTTTCTACCTATTCCATAAGTAAAACGTAACAGATTTTAGAGCCAATGGGCGAAAATGAGATGTTTTGTAAGAGCAGACTACATTGATTCTTCGGATGATATATCTAGGATGCTTTCGCAATTAAGCCGAGAGCTGGTATCCGCATATATAAGTGTCTTGCCAAAATGCGGGGAAGTCAGAGCACTTTCAATTCCGCCTCGAATGACGGATGTCATGTTTCTGACAGGATGACGTCAAATGCATATCTCCGGATTCCATTGAGACAAGCGAGCTTTCGCAAGCCATGCAGCTTGACTAGGACTCTTTTTAGCCTCTTCTGACGTTGTATGATCGCGAAATTGCGACTGCTTTTCGAGATTCAGGCCAGACCCGGGCACTAGAGAAAAAAAAACGTTGGAAGTTCCCCTTCTGCAACACTGTCTACAGCTATGATTTTAATCTTCGCCAGTCGGTTGTATACCCACCGGACACTAACAACGCATCAACCGTTCACGCCCAACTACTTTCCAAATTCACAATGTCAATCTTCAACACAACCCGTCTGGCCTGCTGTAGCAACCTTTCGGAGAGGGAACATCGTGATATACGCAGGCCCAAGAGGCATCGAGTAAGTCTGTGACTTGTCTGTGACTAACTCCCGCGCATGTAGCATAGGGACTGCCTCATAGGAGGATTACAGGCGTGATGTAGTCAGATTATGGAAGGCGGGGAAGGCGGGCCGTGCAAGGGCGATTTGCAAATGCTCCATAACCAAATAGACAAGGATGAAGGCGTGAGCCAAGCCGCGTCATCCGGTCCGCATTCGCGACCAAATGGTGACAGGGAGGTTTGGCCAGCTCAATGTTGGGATTTCTACCAGCAATGAGGTGCGTGTGGTAACGACGGCCTCTCTCCCAGGGGCTATCACTTGATACCGAAGTGGCAGTGTATCCCGTTATAGATAGCATGGGCGTTAAAATATACATTGTCTCCTCAGGCAGTTGGATTTTTTACAAGCTGGTGTTTTCTAGGGAGAAGCACCGACGCAAAGATTTTGTCATTAAGGTTTGGTGCCAAAGAGACTTAGTTTAATTTGGTGGCTATATAAGCGCGGGACACGAGCGTTAGCGGCGTTTGTGAACGAACCTCGCTAAAAGTTCCATGGTGGCCCGTGCTCATACCCGACTTTGCAATTACAGAAACAACAAGCTTCATTAACTATGACAGAGTGTGACCACTTTATTAACAATGAATTGAAGTTAATTAAAACAAATCAAGTTTTAAGCTTTAGCGAGGTCGGGTTTTGTGTATACACCCTTTGATCTTCGCCTCTGGGACCTTTCACCGCTTTTGATGAAATAGCTGTTCATCACTTGCTAATTTCCTCTTCTACCTGATTGTTTGGAGGATCGACCACTGCTCAGCTTGCCCGTGAAGCTCAGCCAACCATCGCTATGCGCCCTAGCGTCCCAGCGTCGACCGGCGCTTCGATGGCATCAAGGAATTTGGCATAGCGATGGCGAGCGTAGTGGGATTGCTATTGTAGCCATTCTGGTTTTGAACTATCGCTCTTTGTTTCTGCTCGTTTGCAAGATCTGGTCTGATATCCCCTCAACCTGACCGAACTCCACGCCCATCACCACTGTTCTGCTCAAGACCTATCCCAACACGTGGACTTCGTCAGCGTGTTCTCCTCTCTCAGAAGAACTTGAAGCTAGAGGGAGGGTTTAATGAAGCATTCATTATGAAAACCAACAATGGGAGACATGTCGTTGTGAAATTTCCTATGTCCGTTGCTGGGCCAGCGCCATATGTGACTAACTCAGAAGTTCCAACGATCGCTTACTGTAAGAATAAGAGATATAAGTTATTGAAGCCTGAGCGTTAACTTGTCCTTATTGTGCAACACCACACCAAAATGCCAATTCCAGCTCCTCTGGACTGGAGTGATGACCCATCGAACCCAATTGGCTCTGCATACATTATTCTGGAACATACAGGTAAAGTTGCACTGCAGAAAGTATGGGATGAGCTACTATCAGACAAGAAAGTAAAGACGATTGATGCAATCTATACAGATATTGCACCGACATGCAAACTCAATTTTTCTGCCTATGGCAGCCTTTATTTCACGGACACGGCATTTCTCGACGTCGATTCAAAGCAGAAGCTTGAGAATGATTCTACATTTTGCGTTAGACCACACTGCAAAAGAACTTTTTGGGATTGCAATGTTGAGGAACTGAGATATTATACATACAAAGAACCAAACAGAAGGCCATGTAAGATGGCCTTTATTCCTCTTGCCAGTGTAATTCTGAAAATTAACTGGCTTCCTAGGGCGTGATCTCTTCTCATACGCTTCTGCTCTGATCGACGTTGGCTTTGCAAGACAGCCTCCACCAGACTATCCCCTTCTTCTTCAGCAGCGCGCATCATACCAAGTCTTCATGGACAAACACTTGAATCAGCTGAAGAATGGGCATGCTTGTCTTCTCCAATCTTATAAAACACCCAGCAATTCTGTCCAACTTTACACCCACTCTGTTCCACCCGGACCCACACAAGAGGAACGTTTTTGTCTCCAGGGATGACCCCACAACCATCACTGGCTTCATAGACTGGCAGTCCACCAGTGTCAAACCGGCATTTGAGTACACTCACGATTTCCCCGACTTTGCAAGCATCCCCTCGGGGGGAACATTAGAAAACACCGATGCAAGCCTCTGCTACCAATCATATGAGCTAGGGTGGGCTACGTTAGCTCTGCAACTTGGTGCAACCAGGAAGATTGACCAAAGCCTTCTCCGGCCGTTCAACTATTGTCACCGGACGTGGGGGGATAGCTTTGTGCCATTTACGACCGGATTAATGCGGTTAAAAGAAGGTTTGGAGGGAGCTTGGGTTCAAAACGCCCTGCCCAATCCCCGCCCTAACTGCTGAGGAACATGTGTTTTACAAAGAACGGCTGGAAATTTACGAGAATATTCTGGAATTCTCGCAGGATATGATCGAGACATGGGTGGAGAGTGACGGCTGGGTTTGTGTGGATCGCTGGGAAGACGTCAAGCGGGCTCACACTTACTTCTTTGATACACTTATGGCCAATATAGAGGACGACAAGGATCGTGGGGATTTAAGGAGGATGTGGCCATTTGATGCATGCATTTCTGATCGAGAGTGAGGCTCGACAGGCAATATTCAGTTACAGGGCAATGAACTAGGTGAAACAACGAGATTCTGAAACTCAATAATTCCATCAGCGATTTTAATATACCACACCGGTATGACGAGACCTAAATCTGTCTCCCACTCTTAGCTTATCCTATGGCTGGCCTATCCATCATCCCCACTTCCTTCCCTCCGCTGCCTTATTTACGTCGCTGCTTCAGCTGTCGCCAAACCCAGGCTCACCACCGTGCCCTGGCTTATGTCACACTGCCATAGGACATGGCACAAGCTAAGAAAAGGATACCCAGGAATTGAACAAGCCAGGCTAAGATGCTCAGGGGTGTCTAGGGTGCGAGCTTCAGAACATTGGTACAAGTAAGGACAGTGGCATATGCCAGTGCAGTGGTGTCAAGCGCTGGATTTAGATTCGCCATTCCTTCACAATTTCTATACCCCTTGCTGTGTCAAACTATCAATTCAGTTGTACACACTCCAACAAGAACCGAAAGTATCACTCCGGTGGCGGCACGAGCACTAAGACAGCATCTTAACCACATGTGCAGGGACCTCATAGACAGCTTTTCTGCTAATTATGGATTCTATCCCATTCTCATCCCCAACTCGTAGAGAATGTCTGCCGTGCAATACAACCGTCTGCACTGCTGGCATAACATGGGGAAGCTCATGGCGTAGGGGAAGCTTGTGGCCTGGGGAAGATCATGATTCTTCAACCATGATGGACACCCAAGAGAATACCGGGATGTATGGCCTCCAATCGATGAAGCATTCGAGGAAGGCGTACAAGGATATCGACGAGAGCGTCGAATGGGCGTGTTTGAAGCGGTTGAAACGGCTGCTACATACCCTCGATTTGATTCGCTGATGAATGTTGGTATTGTAGCCGGACAGCGACCAACAGCCGAGGAAACCCTCAAGTCAGAGTGGATAGATATGGGGGTTGTTGCCTGTAATCACAGCTGTGAGATAAAATTAGGAGGGCAAGTATCAAGAGTATGCTGTTTTTCTGTGAGAAGTCATCCGCCTTGACCATAACTTCAAACAGCAAATAGTGGCTGCTAAACTAAACTGTAAGCAGCTAGTTAAGTTAATTCGCACGTCATGTTACTGACATGAAACATGTGGAGCGAGTTCACGAAATAGGGGTTCATCGCGTGGAGTGGCTCCCAGTGCCCAGCAAAAAAAATCTGCCCAAAAGCCCATGAGAGATTTCTCTGCATTTCTCTTGTCTCTATCTCATTTTTCATATGATACCCCGGTTGTAGTGATCAAGTGAGAAGATTAATTCCTACTACTCAATCAGAACAAAAGAGATCCCTCCGTTCTCATTCAAAGGCGCAGGTCTCATTCCCTCCGGTGTACGAAGAAGAATCCGACCAGGACCCAAATCAAGAATCCGCTTCAGAAGATCAAACAAATACGCGTTGGTATAGAAGACGCGATGGGGGCATCCAGGTCGAGTTGCGATACTAGCGAGAGGCCCGTAAAGGACGAATCAGAAGAAGATAGCAACCCAAGTCTTATGTCTATCCTTATGCCTACCCTCACTGCCAACAGCACAATCACAATGACTGCTGCCGATTTCATGGCATTCTGTCAACAGCTAATATCCGCGCGTCAAAATCAAAATTATAATACCCCTGCGGACAATTCAATGTATGAGAGGGACATCCGAGCCGCAATTAATACCAAAGCTGTCACCACATTCGATGGAACCGACTACCAAACATGGAGGAATGACATCCTCGTAGACGCAGAGGTGATAGGTGGCATTGACATACTCACCAAGAACCAGGAGATACCCCCTGAACACCTATCAGCATTAGAAAAGGAGCGTTGGTTGATACGCAAGAAGATACTCTTTCGTCGCATGCTGCAATCACTAACAGGTCTCGTTCGACCGACAATTGGGACCTTAGAACTAGATAACGCAGCTGCCCTATGGAGAAAAATAGCAGCAGTATACGGAATATCCCTAGCGGAAGAACGCCTTAATATCACCAAAGAGCTAACTACCTTGCGCGTAAAAAATAACAATTATTTGTTATACGAACGTCGTTTTCGCTATCTCGCCGCTCGTTACAAAGAACTCGTACGAGATCCATCAGATATCCTCCACGACCTGTTCCTCATCGGTTTACGGGATTATCAGAAGGCTTTCGTTCAAACACATCTTGATAAGTTCTACGCAACTGGTCAAGATCCTATCTCCAATATCAATATCGACGACCTGATGAAACAACTGGCGAATCGCGCGGACAAGCCAAAAGGATTCTGATTGAACGAAAAATCCAGGGCTAACGCGACCACCACCGCCACCACGAACAAATATTAATCATCCCACAGATTCTCATCTGTTCTTACTCTGACTTATTGGTATTCCAATGTCCCCTGATTGCTGCTTAAATTCAAATATGCTTTCGTCATCCAGGATTTCAAAAGAAGTTCAAATTCGATTTCCATTTAAAGCACGACAATCGAACAGAGTATATTGGCCAAAACAAGACATGACAAGCAGACTGGGAAATCGGGAATAGACAAAAAATCACGGTGGTTGAAGGCATATTTTGTTGCTTTCGGGGATAGATGGTGTGTGCAAATGAGCGGGCAAAGCTGCTGTTTCGAGGAGTGAAAGGAAACTTTGAAATTTGGATAGGGCGATCTTGGAGGTAGGGATGATTGCGTTCCTAACAGCTGGATATTGGAATGTATGAGTTTACAGAGGCAGTAGGCAATAGGCAATAGGAAGTCGATGCTCGAAAGGGTTTTGTGCAACATTGGACAGAGAACAACGTCCTTTTATATTGCTTCTCTCTGGCGATGCGTCTAGGAAAGACTGGACAATGGTCTGGTCTATCACTCGTAATGCGTAACAAATATCCCATCGCCAGAACTTCCTGTGCACAGCGGAAGGGAACAATGTGTTTAGATAAGGGAAACAATCCCGTAATCTAGAGTTCTCAGAGAGTACCCTATTCTGATCCCAGTATTTAGGGCACCAGCCTGCCCACTCCTAGTCCAAAACAGCTGTAACCACTCCACTATCTACATCAACCATGGTATTGCGTGGTGGAAAATCACCAAGTGCAAAAAGAATCTCATGATTATCTTTCATCCCAGATCCCGCCTACTCCTTCAAAGAAGACGGATATTCAGGATCATGTAGCACAACAAAAAAAAAGTTATTGAATTCTGTCTCAGAATCGAATAGTCTACCTCGGCGGGGATATCGAGCCCAATTGTTACAGATCAGCATCCGCTTATCATATGTGAGTTTCCCTAGATCTTGTCAAGGGATTGGCCGGGGATGGATTCCATTCACAATTTGAGAAGGTTTCATAAACTTTGGGACTGGGATTGTGGTGCTGCAGCAACAAAAGTTTCATGGCTTCTGTTTCAAGGGAATCCAGTGGTGGCAGATATCAATACTTTCTGTTCATCGAGTCGGGAAAGAAAACATAGGTCACTCGCTCGGAGTCATCTGTTTGGTGGTTTTCCAAACTACCATTGAGTTAAAGAAGAACTGAGGCAGATGTAACCCCAACAATACACATTTTTGGGGGCGAACGTGTCCGAGTCCATGTTTGTTAGTGGAGAGTTTATGTCTGGATCTTGATGAACCAGGAGCCGTGAAGAATGGTTGTCTTTAGTGACAAGACGCCCTTGTTCGTCACATGCAAAAACAATATACTCTCTCCGCACTTACATATATCAACACCCAGTTCTGACTAATTGATAGGACCGTTTAGGCACTTCCTAGCCAAGTGTATGGCTGGAACAACCAACAGGCAAGAGGACACTAAAATACTCTGACAGTGCGAGGAGAGAAGATAAGCTGTCATATGCTTAGGACGGTGCCGCATGCGAAGCGCTTGGGAGCCTAATCCAGCGATGTGGTGTTCCCCGCGTCACTGGCATCACGGAGCTTGATGGAGGAGATTAGGCACGAACGAGTGTGTAGATCTAATCCACGTATTAGCCACGCTTGATTGTTTTAGGGATAGTAGTGGAAACGTATTATGGGAGCGGTAACTTCTGCTTATTTATTGCTGTTGAGATCAAGGATGCTAAAGGCGTTTTCCATGAGCTATGTGAACCTGGAAATACGGAAATATTATAATCCGATAACCTCCAAACCGTAACTGTTCATAGTGGTGAGGGGCCATCTATCTAAACAATTTTTCCTACAACTCCTCCTATTCAATCACCCAGGCAATATGACAAATACAGGGGATCACGAAGCTTCGGCGCCCCCCCCTGAACCCCAAGCAAGACATATAGTGTACTGCGGAGGTTAGTCTTCCATCCCCCATAATCAACGCCCCTCACATCTCCCCGCCATGATATCAAAAACTCCGCTATATGTCCTGTATACTTATATAACCATGTAGCTAATGTCCGACATTTTCATTAGTTTGCTCCCTTCCACCTGAGGTGTGTCGCAGTTCTACATTCTACCGGAATCCGTAATTCATAAACAGCTAGCTTCACAACTTCAAAAGAGGCATTGGACGCTAAGGGTGTTGATCCAATGCAGTATTGCGAGTTTGGCGGGATAGCGAAGAAGTGCGAGGAATGGCTGAAAGATAACCATCCGGATTTACATGAGCGATTATACTCTGATGGTATCCTTCCTCTTCCTTCCTTCTTCTTCCCTCCTATTCAATCCTAGTTCTAAATCCTGCTGCTCCTCCCATCCCTCTCCCTCTCCCCATCCCACTGGAACCTTTTAACCCCGTCGGACTCCAACATGAAACACACCCACCGACCCGAAATAACAGCCCAAGAGAGAAAGAAACTGTAAACTGACCAAGGGCCCCTCCCGTAAAAAAAATAAAAATAAAAACAGAAGCCATAACCGCAAACCTAAACACCCTCTCGCTCTCCGCCCGCGAACGCGCGGCCAAAGACGCCGCGAAAAAGGAAGCAAAAGCCGCCCTTGCCGAATCCCGCGACAAAGAACGCAAAGCTGCCGCCAAAATCCAAATCCGCCGCGTCGAGCGCAATAAACGAAAATACGTCACCATCGTCTCCGGGCTCGAGGCGCATGGCCTGGACATCAAGAAGATCGCGAAGGAATTGGGGAAGAAATTTGCGACGGGAAGCTCGGTGACGAAGGCTGTGTCTGGCGTAGCGTCGACGGCGCAGGGGGGTTCTGGGGAAGAGATCACGGTGCAGGGAGATGTTAGTGAGGAGATTCTAGAGTGGCTAGTTAGCAATCATGGGGAGAAGGTGCCGGAGGATAATGTGGAGCTCGTTGAGGATAAGAAAAAGAAGGCTGGGGCGGGCGGGTGAGTGAGTACGTTCGCTAGTTGGGTGGATGGTTTAGGGATTGGTGGTTGTTTGATTCCTTTCACTCTCTCGGCTTTCTTTTCTTGATTTATACGGGAAGGCGGGATTTTTGGTTGGATGGATGTCTAAAATACATCTAGTTAATGACTTTTCATGATTAGAGACGCTGTTTTGCGCTGCCTCTTTTTATTTTTTGACGGGAAATACTGATATACAACGAATGGACGACGACATTTTTGTCTCTTATTTACAGTTATTCATACATAAACTACATAATCGTCTCCTCTAGTAATAATCTAATGATGCAACTTCACTCGCTAAATGCCCCTGTTCACCATATTAAGTAGTAGTAAGACCTGGACGAAATTCATTATCAATGCCGCATGTTCCCAACGCTCACTAGGTAGGTCGCCCGAATGGAATGAATAGCCTATACACACATACCTCTCATTCCTGAAGCGACTGCCTCGAACAGGTATCCTCACCACTCGTCTCAAACGACCTACTCTCCCAAACAGCCTTTCCATCCCGAAGACCCTGCCCACCCAGCTCACACGTCAAATTCGCTGCAGACAGACCTATCCCTGTATCCATATCTCCAATCCCGATCCCTTTACCCATGGAGCTCTCAACGGGTTTCAATTGCTGAACCACCCACGCAACGACAAGCACAACCACAGCCGTCCCAACTATTGTCCAAAAAATCCTTAGCCGCGTCGTAACCCGCCTCTGCCACTCTCCCTCCCGTCGATCCCATGCCTCAATCTTGCCGCGCACAACTTCCATGCGCCTGTTCAGCGCCTCCGCCTTCTCCGCGCCAGCTCGCATGCGCATCTCGAGGGCATCGATGCGTTTGATCTGGTGAGTGAAGGCAGAGTGGAACTCGTCGATTTGTGTTGTGGTGGCACGGGACAGATTGTCGGTTTCTCGGGTGAAGTCTGAATGGAGAGAGAAGGCTGCTGTGGAGAGGGTATGGAAGGAGTAGATCGCTGAGTGGAGGCTGGCAATTTTCTCGAGGAGGGTGTAGTAGGTTGTGTCGAGGCGGCGGGTTATGGTAGTGGAGAGGGCAGAGAGGGTTGTGAGCGCGGCACGGTTTGATCTGTTTGGTGTGATATGTTAGTGGATGCGTTTATTGTATGTGTTTATATGTTGGTTGGGATTGTGTGGACTGACTCCTCCTCCTCCATCCTCCGTCTCCTCTCCCTCCTCACTTCCGCCATGGTGACATTCTCCCTCCGTCTCCTAAACGGGAGCTTTTCCTCAAGAGAACTGCTACCACTATCGCTCGTCTCCAGCCCATTCGTCTCAGAATGTTGTGCCGCAACAGCAGTGTCTACCACGCCAGGTTCCCCCACACCGTTCACGCGAGAGCCCTTATCCCTATTCGCGTGCTTCCCAGGTCGTAAACTCATACTCGCATGATTCCGCACAGTTTTTGGAAAGCGGCCACCCCGTGACCCATGGCGTTTATGGCGATATGTGCTCTTCTCTTTCTTCAGTTCTGAAGACGTGGCAGGTTTGTTGCGATTAGGGTATTCGTCTAACAAACTAGAGTCAAGTTGTTGTTGGTGCTGTTGCTGCTGCTGCCCCTCCTGCCGATGGTGAAGATGAGGGTGCAGCTGGAGGTGGGGGAAGGAGTGAGCGTTGGAGTGAGAGTGCGGGTGGTTTAGGTCACGATGCCTCGGAGAATGCCGGCGACGATGGCGCGGCTTGTGGGGAAGCGAGGAGTCGTCTGGTAGCAAGAAGGTGTTGTAGTGGGCAAAGTGTGTATAGATTCTCGGTGGTGGTGGTGGTGGTGGATGCAGCCGTCGACGGCTAGGGCCTGTTATTGAGGAGCGCTTATCGTTGATATTGATAGTGTCATCAGTGATACCGGGAACTTGGGCGCTGGAGCGTGCTAAACCATGGGTTGAGGGTGATTCCGCCGCCGCAGAGGGAGGGAAAGTCATTGTTGTTTGGCTCGGTGCAGATGCTGGCCCTTGGTTTTCTTTGTTAGCAGAAGTCATGCAGCAACCGGTTGAGTGCGGGTCATTCCTACTAGTAGCATCGATACTAGTGTTGATAGCACTACTCGCAGTAATATTAGTATTTACGAATTTCCTCGCTTTCTTCACGACATGGAGAGAATCATGTAGTCCGTATCGCATCCTACGTTCACTCGTCCGGCGCTTGGCACACTAAGCACCCAGCATCCCTGTAACCACCCTGTCCCGCCAAGCGGCATTGCTGATGCCCATGTGAAGAAGATACAGGTCGAGGCCGCACACTCTGGCAATGCGTTATTTTATTTCTATACCGCGCGGGACTGGAACATCATTTCCTCATAGTCCGTACGCAGAAAATTTTAAAATAATAAACTCCGGGTTAAAAAACAAACAAAAAACAAACAAAACGCCATTGCCAGTACTCCAGAAAAAACACAATGGCAAGTAAGCAGGTATATTATAAAGGTCACCGGGCACTTAAGAACTGAGTAACTTATTCCTCTTCTCCCTGCGCTTGAGCCGCTCAACCCGTTTCCTATGCATCTTCTCCGCCATCTTCTCATATCGCAACTTCTCCTCTTTGGCGGCCCGGCGATCCCTGATGGCTTGTATCCGCCTCTGAAACCAAACGATCAGTTATTGATTAGATTTTTTTCTTTTTTTCACGGCAAAAAGAGTATATGAGGACGTTTTGAATTGCACTGTGAAACGCACCTGACGTTCAGCCTCTTTCTCATCCTTCATCTCTTTCTCCATTTCCTTCATAGCTTCGCGAGCTTTGCGTTCCTTTAGGCGTTTGGTGTAGGAGGTTTGGCCTGCAGTCGGGCGGAAGGGGGTTTTGTCCCCATGCCAGTTCTTTCCTGTGAGGTGAGAAGGGAGATGACAAGTAAGCGCACATATAAGTGATAGTAAGATGGGGCAAAATATGGAGGTGGGCTCGTACCATTCTTCCGCATGCCTTTGGGTGCCTGGGATGCAGGCTCAGGGCTCTTCACCGGAGCCTCGACGGCGGCAGACATGGTGACGGAGGGGAGTAGTTACTACGGTAATATGAAACCGGGTACATTGGAAATGGACAATTGCAATCTTAAGAGGCCACCGACGCTGAGGGGGGGACGTGGTGGTCGTCCGTCCGGCTGCTCCTCCCGTCATTCCCGCAAGAAACGAAAATGAAAATCCCTTGAGGACTTACTTGTCTATGTGGGGCGGAGGGATCCGCGCTAGATTTCATCAGGGATAGCGTTATCTTGGTGTCATCAGATAACCGGATCTCGGCGATTTATTTCACCCGAGAGCGCTGTGCTAAACCCAATCGGGTAACAGAGCCCTGTTTTTTTGCTTTTTTGCTGCTCTCCGAACCTCATTCTTCAGACTCACGCCAAACCGAGCACTGTGACTCTGATCCCCGCCAGCTCCAAAATTGCGCCACTGTGCACACACAAATACACCGCATAGCACTCCGCTGGACACACCCCCATCCACTTCTGCAGCGTGGCTTACCTGTTCTTCCCGTCTCGGCCCACCTGCCTTGGTCTGTGTCTGATCTGTGTGGCCCTGGCATTCCCATCATGCTCTTCGCTTCCGTATGATGTCGCTCAACTACCACTCCCCTTCCCATATCCCTCGCACCTTATCTCCTTCACCCTCACTTAGCTCAACCCCGTATATCTCTCAGAATTCTACAATGTTATTCCGATAACACCTATTCCCTAATTACCTTCACTCTTCTTTTCCCCCCTCTCTTTCTCCCTTCCCCGCCGTTCTGCCCAGGCGCCCACATGACCATGGACACTGTGAAACCGCAGATTCCGGGTGCAATTGAGAACCAAATGGCGGTGGAGCTGGCTGATTTCCCTACGACGACTAATCATGGCGTCGAAGCTTTGAAAGATATCATATATGGATCTGTAGGTGTTGTTTTTTGTTCCTTGCTCTCTCGTATTTCATATATTGTGTCTGGTAGTTTATTGAAACATGGAAAACAAATTCCTTAAAATATTTTGTATGTTTTCTAATCCACCACTGATTTTTATAACCACATAGATCGCCGGAATCGCCGGGAAATTCATCGAATATCCTTTCGACACCGTGAAAGTTCGTTTACAATCCCAACCGGCCGGCCTCCCACTATTATACAAGGGCCCCATAGACTGCTTTCGCAAGTCCTTTCAGGCCGCCGGCATCAATGGGTTGTATAGGGGCATCAGCGCCCCCCTCGTCGGCGCAGCGCTTGAGACCAGCAGTCTCTTCTTCAGCTACCGTGTTACACAGGACCTTCTCAAAGCGACACTCTGTGCGCCGGAATCTTCCGATGGCGATTCTGCAGCTGCAGGTGAATTACCGCAGTCCGCGCTACTCCTCTGCGGCGCAGCATCGGGTGCTTTCACATCCCTCCTCCTCACACCTGTAGAGCTCATCAAGTGCAAGATGCAAGTTCCCCCTGAAAGCGGTGCGGCCAGCTCGAGCTCGGGCTCACTCGTGTCTAATAAAAAGGCCCCCGGGCCCATCTCTCTAATTGTAGCCGTGTTCCGACACGAGGGCTTACTTGGCTTCTGGCGCGGGCAGATGGGCACCCTCATCCGCGAAACCGGCGGTTCGGCGGCATGGTTTGGTAGCTATGAAGGCGTGTTGGCCTTTTTCAAGAAGCACAACGCATCGAAGTCCTCGGCTGCCACTCCTACCGTTTCAGCTACCACCTCAATCAAAGCTTCTTCAAGCACCGGTGGTACGGTCACTAGTGCAGGCAGCGGCATTGATGTCGCTGGTAGCGAGCCGCTGGTCCACCAACGCCTCCTCGCCGGTGCTGCAGCAGGGATTAGTTATAACTTCATCTTCTATCCTGCAGACACCATCAAGTCACGCATGCAGACTGAAAACTTCACGCATGCCGTCGGCGGGGACAGAGCCAGCAGCAGCCGTCCCACGTTTTGGGCTGTCGGTAGGGCTCTGTGGAAGCAGCAGGGCCTGGCGGGATTATATCGTGGTTGCGGGATTACTTGTGCACGCTCAGCGCCTAGCTCTGCGTTTATCTTTACGATTTATGAGGCCTTGAGGCGGTATCTTTGAGGTATACTTGTGCTGCTACTGCTGACTGCCAATGAATACTGGCAACCGCGCACATAGTCATCAAGGTGCTCCTGTTGATGGTTACGAAGTTTGCTTCTATTTTATACCCGTGAGAATATCTACTTTTACTTTTTGTTCCCCATTTAAGGTTGATACCCTCTACATCCTGCCCATTATTACCCACGACTCTTACTGCATATCTTTCATTTGCCCGTATTTGGACTCGACTAGCTTATCCTCTTAGCACATACAAAACTACGCATCTCCATGACCCGGCCAACATTCCTTTCTCTCCCTTCTGCATCTTCTGCCTTTATGTGAGAGAAGGGAGGGTTGCTCGTTTCTTTTCTTTTCTCTTCCCTCGGGGTATATATATCAATCAGCCAGGGCGAATCGGTGTTTCGTTTCATATATCTATTTCTATTTCCAAATATCCACTCGGGCGGCACCCTCTTATTACTTATTTTCTGCCCAGTGGTTTCAAAATTGTGCTTCTCTTGGAATTCTTGTTCATTCATATATAGACCTCATCATGGATCAACATATTTTCTGGATACAGTTTGCATTATTCAAATTTCAGTTCAGTCCCAAATTCAGAATCCATTTTATATTACTACTACTCCCTTTTTGGAGGTTTGTTGGAGAATAGGCCTGAATCAGTTAAAAAAAAAAAAAGAAAGAAAAGGAATAAATTGAGCTTGGGGAAAAGATAAAATAAAATAAAATAACTAATCCAAATATGCTAAATTTGAATTTACATACGGGGTTTTTTTTTTGGGGGGGGGGGGGATTTTGTATTTCCTGCCCTCGACAGACGGAACATCTGAACGTCTTTTTACTTTTCATTGATTTGCACCATTTAGACTTCTTCTGCGATTCTTACGAGCGTGAGGGCTTAACACTATAGATAGTGTAAGGGCTCCCGTTTATAGCGGTTTGGGAGCTGCTGTTGAGCGGTCTGTTAAGCTTTCCTGTGCCTAACCACGACTCTCCATCAATCGTGGCTCGTCCGCCGTAAGGTATATACTAGTATTCCCCTCTGCCCTCATGGCATTTCTTTATTTGGCCGTCTTACATATTTTTCCGCTTAACGCTCGATCAATTCTCTGGAAGTAAAAGCCCACTTCGTTCGTTTTCCATAAAAAATTCCCCTTCATGTTTCTAGCCGTGTTTCTTAGTAGCTCTCTCGTGGCTTTTGATATCTAGTTTCCCAACCTCCGATGTCCAACTTCTTGAACATGTATTAAACAAAGAACATCCACCGAAAGCCAAGCAATAGTTTTAAACTTATGCTCTGATAGCACTGCGCATTGCCACACAACCAAACATTCCTCCAGCGATGTCCACTAGTAGCCAAGTATCGGCCGCAGAGCTTCAAACCCTCTCCTCGAAAGCCATCGCTGCGAAGGAGGCAGCACATTGTTCGTAGCTAACTCCTCGTTCAAGAGTTTACCTATTCCTCTCCCCTTATACACCGAAGCACCTGTCTCTCTCGCTCTCGCTGCCGTCGAGCTAACATCCGATGCCAATGTAATAGGCCCATACTCGAAATTCCGCGTGGGTGCCTGTCTACTTACGGAGGAAAGGGAGTTCATTGTCGGCGCCAACGTCGAGAATGTTAGCTATCCTGTCGGCGTGTGCGCGGAAAGATGTGCTTTTTCAACCGCTGTTGTAGGCATCCGAGATTACACCATGCTTTCCCCTTCAAGCTCCTTATATGTTGTTTTCTATTACCTTGCGTTCATCCCGATATGGGATTTAATCGTTAATCTGCGAACCCTAACCCTTCTGTACATGTATAGGTAGCCGGACACAAAAACTTCAAGGCCATCGCCGTCGCGACGGACATTGTCCCGGGTGCATCCCCGTGCGGGATGTGTAGGCAGTTGTATGTGGAATCAGCGCTGCCTTCCCATACCCTTTTTTTTTTTTCCTTTTGCCATATTTCTTATAGGTGAAATGATAAACCGTATGCTAACCTTGCTACTCTCCGGTCAAAAGCATGAGAGAATTCTGCCCTCCTTCTTTCCCAGTTTACATGTACGGAGGGGATGGCCAATATACGGTGAAGACAATGGGGGAGGTATGTATTTTTGAAAATCGATATCGCACATCTCCCTGGCTTTTCCGCCAAAGGATAACTTCTCCGGCGTGCTTTTCGCCTCTGAGAAGATGCTAACTGGACGAGTAATAGCTTCTCCCAAATTCTTTTGGGCCTAATGATCTTCCACAGTAATTTCAACGGATTGAGAATATACTCGTTTTTGAACGGTTACCCATGATGAGGAACTACGGACATCAAAAATTTCTGTTGAAGCCGCAAGGGATTGTGGATTTCGGGACTTTCTATTTTGATAGCGTTGGATGGGCCTCTGAGATCAAGAGATGCAAATGTGGAGGAGGGCTAACTACTGGAGAAACAGACTTTGTTGATTGCAATATATCATGAAACTAGATGAAACTACCTCAATTTGGAAGCATACCTTTGGTTAAAATTTTAATTGCGTATCTCGATTGTATTGCAGAGAGAATGTTGCTAAAGTTCAAATATCTATATCAAACATCAAATCCTTCCAGCGAGGCCCAGCTCTCTTTCTCTCTCTCTCCAACAAACGAGGATAGCAGTAAGGATGCCCAGTACGTGCTATCGTGCTATCAGCAACCCTAAATGGAGTCTATCCATGTCGCATTCAGGTCGTCCGTTATGGACCGAACCCCGCTCATCCGCCGGATAAGAATTGGGCAGGGATACCAACAATAAGCTGCCTATTTTCTCATCTTCCACTTCGAACACACCACCAATACACCACCAACAAAACTTCTTTATGAAGACTTGGCTGGAACGCCCATTGTTAATGGTGGAGAATACCGGATGAATTTCATGCCATCTTTGTGTCATAGCGGGGTATCCTAGAAACTCCATTGCCTGGTTTGATACTAGTATCCAATTACCAAGATACCTACACCGTTTTCTATCTTGAAAACGGTATCCATCCATCCATCAAACCTGTCATCATGGCTGCAACAGCATCACCACGATCAGGCCCTGGGCCGTCCGAGCCTCCCATCGATGGTGGAGGTCCTTTCTACAAATGCGATCCAGCCATGGTCCTAGGTGAAGCTCCTATCTATCGTGCCAGCGACTCAACCCTGCACTGGTTCGATTGTCTCAACGAGCCTGCAGAGCTACATATCTTGCACGTTGACCCAGATACCGGTGCTGCCCAAAGCAAAGCTCGCATACTCAAACTGCAGGACAGCGTCTCAGTTGCGTTTTTCCGCAAAGGGAAGCCTGGCAGCTATATCGCCGCCTACTATCAGGGCATATGCTACGTCGACGAGGAGACGGGGAAGTTTGAAATCCTGAAAGAAATCATCCCAACAAGCCAGAGGGACGAACTCCGATTCAATGATGGAGGGATCGACGCTAGGGGCCGTTTCTGGCTGGCGGAGATTGATAAGAAAGCCATGGCTTACGGCGCGGGTAAGCTAGCCGCCAGCTATGGTGAGCCAAAGGGCCGAGTATGGCGGTATGACCCTGACGGAAGTTTGCATCTGATGGGAAATGGGTTCATCTGTGGGAATGGGCTGGCGTGGAGCCCAGATAATAAGACGAGTATGGAGACAAGATATCCGCCATGAAATTGTTCTTGACATCAAACTATAGAGATCTGATTTTGTTGCACTTCAACTGATGTGGGCTAAATGGAACACCAGTGTATATCAACGACTCCGCGGCGATGCTCATATATGCCTATGATTTCGATCTTGAATCTGGAAGCATCTCTAATAAGCGTATCCTTGTCGACCGTCGAACAGCACTTGGAGAACCAGATGGTATGGTTATAGAGTATGTCAGCCGCCTGTCATTCATTCACTCTAAATCAATTTAGATCCGTGTTTTCTCTTCAAGATATTATCTAAGTCTTTCCACCTACACAGCAAGCAAGGAAACCTCTGGGTGGCTGTCTACAGCTCCAGTCGCATCATGGTCTTCAGCCCCGATGGCAAACACCTCAAAGACATCATCTTGACCGCGCGGAACGTAACTTGCACAACCTGGGGAGGTCGAAACTGGGATCTCATTTTCGCCACGACGGCGCAGGATCCGAATCCCCAGTCGTGCGAGGTGGATGATGGTGGGCATTTGTTTTTGTATAAGCCCCAGGACGAGAGTAGAGGCCAAGCGAAACTTGAGTTTGCGGGCTGATTCATCGCTCTGATAATTAAACAACATATATACACTGTGTAATTTGCCTACATGGTTTCTGAATGAAAGGATTCGGAATGTCCCTTGTTGATTAATGTTAGGATTGCAAGTACAGGACTCAAGGAAACAAAGCAAAAGAGGAAATGCTGAAAATAACAATTTAGTGTAGATCAGACATATAGGAGGATAGTATAAAGCATAATAATGTCGCCAACAGTATTCCGCAATATGGAAAAGTCATCACAATACAAAGGTTAATTTATAGTTCAGAAGCATGAGTATTAAATCCGTCTGTAAGGGAAGTACTGTACATCTTGTCAATGATATACCAAAAAATCTTGCCAAAAAAATGCCAAAAAAGAAAAGAAAAAGTTGAAGAATTAACTTTTAAAACAAAAAACAATAGTTATAGTTTCATTTACATGTCCATTATTCTTCATCTAATATAATTAATTTCATTCTCACTTCCCCGCCCCATCGAGAAAAAAGAGTGAGAGAAATCAAAAGCAATAAAGGAAAACAGTATCGCTCCGTCACGCCAGCACGCAAGAAAGTCTTTATCATACCTGACCATTCCTCTCATCGCCCTCCTCGTCATCATCAAAATCATCTGTCCCAAGCAACTCATCCTCATCTTCCACAACGCCAACATAGTCACTCCTTCGTGCGGCAAAGGAGTCTCTGGAAGAATACGGTCGTCGCGAAGAAGCCCCGCCAGGCACACGAACATATCCGCTGACACTACGCCACAGGCTGGATACCAGAAGTGGCAGCGCTGTAATCACCGCGACAACCCCCGCCACCATGGATACAGGGATTGATACGAGGAGGGAATCGCGATCAAATAATCCTCCCGAGCCCGTTTCACCCAGACGGATGCGACCGAATTTTCCATCCCAGTGATTATAGACGTAATACCCAGCAGTTGCAGCAAGACAGATGGGGATGAGGATGACGAAGAAAAGACCGATGCCACGTAGGCGCGGATGCTTCTTGAAGAATTCCTCTTCCTTGTTCGGGCAAGGGTGAGCGACGATATGGTTGAGCTGCTTGCCACCTTGGCACTTCGTTAGGGGGATGCGCCGGTAGCCAGTTGGCTCATACCATTCTACGGCTTTGGGATTCTCAGTACAGACAAGTTTTGGGTCAAGAGGTTCGAGGCCAGCGACCCGCGCACAACTGCCGTCGCTTTGAGGCTCGTAGTTGTAGTCACTGCAGATGAGAAGGTCAGTTTTGTTCCCTAATGGATAGATTACACAATGTTAGATACGTATATGGGATGATGTACCATTCATAATCCGATCGTGTGCATTCGCAGATATCCCCAATGGAGTCCAGGTGCTGTAGTTCTCGGCCGTTATAGCAATCCTTGTCGGGCCGTTTGCGGTGATATTTGGCTCTGTGACCGAAGAGGCATCCATTAGGTTGAAGGGGATGCTTTGGTTCCCAAAGATAGTAATCATCTGCCTCCGGTTTCTTTTCATCCAAGACGCACTGTTTGGATCGCTCTTTCAGCCCCGAGAAGTCAATGTTAACAGTGGCGAGGCCAGGCTTTTTCCCTTGTCCGACTTCCTTGCCCCAGAGCAGGAAATTTCGAGAAGTATCCGAGGGTACGGTAGATATATCCTGAATTTGCATCTCAACTTCCGAAAATTCGAAGTCCTTCCAGCTCCTTCCTTCGTCAAGAGAATATAGGAGTGTTTTTGTTGGTGTGGACTCGGGCACAAGCACGATGATGGACCCACTGTCGCCAAATTCCCATTGATACTTGCCCTTCTTTACCTCTTCCCAGGTTATACCAGCATCTCGGGTGATAAATGTATCAGCCTTGCTTTTAAGTGACAAATAATCACCCACATTGCCCGTTCCTATCATAATGCCAACCGCTGAAGGTGACGAATATGTATCTCGTGGATCAGCGCGCTCGGTATAACTGTGAAGATGCAAGGCGCATGCATCGGTTGGTTTCCCTCCTTTCGTTGAGCAAGCGTATGAGCGCCCTTCGGAATCCTTGTCTGGCGGGCGCATGAGTGTCCATTCGGCGCCATCGTTGTGAGTAATCATGGTCCTAAACTTTTTAGCGGCTCCGTTTTCAACGTCGGCCACGTTCCCAACGACATTAGCCATCGCAACACCCTCCAAACCCTGCATCTTCTCAAAGTCGGCATATCCACGAGAGTTCCTATTCACTGCACTTAAACTGAGAACGTAAGAGGTTCCGTTGCTGTTGCTCTTTATGATACTTCCGTATTCGTGGTCCTCTATATTGTTGATGGTAACATGGAGGAAGGCAGCATGGGTTCTGCTCTCCAGGACGGTATAAGCCCGCTGTATAGGAATTTGAACGTTGGCAGGGAGTTCGGCGTCCGCAAAAGTCTTCCCATCAATACTAACACCGATTCTAAGTGAGTCTTGGGAGTTCTCTCCTCGAATAGCCACGATGATAAACTCTTGCATGGTTGCAAAGTCCAGAATATTGCTATAGTGGAGTCTTTTCTCAGCAAACCAATCCTCTGTTGAGAGGAGTTGCAGGTGTTTATTTGAAGGGTTTTCATTTTCGAATTGTTCGCAGAACACAAGTTTGTCGCTTGAGCCTCGAGCATCCCTTGAAATGAACTCGCATCTGCGAACGTATCGCATGAGGAAGTGCCACTCACCCCCCAAGTTCGTAGTGTAGTAAGCAACAGAGTGGCAATTACCTCCGTTGCCATTGCATTCATCGGCACCTGTCCATATAAGCCAGTCTCTCCTATCTGGGTGGAATGAAAGGACCGGGAGCTTATCTTGATTCGGAGGAAGAGGGGCTTTGAATTTTCTGAAAGTATCTCCACGGTCCAGAGTATACCATCCATCCCCGTTGTTTGTCAGGAAGTACGCCACATCATCGAAAAATCTATGCGGCTCTATCCGGGTTATCTTTTCTTCCTCAAGAATTTGCTTCCACTTCTTGCCGTGATCTCTACTAAGAAATATCTGTTGCTCAGAAGTAATCATGATGACTGTTTCGTCTTCGCCCTTGCTGCTCTCTTTGCGTTCGAGGTAGAAGTAATCTTTGTAATAGTCTGCTGTGAAAAATGACTTCTCTACCACGATCTGGCCAGCGGGAGGGTTCTTAAATGTCTCCGAGCAAACACGTTCTGTTTGTTTATCGAGATCTACCCCTCCTTCCCTGATACAAACATTACCAGGGATAAGCCTAAACCCGGAGCTACCTGTGAACTTATCATCAGGGTTTTTGCAGACACCCTCAGGGGCAATCAAGGACCTGGATGGGATGCAGCTTTTTCCGTCTTCACCACGAACAAAATTGAAGTCACATTCAAAATCTTCTTCCGTGCATTTGCAGCGCTCAAATTCAGGAGCTGGTTCCTCGAATTTCTTCTTGATGAAGCAATCAGCCTGTGCCTTTCTCCGTCGGTAAAACTGTTTATGGCCCATCAAGCAATCCGGCTCATTTTTCTCGTTCAATCTGGCAGGCCAATTTTCGAAGTCTTTCTCCTCACAAGTGCGTTCCTCCATTTCGGCAAAGTCAATAGAAATGATGTAGTATTCCATACCGATGTCAGCTTTGGCTGATCCAAGTAACAGGAACTTTAAAGTTGTCGAGCCAGGTGCTGTGGTTAGCACTTTGGCACGAATTTGGACGCCATCGGGTAGGGAAGCCTTGTGCCAATTCTTGCCATGGTCGAGAGAGTATGAAATCTTGTCGGTTCTCCCTTCATCAAAAACAGCGACAATCACAGAGCCTTGATCACCGAATTCATATTTATGAGCATCGTCCAGAGCTTTCCTCCAATTAATCCCTGCATCGTCGGAAACGAACAAATCGCCGTCCAAGTAATCCTTGAGATGGCCGCCTGTGTTTCCAACTCCCATAACTAAACCAGGCGCGGGGCTAGAAAATACACGACCGGAGTTCGTTGCATCAGTGACGGAGTGAAGGTGAAGATCATGTTTGCCGACCTTGAGAGGCTGGAAAGTCCGCCCATCATCGAATGAGATTTTGCTTATAACTTTCTTCTGGACGCCGTTTGACTTTTCAACATCTTCCCAGTTTTTAACAGTATTGACAAGAATAATTCCCTGTATCGAAGAGATTTTCTCAAAGTCGACGAACCCGTACATATTCCGGTTTGTATGTTCGATGTTGCGCGTAAAGTAAGTGCCGTTTGAATTGGACGTGAAGAGAGTGCCTATGGTTGACGAGTAGGTCGATACGACGTCAACCTGGAGACTGTAGCTTGTGGATTCTAGAATAGTATATGCATCCTCTTCTACCCTATGTCCGTCAAACTCAGTTCGATGCCACGTTGATGCATCATCGGTCACAAAAAGCGCCAGCTCGTTCGTTCTAGCAGACTTCGTCGCAGCCAGTATATACTTCTGCACACTCGCAGTGCGTATGACGCCACTCACTGCACGGCCGTTATCAAGTGGAACTTCAGTCCCTTGTTCGTCCTTGAAAAATCGATCCGAGTAGAGGAGGCGATTGGCTTCAGCCCAGGAGGAGTGCAATCCCGACACAACGCAAAAAATTCGATCGTTCACCTCCTTCGGCAGGTCAAGTCCTTCCCCAAAAGTTGGTGTTGAAACGGCCCATGCACAATGCCGTCCATTCTCCATCAAGAGGTGTACCGTTTTGAATCCATCCGTCGTGTAATATGTTCTTTCCTTACAGTCGAGCCCGTTGCACTTGTGTCCCAGAAGCATTACCCTATTCGAATCCTTGCCGTGGAAAACGAGTGGATACTCATACCGCGAGAGCTCCGCATCGACTGTAAACTCCCGCCAAGATTTGGCCTGATCTTCGGTGACCCAATGTGTCCCTCCCTTGCTCATTATATACGCCTTGGTCCTGTCTGTAGGATGCGGCAAAAGGGACCAGGCCTTTCCCCTCATCCCGCTCACATCTACGATATCCCAATTGGCACCAGCATCCCTTGAGACGTACACATCGCCGTTCTTCCCATCTTGGAACATCACAGTATCCGAGTCATCGAAGTAAAACAGGTTGACGGGTTCATCTTTAAACTTCGTTACAGATATTTTTGGACCGTCTGCTTTCTTTGCACTAGTGAATGCAGTTGCTAGCAGCAAGCTGCCAGCAAGTAGTAGCCTTCGAAGGATCATGACAGTGGATGTGGTGAAGGCATCTGGGAGCAAGGACCGAAGGGGACAGGGATACGGTGAAAGGTTGCGGATAAGGATAAGCCAAAAAGCTCTATTCGGAATGCAATGGGTTCTCAGAAACTTTCCGGCCGGGTAATTCCTTATTTGTTTTAGTTGGTCGGGGAGCTAGGAATGCGCAGCACCGAAAAAATTAGGAAGAAACTGGTCCAGAGCTGACTGGAATCTAAACAACAACGCTAAAGATATCAAATATATAACGTTAATAGAGAAATAAATGATGAAGTCAAGAGCTACAGCAGCTGTTTGTCGAATTTCTCGATGTGCTGGAGCGTGTGAATGATACGAGGACAATGTTGTTAGATGTCGTCGTCAAAGCCTCCGAAGTCCGCTAGCTCCAGGGCCGAGTCACGTGTGTTTCAGTCCAACCTAGAATTGGCGGATTCTATTTTTGGACAGTTCAACCTGCCAACCGTTGGGATAATAACACCAGAAATTCTAGGGATAATAGCACGAAAGGCACAGAAGGAGCTTGATGACCATTTAATGGAGCTAGGTATTCCGGAGGCGTACTCGAAATGGGGCTTCTCGGGGCTATTCGATGGTCAGAGCTGCAACCCTCATGGGTGGCCAAACTAAATTTCTATCTACCTCTTTCATTTCTGGATGAAGAGCAAACGAGGTTATCCATAAGTTGTTTTTAAGCCCAAGTCAGGACATTTTTCATGGTCAGGAGCCCTTGAAGGGGCTTCACTACCAATCCATGGAACTACATGGAAAATGATGTTGATAGAAATGTCTGGATGGAATCAGTTTCCATGACCCTGTACTTTGCTTTTGATACTACTATACTTCTTGAATACTAACAATGAGATTCAAAAACAGAAAATAACACAGGAATGAGAAGAGGGATCGAGATGTGGGGACAAGAGTCCTTGCTATACATGTGTTTGATAATAGAGGTTCTATTTTCCACGCTCCAAAGTTTGGGAGCTCGACGACAAGTTAGGTGGCACGCCCTGGAAAATATGGGGGCATCTTTCATTGGTTGAGCAATCCATACCTTGGAATTCAAAACCCCAACTTGACGCACTCATTACGCATAGAACATGTCCTCCATAGCCCATATGTTCCTAAATATGTTGTCCATGCTCGGTATCTGGAGTTTATGATTGGCTCGAAAGCGGCCAGGGAAAAAAAGACCTTTCTTCCCTCTTTTTCTTTTGTTTTCTTTCTACTAGAAAGAAGGATAGAGTGAAAGGGCCAAGGATAAGGTTTTGATATTCGGGGAGCTGTGGAGACAGCTAGTATGGATAAGGGTGGCAAAATTCTCCGTTACACTAAGGTTAACGAGTGGATGAACAATCGTACTGAATGAAGAGCCGAGCAAAAACATAAATTCGAAACTACTGGTGTTGAATCTATTCATAAAGCGGAGATCCGAAGGAACGGCTAGGGTAGTAAAGGCAGAACAGAATAACCAAAAAAGGATAAATATTCAGGGGCTAGCTTTTTGGAGGTGAAAATTGTTAAGGTACCAAAATAATGAAGTTAGATGAGGATATAGGCTGCAAGGCTGGTAAAGAATGAGAAAGAAGGAAAGCCAGCCAATTGGACTGTGATAAATTGATACAGTGTATCAGTCCTGATTCCGTCCAGTATTTCTTTTGTTCTTCCTCGATTGATAAGATGAATGTGTCATCGATTAAAAGCAACTAGAGAGCCAATAACATAGTGACTGTGGTCGTCCCGAATACTCTTCCCCTGGGGTATACAGGGACAGAAACTGGATAGAAAAAAAAGGGTGTAGACAAAGGATAAATCTAAACAAGAAAGGGAAACAACGTGAACCATTAATTCACGCCGTTATCACGCGGCTTGAAATAATCACCATATAGTAGGTTCAGCCGCACCGTTTGCGGAGCTTGCGCCACATCTTCTTCATCACACTTGTGTCTTCGGCCGGAGCATTCCAGACGGGGTGGTTTCCATCTGCCTCCGGAAGCTCAGCCAACCGCAAAGGATCATCGAGTTCCGGAAGGCTGGGTGAGACATCCCAAGAAGAGTCTGCCGTCCGCAAGTCAGGTCTTGTAAGTGTCATTTTTAGTGTCATCTCGCGGTTACCAGGGGTATTATGAGCATAGTTGAGTGGGATAGGTTGAATCGACCTTTGTAGTATGGATTTTTCCACACTGAATTTCCTGCTATGCGATTTGTGTAGGGATGGTGGGGTAGTACAGCTTGTTGAGGGGGATTTTGCCTGTTGGGAGTTCGCGGAATTGAGGGTTGGGGAGTCAATAGAAAAGTCGATGAAACTTCCATCCTCGTGGATGATATCCGGTAACCCAGTGGGGCTGGCGTCTTCAAGGAAAGTGCGGGAGGATTCAATGGTTGTCCGTGGCTCGAGTGATACCCGAGGAGGACGGACATTCTCCTTATTGTCCAGGGATGGGAATCCGAATTCGATCGCTTCGTCGAATTTTTGTGGGGATGCGAGGTATACTCGTAACTTCAGGCGGGCTTCAGGATCTTGGTAATATTGTGCTGGACTGTCAAGTGAAGAAAGTGATCCATGAGATATATGTCGTAAGATGGGCACACTGGATTTGGGGCGAGAGAATGAACGTTTGTGAGCAGCCGGAGGAGTTATATTAGTCAAAGACGATGGAACGGTGGATGATTGGCTGGTTGGAGGGATCTTGCTGGATATGCTATTTTGGTGGGTTGTGGAACTGAATGACAATGTTCGGCGAAAGGAGGGTTGTTGACGCAAGGACTGTGGTCGACGTTGCAGGCGCTGGCGAGAATATCGCGACGACGGTGTCGATATGTGCTTCTTAGTCTCCGCAATATGAGTGTGGTAGTCGTCAAGACTGAGGTCAATTTCTTCGTCTTCATCTAGCCAGCGAAAACTATCGTACAAGCTGTCGTCGAGACCAATGGCGGAGTCAACTGCCCGCGCGGACGACGCCATGGAAGCGGAATATGAGAAACTGGCACTGGTGGGGACAGAGGAGATGGATTCAAAGGACCTTCTTGCTTGGTGCCCTAGTTTGTACAGCGCTCTATCCGCTGCGTCGAAAATAATGCTACTCCGCCAGCCTCCAAGTCGAACCTGCTCCTCTCGACTAAAATGTTGTTGTTGAACCTTGGATGGGAGTGATCGAAACCATTCCGAGTCGGCTTGAGCAGCGAGATAAGCAATCTGCACTGATTTTGCTTTTCGTAGCCGGCGAAATGGCCGGCTTTCTTTCAGACGCGGTTTCCCTGGGTTGGATGCTGTTATTAGGGGTTCTTGAGTCAACGAGCTGTGGGGCTCAAGCTCAGCGACCAGGGTGAGGAAGGGGAAGTGAGAACCATCACCGCCGGGGGGTAAACTTACGAGTCGGCGTTGCTGGGGTCCTGGGCCTAGAGTTCGATCCAGCGGATAAAGGGAGGTCATCTAACAGACGGGGGCGGGTGCTTCGGCCGTCATTGTGGACCATTTGCGTGAGCCGTAATTGTTCCAGGCGAAAACGCTCTAAATTGGAAAATAACTATTGGATTTTAGCGAATGAATGGTCAGCGAAGGCCCCTTGTTCCCTCGGAACGTCCTCAGAAAGTGGTGCAGCTTGGGGGAAAAAAAAAAAAAAAAAAAAAAAAAGGGAAGAAGAGATAAGGGAAAAAAAAAAATGAAAATTGCAAGGGTCAGAGCCAATCGAACAATCAAAATTCAAGCGCCACCAATTATGCAGAACAGCTGGCCATTAGGGTCATTCAAAATGTTCGATGCAATGTTTTTGTAAAATATTCGATCGCAGGCCAGCAATAGGGAACCTCTAAGCGGGGTGCTATCCACGCCACGAACGATCACCACGGCTGTGAAACAGTGACCAGTCGTCCAGTGAAAAATCGCACACGCAGCGATCAAGCATCAATAATTGACAAGCTCTTGGCCTCGTCCAACAGAAGCTCATGACGCCGAATGTCGAGAGCAGACTCGTCACTAGCATCACTAGCCCGGAGCTAAATAGCACATTCGAGCGATAGCGTGAGGGGAAAAGCGGCCAAAAAGGAACAGCACCGCACAACTCATCTTCCACCACATCGGTGTTGCATCCCGCCGGACTGAGCCGATGTTGTGAGGAACGAGGTCGAGTCTCTCTGATTATTGTTGCAGGGTTCAAATGCAAAGAACTGGCAACAGCCCAGGCCAGTCGACGGAGGGACAACACCGCCCTTGCATAGCGTCCAGCGCTAACGGCCCGCCACCAGATCCAACGCTGATAAGCGGTAAAGAGAACTTTATGACGTCTCGCTCATCTAGAAGATGGGGAAAATCGTTGAAATAATATCATAGCAAACGTTTGTACGGCTTGCTACGTATTTCTCAAAAGAAGGGAATATGACAGCTGCAGACAAATCCACCCCCATGTTGTGAAACGGTTCGCAAAGCCCCGGACACATTTGACGGCTCTTCCAGGTTCCTCATCGACGAACCTTAAAACAGTAGATCCCAGCTGTGAGATTAACCGCCAGCAGGGTGCAGCAGCGAAATAACGGTGAAGGGGGTGATGTGCTGTACATCTGCTGCAGGTCGTGTAAAGCAATCCTGCATTTGAAACCGCGAGCGACAAAGAAAAACGAAGTAAAAACCAGGCAGAATATGAGCAAGGAAGAACCAAAAAGACTTACTTTGCGCCTTAAAGCTGGCGGTAACGAGTAGAAATCATCGGGGTGATATTCCATCATGTAGTGGCGGTGTGAGCGCAGAGCTGCGCAGTATATGAAAAGGGATGAGAGGCAGGTCGGAGTGAACTATGCATGCGTGGATTGCACGACAAAAGGAGCGAATTGAGAAACTTGCACAGTGAAGGGAATGAAGCGCTGGAAAGAAGGAACGTCGGTCATTAAGAAGAAAAATATCCAAGGAAAAGGAGCAAGAGGGGAAGAGTTATCACCGCTCATGGAGGCTAGAGACAGCTAAGAAGCCGGGGCCTAAGCCCGTTTCCACGCAGCGACTGGACTCAGTGGACTGGGACTTCTGGGAGTTGAAGTAGATTCCCCTGGCCGTTAGCCGCCCTGTCTTAAGCACTCCCGTAGACATATTCGCTTTCATACAACAAACAGCTTGCTGGTTGGTCTGAGATCAAGAGAATACCCACTGGTCTGTGTCATGGGCCTGCAGTGCTAGCCTATAGGATACATGCATCGACGGCCCATGTCATCTAGGGGTCCAGTAAATCAATTTTGTGACAGCCAGCAAGTAATAGCTGCAAAAAATGTTCAAAGGGAAAAGGTTTCCTCCTCGCCACAGGTATCGAAGGAGAGATCAATATTGCCAGGCACGAGACGGTGGAAGGACGCTTTTTCAAGAGGATGCTATGTATAAGACCTATGTTTCTATTCCCTGTTGTTAAAATGACATGTTACAAAAATGCAAGAGACAAAAGATATATCTGCAGTGTACGGAGTTACTTTACGCACGTGTACCTACTTACTTACATATTGATGTGCGGGTATTTCCTTGCTCGAATCCATGCATCGAACAACCGCATCCTCGTCAAAACTTCCCAAGTTTTTGACTGAGCCAGCACACACCACATGCCGCGAAAAAAGGATGATAGGATAAACCTGTGCCTGTACATGTACTGTACGCTGGAACAAGAAGCCGAAGCTCTCAAAGATTTTCCCCTCACACCAATGTAAAACATGCTTGATTCCACGACGAGAAGGAAGGAAATGTCATTGCTCTCATCAAAAATATGGGTGCATGTGCTGTACATCCATGGATCCCGTTTAGGCTTCAAACGACCCAGTCGTACAGACTGCGGAATTCCAGGTTTTTTTTTTCTTAGGCCTAACTAGGCCAACAGGACCCATCATCATACCAGGCCTTGAAATCTCCGAGAAACAAACAAGAAGTTGCCCTTCATGCCTTGAATTATCATCGACGGTCACTTAATTTATTAGCCTGGCGAACATCGGCCCAACAATGAGGTTGAGCAAGGATATCCCTTCATCTATCTTTTCTTAAGCCTGGGTTTATTCTGCATTATCGGAGAAGCCGTAACTAATGGTAAAATCCACAAATTCTGTGCTGGCATGAGCTTGATTGTCGAAGCCGACACATCAAAAAACCTGGCTTGTTTCGTGTGGTTGGTTCATCCAAGGTGCAAAATTCGAGCGTCCTACGCAGTAGATTCGACAAATTTCTTGATTTCTGCACACGCGGGAATTTTCTTCCTTTATCTTGCTCTATGCTGCATCCTGGTCAGGAGATCAGACCCCCTTCGAAGCGCTTTTGTGGTCCCTTGATTCTTCGATCCACACTGCCACGAGTAAGTCACGAAATAACGTTCAATTAGCAGGTGATGAACATTGCAAGCGAGCAGCTTCGGGAGACATGGCGTCAGCCTTGTCACCCCGAATATTGTTCGCTCGGTCTGCGGGTGCTCCTCTTAGACAGGTCACATCATCGTCGCCTCATTTTGAGCCATGGCCAGTTCCGCATCCACAGCTGCATCTCTTGGGGATAGCTAAACCTTTTGCTTCGAGATATCTGCAACGGGAACAGACCAAAACGCCCTCTCATGGGCAACCTCCATGTTACGGCCAGATACCATCTGTGTAGGCGAATTGCCTTTTGGCCCGACGACATGAAGAAAGCCAAGGCAAGGCAGTTTTGGAAATGTTCTCGTGTATGCAATGAACCAACCCCTTGGGCTTGCCAATTGTTCCAGCTTCCATGTTGAGAACCTCACCATATGTTCACTGTCAAGTAAATTTTGACTCCACCTGGTGTGCCATATTGCTGCCCAAGCAACAATAATAATGGACGACAGTTCGTTATCTGTACCAGGTCGCATTAGCTGACATTCATACTTGGTTTCCGTGGGTTTGTCATATTCCTCGCTCGTTTTCTCCTCGGCCTTTCAATTTTTAAATTTATTTATTTTCATTAGCTGTTAAAATTTCGCGATCAGCGGGTTAACTATCGCTAAACGCTTCTTCAAACATCAAACCAATTCGACAATACCATCGTGATTACGTTCGTCGCTCAATCCATCGCAACGCCCAATGCGAACAAGGAACTCCATCAATAGTTTGAAGCTTTTTCTCTGTATTTCCCCCTGCGTGAATTTCAACTGGTTGGGGCTGATCCGGCAGATCACTGCGGATCGTGATAGCAAAGATCCAACACCGAACCATAAAATAATTCCAAATCCCCCTTGGGCCCTGACTGAGCCTATGGCAGAGCGCCTTGCTCACATGCGAGGTGGCCTGAGAAGGTTTTAAACTTCTGCTGCTCTTTATCTCTCTGTTCTTGGCGTTCCCCTGTTTTGTGTCTATTTCTCTCGGAATGGAATTTCTGAGAGGATATCCTTATGCCTCTTCTTCATAGGAGCGTTGTTGATTGCATTTTGTTATTTTAAAATGAGGTTTTCGGTTGTAGTTTTTCTGAGGATTATGGGTGCACCGCTCTCGCTAGTTACTATCCCTGATGCTGCTAAAAATAAAGGGGGGGGGGGGGGGGCTACTTTCTAAGTTGGGAGGATTTCACATACCCAAATGCCTTTGTATAGCTTAACATGACCCCTTTTCTGAATCCTTATATCACGGCCCAGTAACCTGCTTCCCTTGCTGACTGTACCCCACCAACCCAACACCACAGCACAAATATTTGAATTTCCCTCTACATTTCTTCTTCTCCTATCAAAATTATGAATCTGACGCGAATGTGCAACGTTGCTTTTCAACGGGTTATACCGTTTTGGCCATTCTTTTTAAAATAGGTGTCACAGAAAAATGATATATTCGTTTGTCACATCGCTATTACCCCAACCCGAACGAACGAAAGAAAATGTGGTGTGTACCCCTGGTATACACTGGTTTGGTGATATATGTCAGATCCCTCGCATGGCTTCAGGGAAGACATCTGTTTGTATTGGTTGACACTCTCTCACTCTCTGTCGTACTCTATTCAACTTATCCAAGGACCCTGCTTTTTTTATCAGCATTTCAATGTTTAAGATCATGGCTAGGACAGGTTTTTTCTTCTTCTATTTCTGTGATCATGCCAACCACAATACACTGGCGAACTCATAAAACGATACATTCTTGAGAAACGCCGTCATATCTCATGGAATTTGTATTTGGAAGAATTAACAGCACTTCCACCACCAAAAAAATCACATCAAATCAACTTGTATTCTCGAGTGGTACTGATGGCTGTGTTGTTTGACGCACTGACTGATCACACCTTCTTTTTATCTCCATGCTTTCATTCCCCGGCAATAGCGAGGCTCATCTGGAACTGAGACCTTAGGAAAGGAGGCGGGAAGCATATTATTACATGCACTTGGATATGGTCATTATCATGTCACTGATGGTCATGGGCCTATAAATTTATCATACTTGCTTTGAGCTCCGATGTGGCTTAAGGTGGCAGCTTCATCGAGGGCAAACCAGGAAAGATGCTTGTCGCGGAGCTAAGCTCTTGACTGCAGGTTATACACTGTAAGGGAAGATTGGCAAGCATCTTATTCCTACCTCCTTCACTTGTCACGTAATATGAAGCCACTAAGGCCATCACTGTAGTTGGGAATACAGTAGACGCAGAGAAGCTGCGAGTTCTCCAACTGGTGAAGAAAACAGCCAAAGGGGCAGTAAATTTGATTGATTGGTACAGAAATTCACCCCTTCGTTTTCCAAAACCAAATCGTTCGATTTCCTTTTTCAAGAAGGAAAAAAAAATCATCACAAAAGGTTATCCCCTACACCCCTCCTATCTGCTTTACACATATGTAAGCTCTACCCAATACACCACCTTCGATCCTTAAATCCCACACCTTCCCCTGATAGTCGGATACTCCGCAATAACTGCACGAATAGTAGCAGCCATCTCATATCCGCCAGCACTCTCCCCCTGTTCAAACAAGTCGCACAGGGACATATACACAGTAAGAATACGTAAAGCGGTTTGCTGGAACTGCTCTGAGATTTCAGAGACATCGTACGCGGGAAGAGTGGCCAAGGTGTTCTCAGCAGCGACGATTTCGTTCAGGGTGCTGCGCACGTGACGGGCAAGGAGGGCCATTTCAGTTTGGGTAGAGAGGGAGGCAGTGGTGGAGGCACTGGATGCGACGCTGCTGCTGGTGCTGGAAATGACGGAGGCTGCGTCGTCTCCGCTGGAGTTGTTGTTGTTTTCCTGCTCATGCTCGACGTCATTCTCGGGGGTAGCAATTTCATCGTCTGTGGTGTCATTGCTTTTGGTGCCGGTATTGGTGATGCTGAGACTGTCGAAGGAGTTCGCTACGACTTTGAAATCCTAGGATAGGAATGATATTAGCGATATATATGATTTAAGGAGTCTGAGTCGAAGGAGGGCAACTTACATCTAGAACTGGGGGGTTTGACTCCATGGCAGGCAATCCTCCGATTTCAACACAGGTCATGGTAGAGAGTGCAGCTTCATTTGCGGTGCCAGTTTCTTTTTTATCAGAGATCACCATGTTGTCGCTAGGAATAGAACTGTGTCTGTAGATCTGGATATAATCACTGGGAGATTGCAGTCTGTGTTTCAAATTGGTCAATGATAGGGACAGACCTATGAGAGAGAGAGATGTTGAAGTTGTTAGGTCTTTCTAAAAGGAGAAGAGAATAAAACCAATATATAGAACCTAAGCATGCGGTATATCACTCCTTTTAACAAAAGCAAATGAGATAATGAATGCTGTGACGAACACATGCAAGCTGGTGTTGAGGGTATCTTTGTTAAAGCGTCATATAAGAAACTCTATGACTACAATATTTCTTGTGAAAGACTTCACTATCAAAATGCGCCTGTTCCTACAAGAGGAAAGCGGGCATTTCAAATATGAAATAATTATCACCGTGGTATATAGAGTTGAAGTAGTCCTGCCCAAAGAACGCAAGGACGCGCTGCATCGTTGTTGGAGGAGGGGTAAGACCTAACAGCGACAGGATAAGTAAACAGTGGTTGTATTGCTGCACCGTAGAGCAGAGAAACGCTCTTGACAGCAGGGCGTTTCAATGGAAGTGATGACAGAATGGCCAGGGCCACAGTAGTGTAGATCACATCTAAAAGCTCTTGACCAGAGGCAACTACTCCAACCGCAGGGTCCCGTTTGGTAGATGGTAGTGGAAGAGTTGGTGGTTAGGGGCGAATCTGAAAGTGAACAAGCATTAAAACAAAAAGTGGAAGCTCGGGATCGAACCTGGAATCCCTTGAGCAAAAAAAAACAAAGTGAGTATAGGGGGGAAAGAATAGTCAGTAGAGATGATGGATATTGTTAAAAAGGGGGATGAACTGTTGGGGATCCGAGCCGGAGACCCCCTTGGTCTAATGGATCCAAGGGGAATGTGTCACACAGAGAGGAGTCCAGAGAAAGGCATAAAGAGATCAAAGAAAACGAGTGGGGGGACCCCGATTCGAACCCAGGCTGTTCCCGTTCAGAACAGGTAGATGGGTGTGGTATATTGGGGGTGCACGAACCCTGGCAACACCGCCGGGGAAACACAGGCAAAGTATGGCAGGGCATTCCCATAGAAACGGGCGCGAAGGGGATATAAACCCAATTAATGCGTATATTTTCAACAAGTGGGGTCGGTGGCCTAGTCAGGTCAAGCCAGACCCGAGTCTGGGGGCGCGAAAGCCGCCTTCCCCTCTACCCACCACCCGGCTAGGAGCAGTCAGGCCAAACCAGATCCGGCTGGAAGGCGCTGCCCCTACCCGACGCATACGACCGACCGAACGGTGGAAAACCCCAAAATAATATGTATATCTTATCTCGGGGGGTTTTCATAGCATCGGACTGCCCTGAAACGCGGGTACTTCGATGTGAACTTTTTGCTTTTTGCTTTCTTTTTTTTTTCCGGGTACTATACATCCCATACCATTGCTTCCATTTCTTCTCTCTTCATTTAGAAAAGAGTGATTATTTCTAATCCTTCCTTTGGTCGCGGTAGGTTTGTGATGATTTCCGACCAATGTCCCAGTGGCTGCACAGCATTATGCCAGATAGATTTGTTCACTGACCTGTGATGTCCAGCACAATAAAGTAGTCGACTTCACATACACGGTTAAGACTTCTCAAGGAACAGATAGTTGCCATCTTAGAAGAACTAAAACCACATCAGTTGAAGGTGGTTCTTGAAATGGGTAGATAGATATAGAGTCAAGTTGAATGTAAAATCTGTACACTTCACTGCGGCCATGCGATTACTTTATGTAATACGCCTTTGGAATGATTTTGAAGCCTATACCACCATGTATAGGACCAGTTAGATCTCCGTACGAAGAATGGAAGGGAAATGACAAATAAATGTGCAATTATATCACTGCTTGCACATTTAATGGCTTTTGTACGAATAACGGTAGAGTAGTCTGGTTTAAGCCATAGCTGGTGAGGAAATACTCCATTTCCTCAAAAATGCTGTTTGGAATTGGAATTCTCGCCAGCCGATAGAAGGATAGAAGAAAGTGAAACAAACATAAGTCATAAACATCATATTAAAAATTGTTCACGAAACATGGTGAGGCTGGCCGTGCACCAAAGACATAACATATTGACTTGATGTAATTCAGAGAATAATAATGCAGAAACAGGGGGAAAGAGAGATAATCATAAGGATGCGAGCTCCAACAGTAATCGGATGGGCTGAATGTCGCACGGAAAAAGAGAACGGCCTTGATAAGTTATCACGAATGTGCTGACAAGTATTCCCGGAACCGAATCGATCAAAAGCTCAGGGTAATGATAAAATTCACATATATTGGGGAAGTGGCCAGCGAAGAAATCGAGAGGTGAAGTTGAATCAGAGTTGTGCAGGGGCTGAAACGCATCAACGGTTTTTCCGTCCTGTGGGGGAGCTGTGATAAGCTTATAAACTTAAAAATCACCACAAACTCCAGGTCATGCTGGCAGAGGAACCCCCGTTTCTTGTGATGATTGAAGATAAACAGCTTGCTGAAGTTAGCTATTTGAGGAATAGATACCAAGACAATTTCGGGTTGTTTAATGTCCTTCGTTACAAATATCTGTTGCAATCGGGTTGTGAAGGGGGTGTTGTAAATGTTTAGCGTTGCCAAGCACTATTTTGTAACCTTAAATCTCCTGTCGAAACCGCATGCCTTCAGATTCCACATTTTGTTCTCGAAGTAGAAGTTCATTAGCGTCACGCGGTGACTATGTGGCTGGGTGATATATTCTCCCGGCTGTATATTGAACTGCGACCCAAGGCAGCCCGGAGTGCCGGCAAAGGTCTAGGCAAGAGCAGTACAGAGGTATCAAAGTCATTCGTCAGATGATGTAGATTTCAAAAGTTCAATGAAGACAAAATAATTATTCATATGTCTATCACAAATTAGTTATTATCTTCCAACATACAGAGCAATCTAGACACTAGAACATGAGAAGGATGTAGAAGATGGAAGAGCGACAAAAGTAGCATTTAATTAAGTTGGGTTATTGCTATTTTGTCAAAAGCCACAAATAAGCGTCTAAGAGATATATGTCATAATTAACGTAATCCAGTTGCGTCCCGCTAGTTGTGACACGAAGTTTGGCACACAGAGGCCGTAGGGGAGAAAATGCGCCATAATCACGCTAAAACCACCTAAAAACGGTTGTGCTGCGCAGATGGAGTGAAAGTGAACGCGCACGTATTTGGTGGATCAAGTTGGGTCAACCTGCAAGATACACAATGGCGATATACGTTACTATGAGAGGCTGTATGTTGAGAGGCATGCACGGACGTGGATATGATTATAGCGTACATACCACACAATTGGGCCCGGTCACCAATAGTCGCCAGTTATCTACCTCACATGTTCCCCAATTCTGCTTCCGTTTCTCTTTTCACCTGCTCCAAGCTTGCAGTCCTGATCTTGCGATCCACCACCAATGACGAACCATTCAAGGGCTGAAATCTGCCATCTGGTAACCTTTTCTTGACGCAAAAACTGATTCCAACCGTGCCAACTTCCTTAATCTCAATCAACAAAGCTATCACTACTGATATTGGTTCGCCTGGCCTCCGGTTTGTAGAAGCGAAACTCGAGTCAATGGAATACCATCTTTCGGTGAGGGAGGTCACATAGCCAGCGCCGTCCTTGGTCTCAGTGTTGCAGGTTATCCCCACGTCTTTGAACGGGTCTTCATTTGTCGTGGTTCCTGAACAAGTGATTCGCAGAACAAATCCAACTGAACCAGGTAACCAGACGATGTTATTGTCCGGGCCATTATATTTCGACAGGCTCAATGAATAACTCGGCGCCATTTGAAATTTGCGTCTTGGCTCGAAAATGCCAGTTTCAACTTGTATGGTATGCAGGGCTTGGTTGCGAATCGAAATATGTAGGCGAGCAAGAGAGAGGTAAGGAGAAAAGTCTGGTGTGAATGTTTGAAGCTGAGTCGCTCTTTTACTTCGAAGTGGAAGTTGTAGATTGGAATAGGAGATGAGTTGAGGCTGGGAGTTCAATGAGCAACAAAAAGTGAAGCATTCATGGGAAGGGAATTGAGCTTTATATCCGCATCTCCGTTCCTAGCAACATATTAAGCCTGGGTGGCTCCGTAGGATGCATAGAGATACTAAATTCATTCAAATTGGGGTGTATTGAAGTACTAGTCGAAAGAGTGTGAATAACCCGTCATTAATCTCAAAGAATTAATGTTAAGCCTCAGACGTTTGCACACAAACAAAGTGGGGTTTGTTTCCTTGATAGGAGCTATTCTTCTATTCTGCGATATACACTCGTTGAAGGAAATTTCGGGAATATGCACTTCATAAGCTGGTCGAGTGGATTGTAAATATCACGCAGCTTCTGGTAGGCAATATATTAGCAAAGGAAACATAGAAACATCCAGAACGCAGGGAAAAGAAACAGCAATGCCCATATCTTTGAGGGTAAACTTTAAAGGACATCGGGAGAAGCAATCGGCATAGAAGTAGCTGGTAGCAATTCATCAAGAGCGAAATAGATGTTGATTGGACAACTATATTTTCCTCAACACATAGGGTCCGCAAGTGGGTGCTTGACAAGAATATTTACTTCATCGGCATGCCTCCTACAAACATTTTGATAAATTCAACGTGAAAGTCAAGCGCTGTTTGTAGTGATATATCTTGACAAAGGCATAGGCGTCACCCATCCTTTCTCTTGAGGAACTCAAGATAGGACAAAGCCGCAGAGCGGGAGTTAATAACGTGGGGTGATGCATTTGGTTGGACTCTACCAGCTGCTGGCGTATATCTCGATGTTTGTAGACGATCTGATAAAATATACTGTAGAGATCGAACATACACTATTTAAGTACCAATGTATGCCACCAAATTAATAGACGGACCATCATTTGTCGTCCGCGGTATTTAGGTAAGAAGACTGCTGATGGTCGGGAGACATAACAGGAGCTTGAAATGTTGACGGGGATAAGTTCGGGAGGACCCCAAGGTTGGTGTGCGGGAATGTAATCTCGCGTGCCCAGAGCATCTGCCGCTATCATCAAGTAATTACTCTCCAAGTTCTATCTCTTTGATTGTGGTATTTCCGCGTGAAAGCAGGATAAGAAGGTAATCAGTATTCTGGGGTAAATACATTCCCCGGAATAATATGTTCAGAAGTCGGTTATACCAGGACAGACATCTTCCGGGTATGCAAATTGGCCTTAGTGTTTTTGCCAACCAGATAAGCTAGAAGTTTCTCAAAAGATCATGAGAATGCGGTGATATGACGGAAAAATGCGTGGAACAGCGGCTATTAGCCATGTTCAAGGTCAGTTTCTGGCAGTGAGTTTCACGTTTCTTTGTCCTTTAAATAAGGTTCAGGAAGCGTGATTTTCTCCCTTTCCACAACCATGAAGTTTGCGTTCTGTACGTCCATTCATTTTGAAAGGCAATTCGAATATAATAGAATATCCATGTTTTCGATCGTTGTGCATCAGACGCTTGGTTAATCGGTTCCTCCAACTTACTCGTTGTTAGCAGTGCTAACGATCTTCTCTTCCGTCAGTATAATTTTTTTTTTGACTTTGTTCCGTTTGTTAAATCGGGAACGAAGGTGCCGTTTGTCATCTTTCCCTTAAGTTACTTGTCGTGCTTGGAGGAGGTTATGCATACTGTGCTTTCCTTAAGTTGTTTTGGAGATCTAGCGCTTCACAGGCTAGACAATATTGGGGTTAAGGGAATTACCCCGAATCCGATGGGTTGTCGCTGTCGTAATGGGCGGGACAGCACTTGATCAGGAGTTAGTCAGATCAACAGTTTGTTTCTGTTCAATTTCTTGTACTTTGCTGTTCGCAGCCAAGGAACATTTCCCAAAGTTGTAAAGGTGAAGTTTAGAGTATTCCCTATGCCCGTATACCAGAACGCATTCCATGGTAAATCACGCCACAGGGTCGCAAAATGCGCCCATGCATGTGTTTCCTGCTACATCAACAGGGAATTTCTGATACCTCATTCAGGATACACGAACACGAGGCGAGGTGTGGAAGGCTCGCCAAGAAATTAAAACGAGGCCTAGATATTGCAGAAATCGATGCTTCCATAATCAATAACATTGATTCGGAGCAGACTTCCCTTACGTACTAGTATTCAATTCGATATTGAAAACTAGCTAGTAGTCCGTGCTGTCCCTGACTTTGAGAGTTAGGTCAGTCCTAACCAGGTCTAGCACAGTATCACGGTTTCTCCATTCGCCTTTCCATTCTAATTATCGTACTGTCTCTCGATCAATCTCTATTTCATGCTTCACAAGCTTAACCTCAACAATAGCTCTCATTGCTGTAGTTTTATTATGGGCATTCTGCCGGTCTTGCCATATCAAGTGCCACCGCAGCACTCTTAACCTCACATGTTAGGAATGGAAAGGAAAGGAAAAATGTGGCCGTGCAGTACTAGTACGAATCTTATGACGACTGTAGGTGAGTAGGCTCTGTATGACGAAGAAGTGTGATAATAGCTATGAATTTAATAGGTTTGCGTCTGGTTGTGTGGAAGTCATGAGTTCTAAGGGGAGGATTAGATACAGTCATTGGACTAACTCCAACGCCAAATAGGGCGGGCCCGTATACCTTCCCGTTGGCGTCTTCTTTGTTGGCAATATATGCGAAATCTGAACGATATCGTCCTCACAATATCGAAATGATCTATATATTGCCCATGTTAGGCCATTCTCCCGTAAGAAACGGTCTGCAATGGAAATCGTGAGCGGGTAGTACCTTTTCGCGGTTAACCAGTGCAGCTGTGCCTGCAGATGCGGCCGAGAAGTTGGAGGCCCTGAGGAGTCGGAGACTGAAACAAAGGCGTCTAGTTTGCGAACACAACAGTTCTGAGGGATTTGTATGGGCTGTGGCTGGCTTGGGTATAAGTTGATATGCTGGGGTGACACGAAGTTCTTGAAGCTGAGATAAACGGGTATATTGTTTGGGAACTCTCCAAATGCAGAGGCCGATGGCAGATACAAGCGATTGATATGAGAGTGCAAATGATACTCGTACTCGTACGTATCAGCATTAGCACGCGCAATCTCACGCGTCCACAGAAAATGCTTTCAAGTTCTTTGGAGGGAATGAAATTCCTAGCCTAGTAGCAATTTGTAGTAGTAGGTGAAGCGCACGAGGTGTCAAAGGAACACTGAATACATTTCCTTCTTTTGAAGTTTCATGGTGATCATAGCTATAGGATATGACAAACCCATACAAGGTCTTCTCCTGGCTCAGACTAGCTGTGGTTCAAAAACGAATAAAGACTGATTCTGCCAATTTTGTATGAAGGGAGGACTGAGATGGTATGTAATCATATAATGTCATTTCTTTCGGAAAGAAAGATAAGATATGTAGCATTGGCATCGACATCTTGAACGTTCGGATGTCACCCGCCATCTTTCCTGATTCAGCGGCAATAGCACATATTGCCTGTGTCTGCTTAGTCATCCATTGTCGTAACTAGTTAAACTCCTAGTTAGTTAACTATCCCCGAGCAACATCCGAAGTATTATACGCAGGAGTTATCACCCATCGCCCATCGCCCATCGCCCATCGCCCACTGCGCACCTACGCTTACCTTGCCTGTCCTTCACTGCCTGTCCCAGTGCTTCGCCTTACGTTTGTCGCTTCAGTGTGTTGTGGGGTTTTTACTTAGCCCTTTCGCCGTAGAGCAGGTTATTAGTTTGGTAGGTCACAACTTTTCCCCGCCCGTTCTTCATGTTCGTCTTTGCATTATTTTGTCCCACGGATTTGCGCATCTATTTGTTTAAGCCGCAGCTACTATAGATGAAAAAGGACTGGTTGGAGACGTTTTGGTAGAAGGAGCGAATTTCCCGCAATAGCACAATCGGGTCATGAGGTTTGGAAGATGTTCTCTATATCGCATTTTTCGCGGAGTCCGGATGCGCTTCGTTTCCCATTCATCAAATGCTGTGATCTACTGGCCATTGAATTCATAGGCTCTCTTCCACAGGCATTCAATGGGCGCTGGGCACACTCTTACATTTCGCAGTCTGCGATGGACATCTCTGGATTTTCGCACCCTACTCTATCGTGAATACTCCAGCAGAGATTAGTCAAGGACGTGGCACTGACAATCATGTGTAACAGCCGACAAATACTTCCTTTGCAATATTTGACCAGCCCTATTGGCCCCGTATTCTATCAAGCCGCCTTGATTTCCAATCCTCCTATACCTATATCTCGGGTACGCAGCATGGACGTTAAAGAAATAGAATTCAAGTCTAAGGCATTGACGAAGGCTGCGACATCCGGAGAAACCCCAGCAACATTGATATCATTGCTTAGGGAGCTACAAAAAGGTGTGCGGCCGACAGAGGACCTCCTGCGCTCCACAAAAATCGGTATCATTGTCAACAAGCTCAAACAGCATAAGTCACCCGACGTTGCTCGTTTGTCTAGTGAAATCGTCTCGAAATGGCGTAGCGAAGTCAACAAGCAAAAGGTCACTGTAGGTGGTTCACCAGCCGCAAGTCAGAGATCCAGCGATTCACCCAAGCAGACTCCCAACGGCACTGCGTCACCGGCATCAACGGGCGCTGCAGCGTCAGATAGACTGGCCAAATCTACGGTTCCGCCAGACAAGCGCAGTTGGAAAACAGATCAGCTTACTATCACGCACACCCAAAATAAATCTCGCGATAGCTGCATCGGACTGATTTACGATGGTCTTTGCTTACATTCCACCGAGCCGCCGCGCGTCGTTCTCCAAAAGGCCATCCAAGTCGAATTAGCCGCCTACAATGCCTTCGGCCCAGAAACGAAGGAACAATATCGCACCAAGATGCGCAGTCTGTTCCAGAACTTGAAAAACAAATCCAACCCGGACCTCCGTGTGCGCGTGCTCTCCAACGAAATCACGCCAGACAAGTTCGTTCGCATGACGCATGACGAACTCAAATCAGACGCACAACGTGAAGAAGAACGCAGGATCCACAAGGAAAATATGGATAAAGCTATGGTTGCGAAGGCGGAACGGAGTATCAGTACAAGCTTGCAGTGCGGCAAGTGCGGACAGAAGAAGGTCACGTATACGGAAGCGCAAACGAGGAGTGCAGATGAGCCTATGACGTTGTTTTGCACATGCGTTGTGTGTGGAAAGTCATGGCGTCAATAAGATGAAACCTCTTCTTGATTGGACACTTGGTTTTGGGCCAATCGCGCGTCCTTTCCACTCTTCATTATTTCTATTCTTGTGTTCTTTCTTCTTCCCGTTACTTGTATTTATTTCCCCATTATTTCCCCTATCCTTCTACTTTTCCAACTTTGCTGCACACTATTACTCATCCAGGGGTGGCATTCAATTTGCGTCTTCCACTTTCCTGTTCGTTATTAAAAGGATCTTGTGTTCATTTCCTTTCAGCACTTCTTTAAACGGGGTTGTCATGGTGAAGGGTTTTTATTCTTGTACTATTTGGCGTTTCTTGTTTATTAAACGGGCTGCTGATGAAAACACATCATATGTTTCCTTTTCTATTTTCTACCCCACCTTAAGTTTCTTTTGTGTTTTATTATGTTTCCATGATTTCTCTGGAGTGAATTCTTTCTAGTTATTTTCTCTACTTCTTGCCAGCTTTAGGATTTTTTTTCTTCTTCTTATTTTTTTTTTTTTTTAATTTTCATTTTTGTTCTCGTTACCTTCCTAGGTTCTCACCGTCGGACCTGCAATACGGACGCACTTAAGGAGGATAAGCATGGCTTTTTGCTGTTCTTGTCTGATAATAGAGTGGGATAATTTGTGTGTTACCTACTCGCTTACATTGCATTGTCGCTGGCCTGATCGACCTTGGTTCTGGGAAGTCATGCCTCTGGAGAATAAACCAAGCAAGAAGCCTCCCAGAGAGGAGTCTCTTGTTTGTGAGTGGGAGGGGGAGTAATAATAAGAATTTGTAATTCGCTTTTCGAATAATTGAGCAATTCTTAGTTTGTTTCTTTTCTTTTCTTTTTTTTTTTTAAAAAAAAAAAAATCTTTCTAGGTACATGATCAATCACAAGCAAAACTAGGCGAACCAACATGACCCAACCCTTCTGCCCAACATTCGGACACATCTCGGCGATTGATTTACGGTCCCTTATCCATCAATTCCCCGTCCCCTCCTCCACTCCAAATGTATCCGGAAAGAACCCCGGCGGCGGCCAAATATCTGCGATCGACGGTGGTCGCATTATCGAGTTACGGAGCGGTAGCTTTCCCGTGCCCTCCCAATTTTCGTTCTCCTCTTTCGGATCACGGAGCTCCTTGGCATAGCCCTCCATGGAGCTGTCATCATTGTTGTTGAGGAGGAGTGCGTCTTCGCAGACTTTTTCGTCGTCTGTGTCGACGATGAGGTGTTGGTGGGGACTCCTGCCGCTGTGAGTGAAGGTTATGAACGCCTTCTTGTCAGAGGTGGCGGTTTCGCTATTGCTTGGAGATGGGAGGTCATGGAAAATGGAGTCTATATCATTAGAGGCTGGGCCAGAAAGGGGAAAAGCTGGTTTGTGATTGGGGAATAGGGTTGGCGTGCTTTTTTGTTGTCCGTGAGTATGGCCATCGTTTACGGGCTCGGGATGGTGATTAGTCCTTTTTGGGTTGGCTTTGAACGCATGAGACATGTACGTGGATGGGGAAAGGCATATTTTTGCTCTTGCTCTTGCTCTTGCTCTTGCTCTTGCTCTTGCTCTTGGAAATCTCGGTGTTGTTGTTTGGATCTGCTTCATAGTAACAGTGGGAGATCCCAAATCTATCCAGATGTCATCAGAGGCCTGTGGTGAAGAGAGAAGGAAAGGTTCGCTACTGTTTCTGTAATCAGAGCCGCTAAAGGGTTCCACAGGTGTCTTTGGAACTAAAGGGAAGGACACATCCTCTTCGTTCACTGCTTGTACAGAGTCCGTGTCGTCCTGTGAAGGAGGCGCTAGCGAGTCGAGAATGCGATACACGTTCTCATTAGACGGAAGCGAGAATTGCGGATATAGTGAAGCATTGCTTCTGCCCGAGGAGCCTGGATCCAGTAACGGAGAATGAAGAAAATGTTCATCCGACGTAAGCTGCTTCATATCCGCAACTAAAGAGGAATAAACTGGCCAGACCCCTCCCGCAAGCGATATTTGACTCGCAACTGACTCGAACCAGGAAGTATCCAGCTGCCGTGATGGGTTTTGCAATCGTGCAGCGTCAGTGATTGTTCTTAAAGCAAATTCGAAAATCGGCGGAAGGTAGGCGTGGGTGAAATTTTCTGACTGCGAAGTCAAGAGAGACAATGTTATATCCATTATCTGACGAAGCGAATAAGGAAACCGTTGTCCATGAGGTAATAGACAAGTAGAAAGCCTAATCAGCGTTGCCGTCTGGGTCCAAAGCAGAAAGTTCTGATGTGGCAGTAATGGTGGGCGTTCGCCCAAGAACACCTTGGTGCTAACATCAGACAACCGACACCCTTGCGGAAGCTTTTCTTCCCAGTGCTGGAGGCTCGTGAGGAAATATTCATGCGCCATAGGAGCACTATCGTAGAGCATATTGAGGAGTTTTGAAAGCTCTATTAGCCGGTTAAAAGTACTGCAAGACCGGAGCGGTCCACGAGGGCAAGGATTTCCTCTATGAAGCTTGCAGAGAAGGAAGACATCCACCCAAGGGCTCCACTCTTCCAGTCCGTCTTCTTCCAATAAATCGGCACCCTGTATGCTATCATATCGCAAGCGTGGACACCTAGCGAGCCGAGCAGATAACAGAGTGTCGAGGAGAAAACATCCAAGAAATGTTTCTTCATGCTTGGCGTGGCTAGGGCGCTGTGTTTCTTTTGATCGAGCTCCAAGACCCAAATCGATAGCAATGCTTGCTGCCTGTCCACAAAGGACCCATGCAGCTGTCCAATCTCCGAATCCAATGTTTACAAGCGTTAATAGTAGGGCAGCCTGAACATGACCGATTTCAAACTTCCCTTTCTCATCCGGTATCAGGTTTCCCGCAACTGCATAGAACTCTTTTGCTTCCTTGTGGGGGTTTTTCGTCAGGCCCATTGAATTTGCATCAGCTCCCGACGGAATCTGGGTAGCAGTATAACTTATAATTGCCCAAAGAACAGCATGATTTCCTGATCCAGTGAGATTTCTTTCCATTTGGAAAGACGGGCTTGAGTATTGGTAGGAGGCTTTGAGAACCTCATGTTTTGCTAGAATTGGAAACCAGCTGTGCGTATATGCAAAGTACATATTGAGCAGGTGAGATGTTTGGGTAGGAAGTTCCATACGAGCGTCACTTTTTGCAGCCTGGTTCATATAAGAAAGGTGGATTCTTTTCTCGTCCGTGCCAGGGGACAAGGGCGACGTGTATCGACTTCGAGTCAACGCCCATGGAGAGAATTCACCAATTCGGGAGTCCGAGAAGTCGACAAGTTGAGGATCGGAAACGATGTTAGATACCAAATCTCCAAGTTCGATACCTCCCCCATCTTCTTCAGAACATGATGATCCAAAAGTGGTTGATCCTGGACTCGACAATAATTCCTCAACATTCGCATACAATTCACTCGATTTCCATGTCCCGTGTAGCTTCTCTGACGCCCCTTCATTGTTCCATAATGCGACAAGCTTTTTTCTCCGAGGGGATTCTCCTTCTTTGGATCCCAGCATTTCAAGTACTGCCTCCTCCAGGCCTTCAATATTGGACATTGATAAGGCCCAAAGCTTTTCCAGGCCACGGACGTAACCCTCTGGAAGACCTCTTTTCTTGGGACTGGGGTCGTAGGAACAATCATGGCCGCATTCTCGACATGCCAGACAGGCGGGGCGTAGTCCGTCACAACGATACTTCTTGCCTCGACATCGATCGCAGGCCTTCGATACTCGTTTGCGTTTGTTACCGGCATGTCGCGTTTCATGATCCATATGATCGAGCATTTTCCAGCCGGTTGCTTGTTTCTCAAATATGGGATATAGGAGATTGCATGTGCAATCAAACATCAAAATTGGAATTAACGAGAAAAGAAGAAAGCAAAAACAAGAACTTCGCATCCAGCGCAGTGGTATTTGAGGCCCGGCTCTTGCTTAGCAAGTTACCCGGGCGGGCCTCATGATTACTCGTAACCTTGCTCTCCAACCACTTACCGTCTATGCTCCGGGGGCTTAGAAATTGCGAGAAATTGTCCATACCTTAAAGTGAAAGACAAGCTTTTGGGGAGGTATCGACCTTGAAGCAGCATCATTGGTTTGGATACAGATTCGACGAGAAAAAAAACAGGCCGGTTTTGGGGCACGTCAGGTGTTGATATCGCCATTCTGGCTTGCGGCGTTTGGGTTCAAGCGGATGAATGACCCCACGGCTAGCAGACTCGGCTGATGAAAGGCAAGCCACAATATGGTACGAAGGACAGGACTTTCTTGCTTGTGGAGATTTCCAGCCAGTAAAATAATTGCGGGTTAAGTCGCAGCCTGTGCTCAGTGAACCCTGTTGGAGGAGAATCGTTAGGGACTTGTCCTCGTCTCAAATCTCAAATCTTCTCAATTTCCTTTCCACCCCGCCTACGTATAGGAAACTGATAGTTATCCCGTGTTGTCATGAGGCAAATCATACAGGCCGAGCTCATTATATCACTGCAACCAGCCATCTAGGCATTGTAGCAAGGGAACACCGGAAATATTATCAAAAACAAGATCCAAATTCACGGGCTTTGATACTCGTACGTGAGCAACAAACTCCGTGCTCAAGCTCGCCACGCCATTGCCGCAGTCCAGCCCACTGTCTTCGTTCGTGCGCTGGAAAGGGATATCCATCCTTGTGACCAAAAATACGGTGTCTGGGCTGTTTCAAGCCGAAAACTTCAAGCCCAGTTCCAGGAACGGATTCCGCTGGCAGTAGACAAATGCACCAGCAAGAATTAGCGCGGAGAGGAGACTGGTGCAGATATCTATCGATCAGCCAATGCCCAGCATCTTCGGAATGGACTGAGCTTGCCAGATATTTTGTAGCCAACTCCTTTCTCGAGGGTTATGTAGAATCGTACCAGACCTGAGCGGCTTCCATGAAGATAGAACGAACCATGGAAAGTTTTACGACTCCGAAAGTTTATTTATTGCGATTTTTATATTTTCTGGTATCGACATAGTATTTAGTCCCTTCATTGCAGCCTGAGATAATCCCCAAATGGTGGAATCTGCCCTTAGCAAGCGGCAGCTTATCAGACTAGCGGATTTCCCAGACCCTGCCCGGCCAGCCAGCAAACCACGGGGAGAAAACAACACCTCAATGCTCAACGTACTCCCCCCTGTGCCTCTGCTTCTCTCCTCCCTTCCTCCAACACCTCTCAGAACCATGCGTCCTTCTTCTTGAAATCGCCCTTTTGGATATCCAGACAGGTTGCCATACCGCTACCTCCACCGTCTTTCTTTGCCTGCCATGTATATCCCCGACCAGCCCCAAAATGACGCCTTCGCCTGGGCAACGACTACCTCCGCATGTGAACAGCGAGGATGCCCTATATCAGATGCTGCAGGCATGAAAAAGAGAAAGAGAGATACAACCAATTGGGATAACCAGGTCAATGCTAGTATGGGCAGTTGGTGGGTTTAGCATTTCCTTCAGCCTCTATCTTGTCCATCTATTTTTTTCCCTCGGCAACCAACGCTAACAATTTGGATCTCCCTATATCAGCACCGCTTTCATCCCGGGCAACGCTCAGCATATCGACGATAAATCTAGAAGTGGATACAGTCAGCTCTTGGGGGAATCGTCGTCAGGTTCAATAACTTCCAAATTTGCCCCCTGGCCCATTCCTGAACGGAGAACGCATCCATTCCGACCCTGCCTGCAACCGACGGCAATAAAACGGCGGCGTTTGATACAGCAACAGCAAAACCAGCAATCACAACAGGAATGGAGTACCATTCCAATAAGCATGTATGCAGGGCAGAAGCCGCAGCATCTCTACTCCACTGATCCCGGGAGCAGCCTGCCACCAAAATCACCATCCTCTTCACTCCATAAAACGAAACCCAATACGCATCACAATAACGACCCTTCGACATCGTCCTCACAGAACAAACCCTCATCCAACATCACTCTATTCCCCTGCCACATCTGCCATCGTCGCCCCACTACACGTTCCACCCTTGACGCCTATGCCGACTGCGACCTCTGCGCCGAGCGGACCTGTTACATCTGTCTACGAGAGTGTATGGCTGTCGATTGCAACTACGCTCGCTCCCCTCCGAACCCCTATTCAGGCCGAGGCAAGGAGAATAATAACAGCAATACTAGTAATACTATCAATGAGAATGACTGTCGAGGCAAAGGGTCCTGTTGGCGGGGCAAGACTGCGCCGTCAAATTCAAGGCCAGGACGTGGAGGGGAAGAAGAGAATGGCCCCAGGACGGGACGGAAGGTGTGTTCGTGGTGTGCAGTTGAGAGTGTCGTCGACGGTGGCGCGGAGGTTGTGAGGTGTTTTGCTTGTGTAGCCGGATGGTGACCTCGTGCTGGTTAATACGTTGCGTTTTGGTGGCGTTTTGGAATGGATTGGACAGACATATGTTGTATGGGTATATATATATTGTCTAAGTATGCTTATGGCTGACTTGTTTTTTGTCTGCCATATGCGAGAGATTGTGGGAGGGATGGTTAAATGCATGGATATCCCAATCTCTTTCATTTTCTTTAAACCCTCTTCTTTCCTTTTCTTGTTTTAAAACACATTGCTGCTATCGCTATCTTCTGGGCGACTTTGAGAGTGGCATACATTTTCTCCTTTTGTTTTTGTTTCTATTCTTAATTCTTTTTATTTTTTTTTCGTTTCTTTTCTTTTCTTGACAGGTTGATTGAGGATCACGGAACAGAACATATTTTTAGTTTAGAAAATTCGTATGGGTCATTTACGTCGAGAAACCCCCTCTCAATCTTAGCTAGCGAACGGGTATATATATAACAATAGGGTTTAGTTTTGTATTCTATTATATTTAGGACATTGTTTTGGGTATTTGCCCTTTTTGCCGAATACGAGTCGGACGCTTGTAGTCTAGCTAAAATCTCAGAAAGGGGTCCCTATCATCATGGTTCTTCTAGTGATTAATTAAGTAAATAAATAGATAACAAACAATGTCATTATTCATCTGCAGAGTCTCTAGTGTTTAAATAATGGAAATTGAGAGAAACTTCTGAATTGGATGAGGCGTTCTAGACCAAGGAAAGTAGCATATCAGAACCCGAATTGAATCTGTAAACTGACCAAGCGAATGGAATTTCTTCCTAAGGGATTCGTACTTCCGACTGAATATACCTGGGAGCCAATGCAATTTGAATATGGACTAAAACGAGTTATATGCCACCGGGCAGAAATTGATGAAATAAGCGGTGCAAAAGCAAGGGCATTGAATCCCAAGCGGAAAAACAAAAATAAATACATAAAAAGAGACACAAACGGAAGGGGAAAATAGAGAAATATACAACGTTACATAAAAGGGGAAAAGGGTTATACGCTACCCCAATTTACCTCCCAAACCTCATCTCTGCCCTCGCATACCTCCACAGCCCTTTAAGAAACTTTTGATACTCTACCGCCTCCCCACCCCCAGTAATCAAGCTGCCTTTATCTCCCGTGCAATAGATCTCCGTCAGCCGCAACTGCCACGGCGGATACCCATCCAGCCGCACAAACGGGCCAAACACCATCAACAAATCTGGATCAGACTTCATCAACACAGCCGTCGCGGCGTCCGCAGGCAACGACCGCGGCGAATCTGACACGGCAGTGCTGGACCCCGTACCGGCTGAGGATGCGATGCTATTGCGTTCATCGAATAGCGGATCTCCAGGAGTGCTCCCCAGCGGCGGTGTAGGCGGGGACGTCAACTCGCTAATCTCAGCGTCGATGAGTTTCGGGCTTATATCTTGCGGTGACAGGTTACCATGCTGGGCCATCTCGGTCAGGGTCTTTGTGAGGTCGACCAGTGTCTCGCGCCCGTCTGTGGCGGAGAGGAGGAGGAGGGTGAAGAGCGCGGGATTTGCTTTTGAGGAGGGTGGGCAGAGAGTTGGAGAGTAGAGGGCATGGTGTGGTGCGAAGAGGCGGAGGGTTGGTTGGTGGGAAGGAGGCCCGTAGTACGTTGATAGTTTGCTTATGATTATTTTGTGGAGGGTTGGGATGTAGGATTTTAGGATGCCTGCATTGTACATAAGTTAGTTTTGGTTTAATTTTAATTTTAATTTTAATTTTTTGATTTGGTATGGCGTGTTCTCTTTTTACTATTTTGATGAAGTGTAAAAGGAGTTAGTGGTAGGTAATATACCTGTCTTCTCATATATGCTCAACATAGGTATACCAGCGCACGAGCTCCAGGCTACCAACTCCGCCACCTCGTCCATAATCACATCCAGCGCATCCTCATCCTTCCCCAGCATCAACACGATGCTCAGATGCTGCGGTAGCTGACTCAGGCCACGGACATCTTTTTGTATGAGCTCGGGAGTGCGGTGATGGTAGTAAAGAATGGCCAGGATTCGATCAATGATGGCATGATAGCCTTGACGGAGCCGGATGTAGATGCTGAAAACAACGTGGATTAGAAAATAGGTGAGGTAGTGTAATGTCGACTTGAGGAATGCTCGGATAGGTTTCCTCCTCTGCTTCTGCTTCTTCTTCCCATGCCTGCTGCGGGCCGAACGGATGGTAGATGGATCTGGAAGGTAGGGTTTGAGGAGAGCTTCACGCTCGGCCGGAGTGAGCTTTGAGGTATCGACTCGCGAGTTCCGGCGTATACGCGGGTCTGTGGGGAGAGCCATGAGATGGGGTGCGAATCGACGGACAGCAGATGCGATCTGGCAAATATCTCTACATGGATCAACTCCGGCGATTTAGAGGTTGAAGGGTGGTTGCAGAATAGAAATAATGAAACCAAGAGAATTACTATTCAAGGTCAGGATCGCATGGGTCCAAATATATAACGTCCTCAGATCAGAAGATATTAGCAGTGAGGTTGGATCAAAACGGTGATATCAAGCGCAAAATCTGCAATGAGGATGAGGCTGTGATAGGACGTTTGCGTCATTCCTCGGCTGAGCATCTGCGAGATCTGGCGAATACTAGTGGTACTTGTATTTGTTATTGAGTTGCTTCTCGTGAGAGCAAAAGTGAAATAAAGCCCTGTTGCATTTCCTGGTTATTTTGTTTGCTTTTCATGACCTAGAAATATTCAAAGAAGAATTCTGAAAAATAAAGGGTGTGGCAGTAGCAGCCTAGCGTGGACCGATATTCCAACTGCGACACCTTGCTAGCTGCAACAACCACTTGAACTCCAACTCCAACTACACTCCAGCAACTATCATATTTCAGTACACCCTTCAGTAATGACCTACTACCAACGGACATCTTTACGCTGACTACTCGAATATGACTAAATTACTTATATTTCCTCCCGCCCATCAATAATCGCGGCCCAACTAGGCTATCATAGGCTATCAACATGCCAGATACCGCCTCCTTAAATTCGCAAAGTGCACGCTCCACTGCCACTAGATCCATCTTCAACAAAGGCCCTACCTTCACTCTCGAAACCTTCTCTAACCGCGACTTCATTGTCAAAGATTTCATCGAGTCCCTTTCAGACTCTGTCATCCCGGCCTCCCAGCGCCGGTCAGGCGGACCTAGCGGCAATCAACCCTTCGACCCGAAACCCCTTATTCGTACCTTTGAACATGCCCAGCGTCGTATGGTCGAGTTGTCTGGCGACCTGGAGCTACGGGAAAATGAACTGTCCGCCGCTGTGAGAAGGGCAGAAGCCCAACATGCGCAAAATGTCAGTTCGCTTGGCTTCAAATTAAGCCAGACCATCGAGTCGTTTCAGAAGTTGGATACATCCCTGAATGGGCCAGGCGGAGGAGGCGGTGGCAATATTGCTGTTGAAACAGGAAAGAAGCTAGAGGATCTCGATCGTCAGAGACGGAGGGCCTTGGATGCGCATTTCCTTATCGAATGTTGGGATGAAGTTAGCAACCGTGGGGAATTATCCCTCTTGGAAAATTTGAGACGATCAGGAAGCGGTGAGGGAAAGGTTAGGTGTGCGCATATTGCAAGACAGCTACTCAGGATAAGCAGGAGATTGGATCCCAAAAGCTGGAGTGAGGAAAATGGCAGTGTCGGGATGAATGGAACATCGATGAACGCCTCCTCTCCTGCGAAGCGCATAAATACAAGGGAGATTATAGAAAAGTTCTCAGAGACATTGGAGAAAGATCTGCTGAAGCAGTTTGATGACTTCTATCGGAAAGCGAATTTTGATGGGATGCGGGACTGTGCAGCTGTGTTATACGATTTCAATGGCGGCGCCAGCGTGGTTGGATTATTCGTTAATCAGCACCAGTTCTTTATTGACCGCAGCCAGCTCATTACCGAGGAGATTGGAAGAGATGCGGAAACGTGGGAAATGCTGGCTGACCCTGACGCTGACCCACCAGTTGTTGAGCATAGCCTTCAGTCACTGGTGGACGAGGTCAAGGTTGTGGTTCAGGAGGAATCTACGATTATCAAACGCGCGTTTCCGTATTACGAGCAGGTTCTCGAGAAGTTTTTGCAGAGGATTTTCCAACAATCCATACAGCAGCGGCTAGAAATGGTATTAGATAAGGCTAATAGTGTATCGTCGTTAGCGTTCTTAAGGTCTCTCCAAACCGCCCGGAGTTATATCAGCAGCCTCATCGATGATATGAAGTCCCATGGCCTAACAGAACACCCAGAAACAATATCTGTTAAGACTGCCATTATCCTGGATCAGCAACTGGAAGACCTTTTCGTTCCCTATTTTGGAAGCTCATCCTACATCGAAAGAGAAAGGAAGAATTTGGAGGAGCTTTACACGTCACTCATGTTTAAATTTACAACTTTCCATAGTCGCAGGAAGAAATCCACAACGACATTCATGTCGTCTCTGGCGAAATCTGGCAGCGAACTCATTCACTCTGCCAGAGATGCCTATGTCAGTCGACTAGATTCCTCAGACTTCACCCCCACTCAGAAACGAATGCTACTGCGTGTTGCTGGCCTGAAAGACAATTCAGATTTACACAAACAAAATGAAATTGAGCTTACGGAAGAAGATGGCCGCTTGAACCCCGCTTTTGCGAAGCGAATGTTGAAATGGCTCGCAGAAGGGGTTGGACGAGATCTGGAATTGGCCGTCAGCAGCGAAACGCCGAAGGATGTTTCCGCGCTTCTGAACATGCTTCTGTCTATGATGGGGGAAGGATATGTCGAGGTTGCGCTCGATGGGGCACTCGAGTCTGCGTCAAGCCAGGAGTCCACAAAGACAGAACCCGACTTCTTATATTTAGGCAGCTTACGTCCTGCGATTAGTATCACACACCTCATGATGACATGTATTAACACCGTACTTATTCCATTAGCAGCCGGAAACATTACTATCAGGAGAGATATGGAGAAAAAGGCTTCTCTAGCAGTGAACCAGATCGAGGATAAAATCAATTCTATCGAGCAGAAAACTGTAGACGTGACGTTGTCCTGGGTGTCACGACTTCTTTCTGGCCAACGAAAGAACGATTTCCGCCCGAAAGAAAATGTCACAGATGGCGACACGGCATGGTTGGAGATGCTGCAGACACCCGTAAGTTTATTTCTCTTGACACAACCCCTACCTGATAAAGAAATTTTGACAGTAGGATCCATTTCTGACACCATTCCAGACCTGCGCCGCTATTTCCACCTTTCTCAACCGCCTACATACCACAATTCTCACTTCCCTCTCCTCGAGCGGCTCCAACATCAAAATTTTCCTCACAGAAATCGCCCTGGGTGTCCGCACCTTGCTTCTCGAGCATTTCAAGCGCTTCCCGGTTAACGGCCCCGGCGGCCTCATGGTCACCAAGGATATGACCTGCTACGTAGACTTACTACGATCATGGGATATTGATGAAGCTGTTAAGGGCGTTGGTGGGGCGCTCGATGTTCTGCTGGAAGTTGGCAGTTTGTTCGTCGTTGGGCCTGAAGCGTTGCGAGAGCGGGTTCGGGCAGGAGCTACGAGAACTACTGGTCGGGGTGGTACTGGCCCCGGAACAAACAGGACGGGCGGATCCGGAAGCACGGCACAAGCCACAGCAGGATCAGGGTTGACAGTTGAGGAAGTCAGGGCCTATGTCATGAGAAGGGAAGATTCGGGGAGTGTAGGGATGCAGATTGTTTTCAATGCGTTGTGAGCATGATCCAATTTTGAAAAAGGTTGTTTTAGAGTGACTCCTTTCTCTTTTTCCTATATATACTTTGATTCCCAATTTTCTTTTCCATCGCTTCACTTCAGTTTAAAGTGAGTCGTTTAGGTGTTTCATTCCTTCATGTCCGAATCTCCCCGGTCGCTCTTCCCATAGATTGGGAGTACGGAGAATATTGTATATAGTACTTGGATAGAATAAGGAATCGCCGTCGACCGGAAAACAAACTCCTTCAGCTGGCAAAAAGAGAGGCTTGCGGGGTTGGGCGTTAGAGGCGATTCCCACCATGTGAACGGGGCCGTATACTCAGGATTCCGTCTGCCAATTGTAAGCTTACAAGAGCATAGTGGGGGGGAACATTGGAACAACTTTGCTGCATAGCCACCTTACACCTCAGCCCAAAGGAATATCCAAAAAACATTTCGACCCTTAATTGGTACGATCAAAGCCCGTCCAGACATATGCCTTCAATTCGTGTCTCACTTAGGATTGCCAGCGAGTTAAGCGTATATCTAGACAGGTGGAAAGGGGTGTTGTATAATCAGTCGCTTTCACGAGGGTACACAAAGCCGGTCAAGTTTATATTAATTCTATTTTCTTCTTAATGATCTTTGTAGTTTGTGATTGAAGCTTGCTCCCCCTTTCGTTTCATCGTTTCCCGGACTTCTTTCTCGACCTTGAGCTTCATAAGCCTCAAATACGCCCCAGATAAATGGAGCTTGCCTTCTGATTGGAAGAAGATTACCTGCTGCTGCACATATTTCGCGGCTTAGGGTTTGCCAAGCCGAAAGCCTCTCGCTATTACGCAGTCGGCGACCAGCAGTAGCCTTCAAACAAATAGACCAACTCTTCGGAACTAGGTCTTCTGGTATTCAATCCGAAAATTCCTGTTCGATAAATTTCGAGCTACTATGAGAGGGTGAAATATCTTCCCATATGAAAAGACATAACGACGCTATTTTTTTGGTGAACGAATATCACTTGAAAGCTGGAAGATGCTGCGGCTGGTTGCTATCCCGGGCATCAAATGTTGTTCTAAAATGCTGGATTAGCAAAACAGGCATGACTAAAATCTATTGGTCTTTTACCTTGGATATTCAACATGGCTTGATATTATAGCAACTGAAATACCCATATTCGCCTCAATATCTCCTGATTTTCGCGATGCTCCCCTCCTTTCATGCGAGCCTTTGAAGATCAAAAGGCAGAAACTGGGAGGAAAATGATATTTCGCCCTGATGATGTAGCATCCATGGACACACCGCATTTGATACCTCTTCCGCAGGTAGTACATCCTTGCTTGGATCGACAAAAATACGACTGTTGATTCAACTTGATTGCAAATGACCGGCAAGTATCGAGACAAAGCTCAGCCAATCATTGGGAGGTCTGGAACTCTGGCAGTTTAATTGCAGATCCCTTGCACCGCAACACGTACTGCACCATAAAGTCGAGTTCGAACGCAGCGTATTGTCAGGGCATTGAGACGAATGAATGTTCACCGGACATATATCCTGGATTTGCGCTCGTATCGCCCCAAGCAGTTGGCCCCTCGCAGAACAACGAGCCAAGTAGCTTCTCAAGATAACTAAGGGCCCAGGTGTCCCTCGCTGATCCGTGGGGCTGATGGGCCAACACATAAAAATCTTCCTGCCTTGCCTCAGTTAGTAAGGGTTGGCTGCGACAATCCTAGCAAGGGAATATCGGCCCAAATTTGAGACGCCAACAAGTCAAGCTTTTTATAGTTGACTCCCGCACAGCATACCTTGACAATACCTCGACGAATCAAAGGCACGGCTTTTTAAGCTTTATCGAATTAACATTGCTTGGGGAGTGGATTTACAGAGGTCAACGATAAGTGATATTTATGGAATACTTCTGATCAATTTAATGCGTGCTCTAAAAGGATCACAATCCCCTAGACTTGACAGATATCGGGGGAAGTTTTTATCCACACAGTTCTTGAAGCTGTCTAGGAGTGGGTAAAACGCAAATCTATAGCTCCGGCTTATGTATGTTTTCAGCTGGTTTCCTCAGATCTTCCTCGTGTTGGCAAGGAACGTTGTCCAGTGGAAGTCGCACCTGCTATAAAATGCCAAGAGATCCACTGGCCTACTCGAGGGCATTTTGACTCGTTGAAAATGAATCACCACGAATGGGCGTTTCCTATCGACCCGATACTGAGTAATATATTTCCCAAAGTGATGTTGCCTATTTCATAGGCCAGGCGTCGCCAGAATCCTGATCCCAGGGCCTGCGTCGGTGCCACCCGTCACAAGGACATTGGGAAAACTGGTTGTTAAGTCAGCATGAATAATAATGCGACTTTGTTGTAACCACAACACTGCCCTGAACTTGAGTCCTCCGGGCCGTGATAATCTCGTATTCTGTACGATTAGACCCTCTCTTCTTTTCCCGGATCTTCCCCCGAATACGACCCCAGGAAGGCAAAGAGGACGGAACAGGACAGACAGGAGCAAAGACACCAACAATGCCTATATAAACCACTTCCTGCCCCGGAGAAGGGCGGAAAAGGGACCTCCCAAACAGTCCACCAGTCTATCCCACTTCCCTCTCAAGAAGTGATAAAATCCAGTCTTTGTCTGCAAACCAACTACTTTCCCATTCAAACCAAACCTCCACAATGAAGTTCAGCATCGTCAACGTCCTTGTTTCCGGCCTCCTACTCGCTGCTGCCAGCGTGGACGCCTGTCAATGTAAAGTAGGCAGCAGACAGGGTCAATACTGCGGCCACTGCGAGGCAGTTCTCGTTACCCCCGATTTTGTCTATGACCATGTGTACGAATGCAACCCCAGCGGCGGGTGCTTCGACTATGGCGAACGCAATGATTGCAAGCAGAGCAATAACCCTTGCCCATTTTGAAGCGGTGTGTTGTAGATTTTCTTTTTCGACATCACTTATCCGTCTTGAAGGGCGTAAGGAACACGGTTCAGGATGGCTAACAATTGTGATCTCATAGATTGTCTATAGCCAAGGCTTGTAACTCGCAGTTTCCTAGATGGATTGAAACGGACGGGATGGCTTGGCATTTGTGGGAGAGGTATAGAGTTTGTAGGAGAATATAGGAGAATTTCGGCCACTGAAGGGCCAGTTAGTTGATAGTTGACAGTTGAACCTCGGGCGATAGATTCATATTTTTCTTTTAACCGAGACTTTATCAGTTGATGTTTTAGGCTTAGAGGGACAATGTTTATTGTATCGAAAGAGGATGGAAGTCCTAAGTAATCATGGTTAAATCAAAATGTCATCCTATTCTATTGCCCAATGCCCATTATTCATATCCGAGTCTCATCCATCATCCGAAGGCATCGACGTATCATCGAAGAAGCAAAAATAAGGTTTACGATCTACAGAACTTAATAGTCTTGGCACTTGAGGCTCAACCAATATTAAGCTTCAGGGACTCCGATCCGCTGATGCCAAAGTAGGACTAGCGTCCAATCGTGGCTGACTTTATCTTTATCTCTATCATGGTGGGAAGGTCAAACAGAACGAGTGGTGTTACTTTCAACAACGCCATTTAGGACACGGGTCCTCCAAATTTCTCATTTTTCTATTCTGAGGCCAATCTTCGAAAATCACACAATTTCCATCGTCTTTATATGTTCTTCAGCTTCTTTCTTTCAGTCAAGGATCTTTCGAGAGGATGTATCAAGCAAAAAAAAAAAAGGGAAAAAAAAAACCGTCATCCAAAACCCGCGCAGAACTAGGAATGGAGCGAAATATCCTAAAAATGCGACACTGAGCCACCACAAATAAACAAAAAAGAAAATAACAGAAGAAAAAAGAAAAACAAAACAATTCTAACGTCATACTTCCCCAACGTCACAAATAGTAGTCCATTGAATGTTCTTTAAACCACGTGGGACTGACAGCCCCTCAACAGTCCAACTGGCAATAGCTAACTCAAACACCCAGGCAAGAATAGTCTTCCCCCAATGCGTCTCCCTGCCCCAGATCGCATCCTCAATAACAGCCCCAACACCATTCAGAATAAAGAAAGCGTAGATCCGGGCGAGAGCATCGAAGGGTAATAGAGGCTTCAGGCCATACACGTGGAAAAACCCCATCAGCCCAAACGACGCAACCACGCCAAGAGCCCTGGCTATGGACACTGGCACGCCGTATCGTTCGGGTAGAGTATACCGTATCGGCTCATATGCGAGCGAGCGGCAGGGACTGGCAAAAGCACTGTGCCATGTTTCACTCCAGAACGTGCTCAAGGAAGTTGCCGTGTAAAGAGGTCCAAACAACGGAGGGCTGGTGCGGTAACGGAGTAGAAGCTGAAGGCTCTCCCAAAGTACATATATGGCGAGTAGAACTTCCAAAGCAACCACTGTAGGGTTCGATTGTGGAAAGAACGTTTGTAGAATGGCAAAAAGTATGGCGTGGAGTACGAGATTGCCCTGTTCGGTAAAGTGAGGTTTCCATTGCTTCGACTTGGGACTTCCCCGACCATTGCGATAGCTATTTTCACTCTTCCCTTTTGAGAGACTGGGTGCTGGGGCGGGGCCGAGCCGTGTGGTGTTTGGTGTAAAAGATTCGTACCGCAATTCTGTCAGGTAGAGGAGAGCAAGCAAGCCGTGTGATGGCATTGGATCATGCGCATACTGCGGCGGGTTATGACGACGGGCGAATAGATCTAGCGCCTTCATCACTCCAATCGCAACTGTATTTTCGGTCAGGAAATGATTGAAATGACTGAATATTGATGCTGCTTCTCTGATGCAACGATGCCAGGCTCAGAAATAATACAAAACTCCATTCAGTATGGATACCAAAACTCCCAAACATCACCCCGGATTTTGTAAAACAGTGCCATTCACCGGCCAAGTGCCTGAATAGTTATCGCCCAAGCAGATGGAAAAGAAAACAAGAATCAAAAATCAAAAAAAGAAATATGAAGAGGTGAATCTCCTTACCGGCAAAAAGCTGCAGGCTCCGGATCATATTGCACTCCAACACCATCAAGCAACTACTCGCAATGAATCCAATACTCGCCAACAGGCTCAGAATCTCGAAGCTCCTGGTCTTGCGCTTAGCAAGCGCATAGAGTGAGGAATAAAGCAGCAAACCAGGCACCAGCAGTGATGCAATGCAGAGGAACAGATTGATTCCTACTTGCTTGAACGCTCTTTGACCCTCAGGAGTAGGCACAAACCAGTCGACTAATGGTTTGGCCATGTCTCCAGAGCTGATCTGCGATCCCGTCGCAAAACCTCGTCGCTCCGATTCCTCGGCGGTTATCAGGAGCGCCGAAGTATACAAAGATCGCACTTTATCCTTTTCCCTTTTTTTTGTCTTTTCTTGAGATGGAAGAGAAGCTATTCAGAAGATCCAAGATGGGTATAACCAGGGCACCAGCAATGCAATGAACGGAAAGCTCAGGGCGTCCAGTACAAAAACCATGGAATGGAAAACAATGTAGCGAGCGATGTTGTCACTTTAGCTTAGAGCAAGTTGGCCACTTAGCTTGCGTCAAGTCAGTGACAATGACCCAGATCAATTACAGCATCAAGAGAAAAAAAAACAAAGATGCCATCTCAAAACAGAAAAAAAGGAGGTAAAGGAGTGGCGTCTGCTTTCTCTTCCAATTCAAGTAGAACAGGAGTACGATGATTTCGGTACAAGGGATAGCGTCAAGTCGCCACAATGCCTTGTGTGGTAAGAGGGGCAATGTTGTAAAGAAACCATGCACCATCACCCCATGCATACAAAGATGGAAGACACAATACAAACCACCTCCTCCAAGAGAGTGTTGGAGAATCGGTATCTGTGTGTCCCAGTTGTCCCAATTCGTTCATGCTAATAAATTGGTGCTTTGACACACAGAGCCGGAAGTTCCGGCAATCCCCGGTTGTGCCGAGCCGGTCTCTCTGTTGTGTATAGAAGTATACTGTATCTGATATTTTCTGGCCCATTCATCTATTTCTGAAAGGCAATGGGTTAATTGCCGACAGGTATTCTAGGTCCATAATTTAAAGAGTAATAATTTAGTTTATTTGAGCTCCACTGGTGCCAGTCAGAGCTGGGGTTGGCTGCTCATCGAGTTAGGTGGGAAGGGAGCAATTATATTATTTAAACTGCGGAATTCATTGCATGCTAGTTTCTCTATGTGCTAGGACTAAATAAACAGAGGAATCCATTGCTACAGAACACCAGGGCAGTTCTCACTAGATAGACGGCCGCTGTTCGAGTCTCTGGGGGAAATCATTCAAGATTCCTCACAGCCTCTTGGGAACTTCAAACCAAAACAGGAGGGTAAAAGTAATATAAAATGCAAGCAGGGAATGAGTATGACCTCCGCGTGGCGAAATGGGGGTTGCAATGGGATGGCCGTCCGACTCCAAAATTTCGAACCAGGTATAAGGAATGATCGCATTGGGAACTAGATTGTTGTTGATTTCAACTTCTCGCCTAGCTCATCAACGGTTTTATCCACGCTCTGAACTACTGGCTGGTTCTCAGCCACGTCGGCCTCCGTGAGTATATGTTCGGCTTTTGCTTGAATGTCGATTTCAGTATCAGTCGCTACGCTTTCCCATTCCCATTCCTCCGCCTCGTTCTCCTCCTCCTCCTCCTCTTCTTCTTCTTCCTCCTCGCCTTCTAGCTCGTCAAGTTCATCTAGACCCCATGCATCTTCCTTGTCATTTTTTCCAAATCGTGCTTTGCGTCTCTTCAATAGCTCTTGTAGTCTCATGATATTTTCGTTATCCTCATCAAAAGCATTCGCATTGAGGAAAACCTTCTTAAGCGCGGGGAGGCTAGTTTTAGCAACATGAACCAACGCTCCCACCCCCTTGCCATTTATCTCGTTCCCTTTCAGCTTAAGAATCTCAAGTTTCGTGTTCCCGCCAGCAGAAAGCGCCTTCGCAACCCGGAGCCAGCCCTTAGCCGTGAGGGCACAGTCGTCAACCCCCAGCTCGCGAAGAGATGGCAATCCCGACAATACCGCGGCTAGAGCAACAGAGCCTTCCTTCCCATACGTATTATCTTCCAAGTCGAAGACTTCCAACTCAGGCGCATGACAAATGCCTGTGTTCAGTAGTTTTACGACGCCCTTGGAATAAATGCCATTCTGCTTCATCCTAATTGTCCGAAGTCCCTTGCCGTTTGCCTTAATAGCCCGTGCCCATGCTTCCATGCTTCCAGCCTCGAGTCTGTTCCGGCCACAGACGATGGTCTCGAGGGCTGGGATTTCATATTTTATTTCAGGGTTGGATCGCGCTTTGAGTTTACTCTCGCTAAGCTCTGTTAGAGCATTCGCGATAAATGTACCTGCCTCTGGGCCTAGGCCATTGTTGTTCAATATCAGGTGGCGGAGGGGGAGGTGCGCTCTTAGAAACTCGACGAGGGGATCTTTGGTATTCACGCCGAATGCGTTATCGCTGAGATCGATGGCTTGCAGGGTGTGGACGTCAAGGAGAGGTCTGAGGAGGGAGTAGAGCGCGGTAGGGATTTCGCTAAGCAGGCGACCGGTGAAAAGATCGTCCAGTCGTACGGTTTCCAGGTTTTTTTGTTTGCGCAAAAGCAGTCCCAGTTTCCTACATGCATCGGGGCTGTATGAGTTACCCCCAAGGTGTACCTCAGTGAAGACATCGTCAGTGTTGATGAGAGGTTCAATATATTTTTCAAGATCCTCCAGGCGATCGTCGTCCACCTTTTTGAGCTCAGCGTCGATCTGTCTGATCTCATCTTCGATTTTCTTCAATTTTGTTTCTTTATCCTGTTTCGCCTGCAGTTGGCGTCTCTCCCCTTCCAATATTCTCTTTTCCTTTTCAAGGATTTCTCTCTTGGAGTCAAATCTCTGGCCTTTGACCCCAATGACAAAGAGGATATGTGGAGGGGTCATGGCGGGGTAAATATTGCTGTGCAAGGACACGATCGTTCAGGAGGAGTAAGAAAAATATCAGTGTGAGTATTCCAGCAAGCCAGCTGCTATTAGAAGAGGGAATCAGAAGGGTGAATGTACAAGCCAGAGGATAGAAAAAGTTGAACGAAATTTTGTACTTTGCATTGTTTATGTGGTCCGGATCCACACCAGGACGGGAAGTCCCAGTTGCCTCGGTAAGACTGATATTCCGGTCTCCGAGCTTTGTTTGCAACTTAGTTTCGCAAAGTCAACAAGCTATTTGCCAATTCACTACATCACTTAAAACCTCTTACACCCTTCTAGCGTTTGCTCACCGATATCAGCCTCGTCGGTATCTACCTCTCAACAATGTCGCTTCCAGCATTCACGTCTATTTCCACCGGTGAGTTTTCCAATTTGAAAGCCATACACACTCGGGAACAAGCGCTCGCTAACCCGTCTTACCCAGCTTCTCCATCAGCTCTCAATTCCTCCACATCCAGCCCCGCCGAATCATCCTCAAAACCCAAGGTACGTATGGGGGGCTCCTGCTTACCCTCCTGTCCCCGCTCCAGCCGCACCCATCACAGCCATCGGTCAACCCAGTCAGGCACCGAATCCACCGCCCCGTGGTACTGCTCCTACCTGCCAGTAGCCTATTATTGTCTAACACAGAAATTTGCATTAAAACGCCTTCCATAGCCATGCTGCGTCTGCAAAACCGAAAAAGCCGCCCGCGATGACTGCATGCTTTTTTCCAAATCAGACGATGCCGCGCAGCAGGAATGTCGACCGCTCGTAGAGCAGTATAAGAGCTGCATGGCTGGGTTTGGATTTAAGATTTAGAAAATGGAACGAAAACGTCGGGGCTCGCGGTGGAATATATGCTATGAAGAACAAATCGGGTTGTTCGAGGTTGTTTCTGTGTTATAGTTTTTGGGGGGGGGGGGTTGGGGGGGGCGGGGGAATTATCGGGATGAGATGGGCTGCAGCTCAACTATTCGCGAGTGTACGATAGGGTGGTTTTACTTTCATTTTCACTTCTTTTGAAAAGTTTGAACTTTGGAATTCGACAATGCATACTTCTGGCGCGTTACGTTAAGGCGTCAATATGGAAGGGTCTTGATATATATATATTTTTCGTTTTTGGTGAATTTTTTTTTTATACGTGCAAGCCATTATTCGAGAAGTGGCTTCCACTCCCTCCAACCTTGTCGTATGTCTTTTTTCTTTATATTGTCCATGAAAAGGATGTAAAATAGAAGATCTCCACTTCCACTATATAAATATACGTTCATTCAAGAATGATCCCCGCCTACTCTCTACGGTTTGTAGCAATTTATCAATTCCAAGTCTCCCCTCTCGATCTTCAAATACTTACGTAGTAATTCAAGAGGCTGGACGCAAAAAGTCTAAAGAGGTAGGCAAAAAATAAACTCATATTCGTTGACAATGAGGATATAAAGTTACTAAGTGATAAATATCTGGGTAGATATAAAACGATCGAAATAAAACGGTAGTATGCAAAAATTAACTATGCAATGTGACGTAAGGCTAGCGAATATGCAGAAATTGAGGAATGGAGAATGGAGAACGGTAGGAATAAGAAAAGGCTAAAGGTAAATAGAAAATAGAGGGAAGAAACACCTCACAAAGTAACGTAAAACTAGGGTGCTAATCATGGATGTTGCGATCCCAATAGAAAAACAAGATACCGTGACAAGAAAGATGAATTAACTCAGAAACCAACAGGGAGCATGGAATGAACGCCAGCGGGAGTTATGTTTAAATAAGCCCTCTTCATCCCGGTGTCGAAAGTGGAAAGCCATGACCACCACTATTGCGTAAGGTCCATCTAGCAGAAGAAAACGCAAGTCGGTCTGTTTCCTGGTTTCCGTTTCTATGGCTATTAATCCGGGCGAAAATTTCGCTAGGCGGTCCGGGAGGTAGCTGCATTGCTATAAATTTAGATGCGCGTGTTGAAAAAATCCGGGTTAAGTTGAGATGACGAGCAGGATTGTGAAAACTTCCATCGTCCTGGAGAGAACAGAATACCGTCCCCTCGAGGTTTTGAAGAATACTTGAGGTTGACGAGAAGGCATTATGGTTGGTTTCAAGCACTGATACTGGACCCCGCGCCACCTCCAACCCATCCAAATTTTTTCAATCCGCCTTTCACCGCTTCCTTCCCACAGCCAGCCCCAGCCTTGATACTTGATAAACGATCATTCCCCGAACTGTTCCCATTGATGAATCCATCAAGTCCAGTAGACCCAAGACCATGTTCAGCATGGCCTATTTCTCGCCCTAGTACGTATCCAGCGGAGAAACTGATGGCAGAGAACAAAACAACCACACCAGCGCTGATTACCCAGGTCATAACGGTGGGGCTGATGATGGATGAACTCTGAGACATAGACACACGGCGCGACCGCTTTGAGGACGGAGAGTGATTGCGAGAAGAGTTGGTTTTTCGTCTTGCTTTATGGGCGGAATCGGGCGACGCAGCACGTTTAGAGGATGAGGACCGTGGGGTGTGACTGTGTACTGGGATGTTGTTAAAGGTGGGTGCTATCGCCCTGGCACATTCTTGGCTGTGGTCCTCTCCCAGAGCAATAGATTCGGGAACTAATCGAAAGGCCGAAGGTTCAGGTCTCTCGGTTGTTACCGGTCGGGAGTCTTGCTTGGGCAACCCACGAGCCGCGGCTGCGCAGGATAGAAGAGTGGAAAGGCTTGCTCGTAGAGCAGCATCGTTATCGGCTTGGTAGGAAGGGGATATCATATTGTAAGGGGAATGTTGATGCTGGCGCGAATGTCGTGAAGGGTGTAGGCTGGAGCGCGAGTTTCTCCTTGATCTAGCCCTGAAGCTAGGAGGCGCTGATATCGGATTTGTAATAAAAGCGGACGGTCTCGATCGTTGGGTTTGCGAAGCGGGAGGGTGTGAAAATGCATTTGGCTGCGGAGTGAAAGTTGGTGGGTTCGAGGTCAAACCAAGAGCGGTAGAGTTGTCATCTTCATCGCTTGAAATTGCGACCTCAGATGTTGATAAATTCCCACGATATAGCATCGCATTTCCGCGTGAGAGATCCTCATTTGAGCTGCTCAGAACCCGGTCTGACTCGCTCTCACTCTCTTCATATTCATCTTGACTACTTCCTGGGACACTGGGAGAGCGGCGCGAGTAATGAGTATTTAAATTACCTGTCGCAGAAGCGTGGCGGTGGATTCTTTGGTGGCGTCGCTGCCGTACCCGAAGCCCTGTCGTGACAATATCATCGCTTGCAGTGACAGAAGATAGGGAAGAGGATGACGGTTGAGACGCAATTTCTATCCACGAATCTGTATAGTAACTAAATGAGTACATGTTGAACGAACAAAATATAGCGAGCATTAAAGATAATTAAGGAGATGGAAAGTTCAAGAAGAAAGTACGGCCGATCAGTATGCATGCTTGATACCTGATCGGGAGTGTCTATCTATCACTTCGTGTTCGTCATTCGCTAGCTGCACACATACCGTCTGATCTGGTATGTCGTCCACCAGACGTATTTTGTGATGGAATCACAGTTTCTCGTGACGTAGTTGCCGTGACGGTATCTCTGGGGCCATGTAGCGAACGTTCCTGGTTCCCGTCGAGAATAGTCCGATGAGGCTCAAGGTGGTTTGGCTGCATGTTGAGTCCTGGCAGGGGAGGAAATGAAAGAATATGCCCTGCACTTTAACGGTTTCTGGTCTAACGACGTTGGTAGGATCGAAGTAGGAAGAAGTGGCCTTAAATAAAGGGCCAAGAGATAATCGTGCACTGATACTAAATTGGCGACTGAGAGGAGATAGCACGCTAGAGGGAAATCAACCACAAAGAAAATAACAATTGAATAACAGAGGACTGTATAGCTGGTTGTGTAAAGGGGGGTAGAAGCCAGAGACCGGATGTCCACTGGATGGCCCCGTGGTATTCCTCAGGTGATAATACGAAGCAGATGAGGGAAAGCAAGTGGTATGGTATGCGCGATAACCGTATCGCAACCAGCACCCTCGTAGAAAGTACGAACAAAGGAGACAAGGAGAAGAGGAAAGAGGTGGGACAGATGAGGACGAAATGTTAAAGAAGTTGAAGTTGACGATAAATATAAGAGGTGAGGAGACGTGGAAAGACGAGCCAAGGGGGGAGATGGGCGGTGACCATGACGCAGTGCGTGGTGTTTGCCGATGGAGCTGTTGTGGTGGCTCATCCTACCCTCAATTGCTGGGTTATGCGTTGGTTTCGTCCAGTAAGAGCGAGGGATGCGTGGATTTAGGGCCATAAAAGTGCGTGGGTACATCGAATTTAAGTTAGAGAGCTGCATCACGTGCGATGCCCCGCTTCCTCAAATAAGTTTAGGGCTTAGAGCTGCATATTTGTGACGATAAGATAAGAGTTACATCTGAATTGCACGTTACGAGTACTTATAGAACAACTATATAATCGAAATCATAATATCGAGGTTATAAACGGGTCCAAGGAATTGCCTCTGCATTAAACCAAAATAAGAACTTTTAGGGGGGAGAGGGTTAAAGACAAATAAACATGAACAGAAGCCAGAATAAACAAAACAAAACCAAAACAGGTATATCATACATTACCTTTGGCGGGGAGTCATTCCATGGCGCCAACTGAAATCGTCAATTCAAAACATCCTTGACATATGGAAAATTCACCACCGAAAGCATTTCGTGTGATCTAATCAAATGTGGTCTTCGTACCGCTGTAGTCGCCAAATCCACCACGATTGGTGCTGCCACCACGGCCTCCACGGGGAGCACCACGACCACGGCCTCCACCACCACGTCCACCACGGGCGCCACCACGACCGCCACCACGACCACCTCCACCACGTCCACCGCCTCCAGAGTTCTGGCGAGGGGAGCTGAAATCGAGGCGCATCGAACGCCCTCCAAGGTCAGCACCATTGAGGGCCTGGAAAGCGGAACGCGCCTCATCGACCGACGAGAACTGTACGTAGCCAAAGCCTTTGGGACGGCCAGACTCTGGGTCGGTGGGGAGACGCACACCAAGAATCGATCCATGTTCCGCGAAGGCCTCGGAGATCATGTTCTCGTTTGCGCTAAATGCGATGTTACCGATGAACAAGGTATCACTCTCGGGGCTCGTCTGGTCACCGAAGTTTTGAGCGCGGGACTGCGCACGCTCTTTTGGGGCAGCATTGGAACGACCGTTGGCGAAATCGACGTTCAGTTTACGGCCGTCGAGCTCCGCATCCTTTTTGGCTGCGTGAGCTTTGGCCGCATCCGCAGCGTTGGTGAACTCAACATATCCGAAACTATGCATAGGGGATCGTCATGTCAGTTTACATGTTGTCTATAGTGATGGTGAAGTTTCCAGCTTACCCTCTCGACCTGCCACTGTCACGGTCGGTAACAATGCGCACACCAGCAAGCTCACCGAATTCCTCGAACTCGGATCGGAGCCATTCTTCGTCGACATTCCATGACAGGTTACCAATGAAGAGGTTCCCACCCTCATTGGAATCCACCTTTGTTTTCTTGGGTGCGGTGACCTCCTCCTCCTCGTCTTCAGCCTTGCGCTTCTGAGACTTGGAAGATGGCTTCTCAGCCTCAGTGTTTTTTGCTTCTTCTGATTCCTCAGCCGAATCATCGGATGATTCATCGGATGAATCTTCCTCGGATCCCTCGGAACTATCGTTGTCGTCGCTGTCGTTATCAGACTCCTCTATAGTTGATTCCTGTAGACTATTAGCAATGACTTTGTGTTGAAGCGTGTCACCAGTGTAACTTTCGCTTACCTTTGCTGCAGCTTTGGCAGCTGGTTTCGTTTCTTCAATAGCGGAAGCTTCGGAGTCAGAGTTAGAATCAGAATCAGAGTCACTTTCGGATTCAGATTCATTGCTCTCACTTGTCTCCACCTTCTTGCCGTTGGTTGCAGGCTTCTCATCCTCGGACGAGGATGATTCCTCCGGTTCAGAATCGGATTCGGATTCGGAATCGGATTCAGATTCGGGCTCAACTCTGGCAGTCTTGGTGGCGGCTTTAGCGGGAGCAGGTTTTGTCTCTGTCTCGCTTTCACTCTCACTTTCGCTGCTAGAGGCCTCGGTGCTATCGCTGGACTCGCTCTCTGACTCCGATTCCGAAGGTGATGGCTCCCTCTTCTTAGATTTCTTGTCTTCCTTGACAATTTTCTTGGCCATCTCTTTGACCTTCGATTTTGGAGCGACAGAACCCTTTGTCACAGAGCCATTCTTAACCTTGGACACAACCTTGTCCTCTCCTTTGCTAGTCTTCGATGATGATTTCATTTTTGACATCTTCATCTAGCCATGGTTAAATCTCGCGATTCCAGAATAGAGAGATAAAGGAACCGTGAAAAAATACAAGATAGAAAGGAGAGTAGCACTCACATTGTCGTAATTTCAAGTCAAACAGGTATTGGAACAAAATCTGTGCAGCAACCTCTGAAAGTACCCTCAGTACCCACTGTGTATTTGGTTTGTATTTGCGACAATTTGAGCCCTCACTCGAACAGTAAGCAACAAACAGCTATTAGATGGCTGTTATATGTCCTATTGAACTCGAGATCTTTGTCTCGAAAATACCCGCAAATGGGTTGCCCTCAGTTACCCACTAGTTTCAAGCCCACAGATGACAGACAGGCAAATACTTGCTCCGTCTATAGAACCCACAAGTGAAAGTCCCACAGGAAATTTTGCAGTATGGTTTTCAAGAAAAGCCCACAGCCCTCAGAAGTTCAGAAAGCCCACAGGTACGGAAATACTTGCAGCAAGCCTAAATTTGTATCGGGACAGAAAAGGAGAAAAGACAGCACCGGGTCCAGTCTTTATCTCTCTAGATCCACAGGCAAACTCCCACAGATATCTTGGTTCGAGAAGGAAAACTTGTTCAAAGAAATGGAAGACGCAAAAAAGATGGAGGACACAAAAATATATCGAATTTTCCGGAAAAATTAATTTCGGCGGCTGGAAATTTTGCTCACCGCTTTTGGGAAAACTTGGCGCGCTAGAACACCGGCAGTTCATCCACGAACTACACTAGAGTAAAGTAGGTTAGCGGCTTGATCCAAGCTCATGTTACCCACAGGACCTCGGTAGCCATCTCATCACTTCGCGTTGGAGCTTGCCAGGTGCAACTCCGACGACCTCAACGATAATTGATTGACTTGCACAGGGACTCATCTATTGTCGTCGATTCTCTTCAAAATAACACCACCAATGGTCGTCGTCAATTGACACACAATGGGCCCCTCCCCAAGTCTGTCACCTTCACATCGCCCGCGAAAGAAGAGGAGATTGCTATCAACGACCGCTCCCCACTCAAACATCGATCTTATCACCAACACAGATGCAACCCAGCCTTCTCCCACCTTTCCACTCGTGTCGTTTTTATGGACAGCTCGTGCTGGTGTATCCCAATGGGTTGTGCTACCTCTGATTCTGATGGTCGTTGGGCTATTCCGCTGGTCCACGGGCCTATGGGGATATTCTGGTGAGCTTTAAGTCATCCCCCCAATTGAATTTCGAAAATGAAGCTAAATATATGAAATACCTCAGGCCAAAACACTCCTCCAATGTACGGTGACTTTGAGGCTCAGCGACACTGGATGGAAATCACCACCCATCTACCGTTGTCGCTATGGTACTTCTATGACTTACAATGGTGGGGTCTCGACTACCCTCCCCTTACTGCTTATCACAGTTGGCTTTTGGGTAAATTGTAAGAATCTAAACTCGTCTAGATATCTTTGATCTGTTGCTGATATTAGATAGCGGTTCGGTCATTGACCCGTCATGGTTTGTCCTGGATGACTCCCGTGGAGTTGAAGGCCCTTTGCTCAAAGTCTATATGCGTGCGACAGTCGTGGTCTCCGAGTACCTCGTTTACATCCCTGCCGTTGTTATATTTCTTAGGAGATACTCTCGAATGCAAGGAACTCACGTCTGGGCTTCTTCCATTGCGCTTGTTGCCATCCTTATGCAGCCTGCCACTATTCTTGTAGACCATGGACATTTCCAATACAATACCGTTATGCTCGGGCTAGTTGTGGCAGCATTGGAAAGCATGTTCGCCAGCCGGATGCTCTGGGCCTGTTTGTTCTTCGTATCGTCCCTGTGCTTCAAGCAAATGGCATTGTATTTTGCCCCAACGATATTCGCCTTCATGCTTGGCTCCTGCTTTTCACTACGCGTGAGAATTGGCCGTTTAATCAGCATTAGTCTGATCACGATCCTTACGTTTGGCCTGATATTCGCTCCGTTCATAATCATGCCTCTCTATAACAAATACCGCGGCATTGAGCTGTCACTGCCCAGTCCGCCTCTCCTCCAAAACCTTCCAGTGCAGCTGGATGAATCCTCGTGGATTTTTCCTCCAGTCCTGCAGCTCGCGCAGGCAATCCATCGCATATTCCCGTTTGCCAGGGGCTTGTTTGAAGACAAGGTTGCTAATTTCTGGTGCACTATCCACACATTCTACAAACTGAACCGTTTCCCGTCAGCCTTACTCCAACGTGCGTCACTTGGAGCCACCATTCTAATGATCTCGACGCCGTGCACGCTCATCGCCCTATACCCTCGGCCGACACTTCTTCTACCGGCACTAGCAAGCACGGCATGGGGATTTTTCCTATGCTCCTTTCAAGTCCATGAAAAGAGCATCTTGTTACCACTCCTCCCCATGACCCTACTTTTTGGCAGCGAGCGCGGCTTAAGTAAAGAAACACGGGCATGGGTTGGCTGGGCGAACATGCTTGGCGCGTGGACCCTCTTCCCGCTCTTACGACGCGACGAATTGCGCGTTCCATACTTCGTCCTCATTCTGCTGTGGGCATACCTGCTTGGCCTCCCACCAACGTCGCTAGACCTATATTGGAATGAATCGGCCGCGCCCTCTCAAGCGACTCAAAACGGCTCCGGGAATTTACATATTCTCACGAAGATATTGCATTTGGTTTATTATTCAGCTATGATATTATGGCACGTTCTTGAAGCCTTCGTCGCTACACCGGCGGGGAAGCCGGACTTATGGGTTGTGCTTAACGTTTTAATCGGAGCGTCCGGGTTTGGCATTTTATATCTGTGGTGCACGTGGAAACTCATCCAGCCAACAACTTCGTTAATGAGCCCGTCGGCGACTTCATCGAAGACTTTGAAGGGCGAGTCCGTAAGTGAAGAGAAGAAAAAAGGATAGAAGGGGAATTCAATGAGGATAATAATAGAAATTTTAATTGTGTGATAAAATATTTACCTACTGGAGCTGGGAATTTATTTCCTTCTGTTCTCCCATTTTTGATTCCGTATACTTTTACACATCGTACTATTTACTTCACATTTTGATACACAAAACATCTTGCGACATCCATTATCTTCATTTCAAACATGTGATTGTAATTCATTGTAAACGCATTTTTTTAATTCTTTTTTGAATCATTAAACCTGTCCTAACCCCAACTCCATATAATAAAGACTGTTAAGAAAACCAAAACAATAATTAGCAGCGGCGGGCTGTACAGTGCAACTGATCAAAATCGATTTTGGAAAATTCAGTTTAACAATTTTGGAAAAGCGCTGCTTTAGTATAAATTATATGCTGCTGTTCTCCTGATGAGAGAGGAACAATATTTTTTTCTCAGGTTATTAAACATGACGGAGGTTTTACGGTCATATTCCAATTTCCCTCCCATAGTATGCCCCTCGAACTCATGAGTAGCATGGCGTGCGTCTCGGAAAGGGCAGTTGCCAACCGCTGAAGAGTCAGATAAGAACTCAGAGGGCCAGTTTCGTTTTCTTCCAAGTTGCTTAGGACGGTGTGGTATTTGGAACGAATGGCGCCGGCGTTTAAAAATAAAGGCATTCAATATCGATCTTGACAGGTAAGAAAACATACCAACGCATGATAGAGTTTGAATACTGATCAAGGTGGGAGGGAAAACCGTTCACGTTCTATTTCAAGTCCTCATTCCTCAACCAAACAACTGCACCGACCATTCGGTTTCAGGGGCTTATAATTGGTAAGGGAGTTTGTATTCTTTTCCGCAAGAGAATCTGAATAGTCCAGCTGCCAACACACAGGCCGGCGAGAAAGAAACTCCATTTGCCTCCTCTTTCAACGATGCAAGCAGTTCGCATACAGCCAACCCTTCTCCCAAAACCAACACGTTGAGCTCAACTTGCCTAGTTAGCACTGTCCCCTAGTTCCTCCCCGTCTGCTTCGAGCCAGTGCTCCTTCAAGTAGTTCAGCTGTCCATCGGTGAATCCTAGACCGTCAGTTAGTCACGGATCAAAGATGAGATCCTTAACACTCAGCCGCTCCTCAGGCAGCCGCGGAGGATCCTACGACGAAAGTGTAGTAACCTTTCCTTCTCACTATTTTCTGCGTCTTGGATGTTCTCCACGGCGAGTTTCTCGAGGGTGATGTCGGGCATGGGGATGTTTTTTTTTTTTTTTTTTTTTTTTTTTTCCTATATTAGCTTTTGCAGGAGGCTACTCATGTGAATGTAGTAGATGTAACTTTTTTTGTGTGGACATTTTTACCATTTTCATCCCAGAATATTGGACAAACTGTGCTGTGGTGCATAAGACAGGTGGTGGTGGCATCAGCACAGCTCCTAGCTCTGCAACAAGATGTCCATCATGAGATCGCAACCCCTGAGGAGAAGTTCCAGAGCAAACAAAATGTCAAGTCCTTAAAAGAAGGATAAAACTTAGACCAAAAGCAAGGAAATAGCACCTTGTTTTGGCAGGAATTGATCACCATTTCAGAACTTCCGATATCAACTGCTTAATTCCACTTTTGTCCACATGATGATCTCTGGGACTCTCTGCTTTCGATTATCTAATCTGGCATCATCGAAATCAGATGAATGGTAGCTGCTGTAATGATCAGGCACCGGCCAGGAATACAGTGCTAACCACCTAGGCTCAAAAGACCATAAGACGGTTGGCTTCCTGCCTGCCGCGCCCAATACGCCTACCGTTACAGCTGTTTCAACTCTTTGATGGATGATCCGATCTTGGTAGACTTCTCAGTCTGATGAATCACCACATTCGTTCGTCATTCTCAAGCTCCTTATAAAAGAACGTATCGCTCACAGAGAGAAGCAGATTTTTTTGATTGAAAATCTGAAGATCAACATGTGAGAAAAGAATTATCTGATTTGAAAAACGATCATAGTCAATCTAGCTGTATGTATTATTTTCAGTGTGTGAAGGAAGTTCAAACACACAAAAGTAGCTGGAGAAGAAATTGTTTCGCGCGCCCAAGAGACAGGAACTTCTTTATAGATGCTATAAAATGTGACGATTCACAAGAATTTCTCAAAAGTCTGCTGTTCAATACACAGATGTTTTGCTCGAGATTTTTACATCTCAAAGAACGAAAGAGATTTGTGAATATACTCATATTCAAAATGGCTTGTCTTTGCCCTACGGCGCTTGCCGTCGGGTGGATTTCAGCGCATCCAATATACATTGCCATATCACCACCAACACTGGTGGAACAGCAGGTAGGTAGGCAGACGACGCTGTGAAGAATCAATCACCTTGTCCGTCTGCCGAGTGAGAGTGCGGCCGAAGTTCAGCAGAAGCTGAGTGGCGAGCCAGAAACTCCGCGACCAACCGTCACATTAGAGAGACATAACAGGGTAGGGACGGAGTTTTCCGTCCGCAGAAAGAGTAGGCGAAGAATAGGTGGCAAAAATGGAGGAGAATGGATGGATGGTGGCGGTGGGACTGGCAAACAAAGCATCTGGTGAGTTCAAGCAACAACACCGTCTGGGGATGTACTGTGCTCGCACGGAGGACTCGAGGTATCGAAGCTAAGGGCCGAGCGAAGGGGAGAGGGGCCAGCCTCTATATATGCATATGCGTATGGCTCCAAGCGACGAACTCTGCCGCACTGCAGAAGGAGCACTCGTTTCCCGAAACAGCCGCTCCCAAAAAGACGATTCTATTTAAACAGATTTAACCCAGCTCAGCTGACTATTGACTTTAGAACCTTCAGCATTTTATTTTTCTACAGGGCTCTTGAAGCACTGATGACGTATGTATCTAGGTAGAGTCAGCTTAGACTACGGAGTAGAATAGATAAAAATGCAGTGTCCATATTGAAAGGCAATCTGTTACTTGTATGTACAGAATTATAGCGGTATTGGAGACCTGTTGCCCTTGCCATGGCCGAGAGAGAGAAACTACCTTAAGTATGCACACCATCATCCTGCACTGGTGGAGAGAGGTGGAAAGTTTTTTTTCGCGCCGATCATCATGGTTCATGTGCATGATGTGCATCAACTAGTTTTGTGTGTTGTATTTTTATTGCACAGCCTCCAGCTTGTTTATCAATACCTGCACTAGACTCAGTAGAACTTAGTGTGGATACAACTGACAGGGGTATGCTCCCCTGCCAGCCAATGGAAACGGGCCGACTCCAGGGGTGGGGAACTTAAAATGGCACGATGTATGCATCCGGTATGGACTTATCCTAATCGGGTGGTCTAGACAGGGGCTACTGTCTCAGAGTTGCTGGAGGCGTATGTACGGTATGTATAGTGTGGAAGCGCTATTCCACCCATAGGGCGAACGAGTGGTATTTTTCTGGTATTTTTCCGGTATTTTTCCGGTCTTTTTCCGGCACTTGCTGCGCCGTTTTTTTTTCTCCTGTGACCTCGCAATGTCCGCCTGGGCAGTTCGCTTCACCACTTTCTGACTTGCTCCCTTTCTGTGTTCAGACCTCCATCTCTGTCCATCCGTCGTTCTCTCTATCACTCTCCTTTTTCTTCTTCCTTCGCCATTCGTTTGATGCCTATTTCATCACCCTACGTATAAGGGCAACGTCTATACAGAACTCTCTTCCTATATTTCTGTGGTTGCTGGGTTCTTGCCTTGGGGGCTCGCGCGTATCGCTCCCTTGCTCCTCCAACCATTTAGTCCGCCAGTCGCTGCCGCCAGCCACGATGCGGTGGACACCCTCCTTTTCTCTATTGCTGCTCTCAGCCCTCCTTCTGGTCATCGCCGTTGCTGGCGCGGAGAATTCAAATAATGGCAGAAAGAGACAGGTGGTCAGCGTCGACGAGTCACAAACAGACTCCCCATCTTCAACAGACGAACCAACAACGACCACAACCTCCTCGACTTCCAGCTCAACGCCAGAACCACCAACCACCTCTGAGCCCGAAAATCCGACCACTCCAAGCACAAACAAACCCCCTCCCAAAACTACCAGCCCCGAAACTCCAACCAAAACAACAAACCGAACCACCCCTCCCCCGCGAACCAACTCCCCCCAACCAACACAATCCTCCGTCGTCATCGTCACCAATACCATCACCGTCAGTGGCAGCACTTTTGAACAAACCTCCGCCTCAACCATAACACCAGGCCAATCCCCCGCCCCCGGCCTAAGCAACGACAATGACGGCGGCCGCGCCTCCTCCGGCCTCAGCGACTCGTCCAAACGAATCATCATCGGTGTCGTCGTTGGCGTAGGCGGTGCCGTCCTCGTGGGCGGCCTAGCCTTCGTGGCATGGCGGCTGCGTCGCAAGCGAAACTCCCGCGGCGTAGGCGACGATGACGACCTGATGAACGCAGGCACTGCCGTAGGCTCGTCGAGCCACGAAACCTCGACGGTGGGAACGGGTCCTAGCCCGTTTACATCTACGTTGGATCAGTATCATCACCCTGGCGGGGTGAACCCGTCGTCGAATTTCTGAGTGTTTGGCGAAAATGAGGAAACTGAAAGGTGAAATGGAATGTCTTAACACCCTTTTTTGCCTATTTTTATTGAAACTTTGGAATTGCAAAAGCGTGGCTATCGTTGGATCTGTCTTGCACGAGCATAACCGGATTTACTTCGTTTCTATGTTGTGCGAAGCAAGTTTGCAAGTTTCTGCTTTGGAGGAATGGCTGATACCCTTCTGTTTTCTCCATTTCGTTTGGTAGAGTCCCGGCTGCATTGAACTGTTTTTTTCTTGTCTTACCACATCAACCTCCATTCGCACAGATGATTGTTGATATTTTCTTTTTATTTATGGCCGTGCGGGAGTTATAACTCTGTTTTTCTTTTGTACCCTTATCTACTTTCTCTCTATTCGCTCTTGTTTTTCATTAATAATTCATTGTATTTGTTTCTTGTTCTTTTCCATTCTATTTACCTTCTTTTCCCTCTTTTTCTTCCAACTCTCAAATTCTCAAAACCTCTTAAAAAAACTGAAAGAAAACCTAAAAGAAAGCAAGCACAAACACACCACACTGTGAAAGAAAAAAGGTGTTTGGTTATCAACCTGGTAATTTTGATATTGATGTTCTTGCCCTCTCGCCAATCTGTTCTTTTGGCCAGTTTTATAACCTTGGAAGCAAGCACTAAGGGGAATGTTTTGCGAAACACACTCGACTACAGATGCACAGAAATATAAATGCAAATCTCAATGCTGGAGCTCATAAATTCAGATATCAATCGATGGTATGAAGATCTTGTTACGTAGAGTGCTCACTGCATCCACATCAGCCATATGATATCCGGAGGTTGTTAGAAGTTATACCTACGTGGTGAAATAGGTGTGGTCACGTGGCATCCAGGGATGACCGCCCAGTGGTTATATCTTTCTACTTTAAATTTTTATTAATAAAACATACCATGTTCAAAAATGAATAGTTAGTATTGCTCAATAACGTAGATTCAAATAGATGATCTAAAAATATGGGTATAAAGTTAGATCTATCAAGAGATGTCCTCTCTCTGACGGTACGGTACAAGAATTGTTGGTAATGCAGGCGGCATAATGTGGCAGTATCCAGATTTAGTGTAACCCTTTAGCACCATGCATTCTCTCCATCATCTATGATCCTATCCCAGATCAGATAGAGCGCCAGGCAGGCTAACAACTCTATAGCTCTCCAGCTCTGCAGTTTTACCATCTGGCCCCACTTGAATGCAGGCTCTCCGTCAATCGCGGACTACTATTTCTGCCTCTCGCTGTCCCTCTCTGGGTTGACTCCTACCTACTGCTACACTTTTGTATCACATCCCATACATCCAAGTTCAATCAACTAAGTAAAGGTATTGTTCTTGATTTGAGTTGTTCCTCCGTGTGTTTTGAGCTCTGTACAGCCCTGTTTTTATCGCTATAATCCATCCATCCATGGTTATTTTCATAAAATAACTACAATGGATAGATACTGCTGAGCACTTCTCTCTTTTTTTTCTCAATGTGTTCCTCAACAAGGATTATTATTGTTGTTGCAGCCCTGCACTCACATTTTCGATTATTTTCTGATTCTGATTCTGATTTCTTTTATTTTCTTTGCTTTTTGTTTTGAACAAAATTACTTTGTTTTTTTCAGGTTCAAACTTCCTCACAAACATGTGTTGTTAGGGGATTCAGTCGCTACAATTTTCGGAAAGAACAAAAAGACAAAAAGAATACCAAGACTCATCGCCATGCCCAAGGCCAAGACTCTCCAGAGGGCTTCCATCCACGTCGATCACAGCGCATCGCCACAATGAATGATAAAGATGAGGATGCAGAGCCTTCGCATTCAAGCCAACAGCTCTCAGAGATGTCAACATTACAAGAGAGTTTCGAATCTTGGGAACATAAAGTTAACAAGGCCAAAGACCGTATTAGCCGTTATGTCCCTGGCCAGTGGGCTCATACCAAGGGCACTGACAATACCTTAATACCCTGTTTAAACGCATGCCTTGATTGGCTACCCGCAGAAGGGGCGGATTCTCTGGTCCATGATGTGGAGAGTTGCAGTGACAATGATGAAGCCCTTTATTATGTCTTCAAAAATTTGGCATCTGGACTTTTGCAGCCCAGTGAGTTCAGATTTATTTATTTTTCTTATTTTCTTCTCTCTATGTACCTTTCTTTGATGGATTAAAATGTTGATTTTTTTGCCATAGTGAAAGCTCTGAGTACCGGGGCTTCCGTGACTGAATCTCCTATCATCAAGCGCCAAAAAATTGCAGATCTCGTTGCTGCGAACCTCCCCGAACCCCAATCACGAACTGATGAATTCCGTGACATATGCTTTCGTCGAGATGGATCTCGCTGTGTTGTAACACAACGAATGGATTTAAACCTTTGGAAGAGTATCAATCGGCCTTCTGACATCAATCATGGTGATGTAGAGGCGGCACACATAATACCTTTCGCCTATGCTTCATGGCATGATATTTCGGTACGTCCATTTTACATTTTATCCCCCCTCTTGAACCCCTCTTGAACCCCTCTTGAACCCCCCCCCCCCCCCACCCTAAACCAAACACCCACCAAATATATATCTATTGAGACAAAATGCTAATTTAGTGCAGGGGGAGAAAAATGCTGTAAATGTCTGGGAGACTTTGTTCCGTTGCTTCCCATCAATACGGCGGATTGGTTTGAATGCAAGCAATATTAATGACCCATCAAATGGAATAACATTGTTGGACACGATTCATAAGCAGTTCAGAAAGTTCCGATGCGCCTTTGAGCCTACAGTATGAAACCAAACTCAACATTTCCTAAAGTTTTTAATTCCTCAAGATTACTAAGAAGGTCATTGTTGCTATTTAGGAAACGCCGCACGTCTACAACTTTAAAACCTACATGGATTATCCTTTCAAAAAGGTGTTCTTCGCACAGGACCAAAAGGTTACAATGCAAAAGGCAGAAGGGGGTGAAGATGTTAAACTTCCCTCTCCAGAGCTGCTAGAATGCCATTGGAGAATTGCTGAAATTTTAAATGCATCTGGCATGAGTGAAATCATTGATCGGATCATTAACGATTGGGAGTATATCAAGGAAGGCGATGAAGGGCATGGCAGTCTAAGAGAAGATGGAAAGTCCAATGTTTCAGAGATTTTATCAGCCGCTTTCTGGGCTCACGGTCACTGGGTCAAGACGTAATGAAGAGAGAAAGAGAGAGGTCAAGTTGGGGTTATGAGCGCATCCGGCACTACCTACTGGCAAAGCGATTGTTGGGATAAAAGAAGTAGAGGGCCAGAAAGGAATAGAGATCAGCTGACAAAAAATACTATACAAATTTATGATGATGGCGATTCTAGTTTGGGTATTTCTAATGCAAGTTGCTCAGTGCTCCCTCTCACAGCAGTTCTATATTCAACCTTGTCATGGTTCCAAGGGTGTAAATTTCTCTTGGAGCAACTCCCCGTCGCAAGCAATGCACTTCATCCCTTGGGCCGGCCAAGGGGAATTCATGTGTTTTCGTAGAAAATGCGTAAGTGAGCGAAGCGAGTGACGCATATTGTGGCATAGAGCGGAGTCATGGGATACACGTAAGGGCCGGCCATGGCAGGGGGTTTAATCCAGCTTCTCGAGAGCAAATATGTTTTGGTGCGAAGCTAAGTAAACAATTCATGGAGGGTCTACCTCCTTTGGTCCACAGCAGTGTAAGACTTCTTTCGCTTCATCTGCCTCTCCCACGCCGGCATGGCCCACTTCACCATGTACTCAGACATCATGAGCTGCTTCGCCGTCGGTCTATCGGCTGGTTCGAATGTCATCATCGCTCGCAGCATATCCTCTAGAGCTTTGAACTCGCCACTAGCAACATCCCATTCACACGTTTCTGGTGTCTCACCCCGGCCCATATCCCACATCCGCTGGTGAAGACGACGGAATACAGGTGTGCTGATGCGCTGGAAGTTGGTGATCCAGGACCCATCTTGGTTGAAGAACTCAGAGCGGTTTTTCCAGGAGTCCCACCACCTTTCAGGCATTTGTCCCAAGGTGTTGACCATTTCAGCAATGATGTCATCTGGGTCCCATGCAAACGTTTCAAAAAGCGGGCGTTCGCCCAAAGCATCATATAGGACAACACCCAGGGTCCATACATCAGCTGCAGTGGTGATTTTGTCACTGAAGAATTCTTCTGGGGGGGAATACAGGGCTGGTGTGAGAAGAGTGGGGGATGGTGTTTGTGAAACAACAAAAGATGCCCCATAGTCTGAGATAATAATCTCAGGATCCATCACCTTGTTCGCAGGCATGTTCCAAAGCATGGGATAAATGACATGTGGTGGTGCATGTGGTATGCTAGGCTTTCCATCAAGACGCCGGGTAGGAATCTCATTTGGCTTGCCATGATGTTCGTGCAGTTCACTTGTACTTAAATTATCAAAGCTCGGGACGCGAAGAAGAAAGTTGCGCAAATGAAGATCTGTTTGGGTTTAGTGAATTTGAATAACTAATCACAGAGCAAGACTATATTTTGCATACCTCCATGGCATACATCATTTTCATGCAAATAGTTCAAGCCCATGATGAGTTGGGCGGCGATGGATCTAGCAGCATCTTGTGGAAACATAAAGTTTGTACTGTTCTCTTTGGAAGTGGATATGCTGCAGCCAGCAGGCTCAACAACCAAGCACCGATGATGTCCGTTGGGACCATCAAAAGAGAATTGGTCAAGCAAGGTCGGGATATACTGCCTTCCACGGCAATGTGGGTCACCTTTTGTCAATAGATGGATGATTTTGCCCTCATTACTGCTCTCCGAAGCTCCCGCAACAAGTATCTTCAGCGACACATAGCGCTGGAGATGCTGGTCGCGAGCGAGCCAGATTGTTGAATAAGCACCAAATCCAAGCTTGTGAACTATTTTGTAGCGACCGCTACAAAAGGTGTCTCCAACAAGAGTTGGATGGTATCCGCCGGGCCTGTATCCTTCCAAATCCTCCACATCTATCTCGAGGTGATAAATTCTTTCGTCTTCCGGAGGGGGTGATTCGGCCATGGAATGGTAGCACGGAATTACTGGCTGGGAGGCAAGCCGGAGTCGCGACGCTGGAGACTTATGAGGAAGCAGTTGGTGACGGTGCTGAAAGATGACGAAGCGAGAGAGAAAAGGGCCAACTCTGTCAACAGAAGCATATCTCCAGCCAACACTCATTGCCTTGTTGATGGGCAAGGAGCTGAGGATATGATCAGGATAGTTGCTGATGATACCTGAGATAAGGCAATTGCTCGTGGAGCTCAGGTAGCTATAACTGAATTAAAAAGAGGGCGGTACGATCATCAACTCCATGTAGCACTTCTTACATCACAAACTATTTCCGCACATAAATCTACCCGCTATATGGGACATATCGTAAGCATATTTTTGGATCGGTATGAAAATTTCGGGTAACTCGGGCAGAGCATACCATATCACAACTAGGCCATAAACTAGGAGTACTACAGCATCAAGTAATGCGACCTGATGTATGGCCTCCCGCAGTGGTGCTGCTGCGTACTGCTTAAGGATTGAGCCCCCTGAAGCATCTTCCCATGAAAATTGAGCTGAACAGCGAATTGAAAGCGTGAGCAGGTTAGGTGGTCAAGATCTCAATTCAACCGATTTAGCCTAATACAACCTAGCGCGATTAAGTACACGCGAATGATGTAATCAGCAAATGGTCGCGTTCGTGATCTGTTAGTTAATGCTTCACACAATTGACAGCATCCGCAGAACGACTGATACGCTTCCCAATGTATATCGATAATAGTTGAAAATAATAATGTTTACCGCCATCACCCAACAGCCACCCTTCACACACCTATTCTCTCATGCACCGCAAACATCCCTCCCCTCACACCATGCAAACCTCGTCGTCCCCCGACACCAGTTGCAGATAATGGAACATGACAATAAGCAAGCGAAAGCGACGACATCACCACCATCCCGCACACTCCCCAGGCAATCATACGCCGAACGCTATGCCAACCAAATCCGCAACCCAGCTGCCAAACTCGCATGCCGGAGAGGCTCCCGCGAGAAACGGCTCGGCAGCTTCCTGAATAAAGTGAAGCATGATCGCGACGAAGGCAGATTTGAGGCCAGAAGCGACCAGATTCAGCGAACCAATTACCTGGCGCAGCTGCGGAGGTATCAAGAGACGCTTGCGAGGTCTGCGCCGGACTTTGGACCGTTGATGGAGGAAGAGGAGGAGGAGGATGTGAAGGTGGACGACGATGGGATGGTTTTCGATGAAGGGATCCAGGGGATCGGTGTTGGCGCGAGGTGGAAAAAGGATCGTGGGGTTGGTTTTGAAGGTGTGTTTGTAGACATGGCTCCCGCCCCTGCTGAGCTTAACTTGATTTCTTTTATGATCATATTTACTTTTTTTGTTTTCCCAAGCAAGATCTCCACAGAGTCGGAAATAGATATTGCAAAACAAAAAAGGGAAAAAACTACGAGGCTAACGTTGGGATGTCAACAGACGAACGCATCCTCGAAGAATTTATCTCGGAGGAGCAAGACTACCAGGCCTTTTTAGAGGAGTTGGAGCGCTCAGGAGACATTGAACAGCAGTCGCAACCGGTCCCGGCAAGTTCCCAGTATGACGATGAGGAAGACTATGAACATATTTTTGCTGAGTTGCTTGACGACGACCATGACCATCACACAGCATCGCCAGATCACACTGACGACATGAATGACGGGATGGATACATCGTGAGGGTAGACATTCTAGAATATCTTATCACGTATTTGAGCAGTGCATTGAAACGGCGTTTTTGGGCTCGGATGTCGATCCTACTTTTATCGATTTACTTTTTGGCGCTCTATTTTGGGCGCCTGGGGAGCAGCAGTAATGCTTTTTCCAATTCGTTCGCGAAATGAAAATTTCGTATGAAACTTATCAAGGGAAACTGGAGAAGGGGTCCATTCGGGATTCTCTTGTATTTGAAGGTATTTGCATATATGTACAGTACACCGGAATGAGAATGACCATTCCGTCGAGTTGAATATATAGAGAATAATGCCCAGGGTCTCGTTGGAGAAGTCGATGTATATAAAAGCGAAAATAGGGAAAGGAATGAAAGGGATTCAAATAGCGAAAATCATTGTCTATCAGAGTATGATTCATTGCTGCGGACATTGCGGCATCTCAGCACCCCCTCCCCCTCCCCCTCCCCCTCCTCCTCCCACGCCAGCGAAAGCGCCTGGCAGCCCAAGTTCATCCGCCAGCGGATTCGACACCAAGGCATCAGGCGGGCTCCCCGCGGCTTGCATCTATCATCACACTAGTCAGCATAGCCCTCTCCTCATGACACCGAAAAAATGGGCAATGAAAAAAAAGAAAAAAAAGAAATAGAAGAATAAGCATAACCAAATCATACCTTCTGCATCTTCTCCCAGATAGCAGCCCTATCCGCCGGATTGTCATCCGAATACCCCTCCTCGTCAAACTTGGCCACAATCTCCGCCACAATGGTAGCCTGCAATTCATACCTCTCCAGATCCTCTTTGGGTACCTTGTCTCGGTTCTCCCGCAGCCACGGACCGAATTTATCATTCAGCTCCTTCATCGGCTCGTAGAGCATATCCTTATTCGACAACTGTTCCATAATTCCCATGAAGAGCTTATCGAGGCTCTCGTCGTCGGCCTCACCAGCGCCCGCTTGACCGGCAGCGCTAGAGCCCACCGCCTTCAGCAACCGCATGAGTACATCATCGTCGTCTTCGCCCCCATCCCCCGTCGCCGCAGCGGTAGCTTTGTCCCCAGACGCTTGTATCCGCTCCATAGTCTTGCGGATCGTTTCTTGGAACCCATCTTCCGCGTTACTCGCACTACGAGCAGCACCAGCAGCATCAGTAGCACCGGACGTCGTCCCGGATTCCCCCTTTTCGTCCTCCTTACCACTGCCACCGCTGGTGCCAAGGCCGCCCAAGTCCCCCTCTATCCCCCCGGCTAACGCACCAGGACCCCCTTCCCCCATGAGTAATTTCATAATAGCCGTCGGATCCATTTCGCCCTGCGCCATTCGCTGCGCGAGGGCATCCCAGTCTGGTTCGCCGTCGCCACCCCCTCCATCTCCACCACCGCCGTCGCTGCCGGTGGGTTTTTGATGCAAGAGCCCCGCCATGCCGTGTTCAAGCTGCCGGAGGAAGGCGTCCTCATCGAGGTCTGATTCGGAGGCACCGGTGGCATTTTGGTCGGATGGGAATGATGGCGGTAGCTGCGGTCCTGCGGCGGAGGTGGAGGCGGAAGCATATGAGGGTTTATTCGAAGAGGGTGCGGCGGGAGTAGCTGAGGGAAGGTTTTTTGTTGGAGAGAAATCGTCGAGGAGGTCTGTGTGGTGATTTAGCTAGGTTAGAAGATTGACTTTCGTTTTTTCTTTTTTAATATGTATTATATATACGTTTGTCGCCTTCCTTCTGGATTCATTTTTTCCAAAAAAAAAAAAAAAAAAAAAAAAAAAACATAATTAAAAAAAAAAAAAAAATAACAATCCTCTTGCAACCATAGCCTCCAAGGATTAAGGGAAAGGTGGAGATATAAATGTTCCCAAACTTACCATCCAAATCAAAATCTGAATCCTCTTCATCTCGTTTTAGCCCAGCAGTAGACCGAGCATGAGCCTGGCTGTCAGCCTCCGTTGCAGTCGCCGGCACCCCCGCAATGCTGCTGGCTTCCGCTGGGGCAGCCATACTTCCCTCCTCTTCTATCTTATCTTTTTCCTTCTTCCCCTCCTCAGCCATCACTCGGTTTTCTCTGATGTTGGCTCTGTGGGATTGCTCTATTTGGTCGAGGCAATTTCGAGGGGGGGTTAGAGGAGGGCGGTTGGGGGGCGCGGTTAGAGTAAATAAAAACAAAGAGTCGAGGGTGGCAGAAGTAGGTTGACGAATTTATTGCTCTATTATTTTTCAAGCTTCTTCTTTCTTCTTTCCAGACAAAGGTGTTAAAAAAAAAAGCGATTGAAAATCCGTAGTTCGGATGTTGATGTTGATTTTGATGTTGGCTCCGGCAAAGGCATATGATAACAGGAGCTTTTTTTCTTGGGCTCTTCGGGTTGGCGACTTGGCGTCATTCCGTCAAGTTGCCGCGGTTCCTTTCACCAACAAGTTCAACAACCTGAAGATACCAGTACTACTAGTATGTATGTGCGTCATGGATTAATCGGCATAAGTAACGAGTTATCAAATGGAATTCAGATACCATTCTCGAGAGATTCATGATTCACCCCGTTACTCGTACCTCCAACCAACGAGCGTCAACAGTCGCTTCAGCCCAACCCCCTGATATCAGCCGTAGTAAAGTAGTCTACATCCATCGAGCACATATCCCCCAACAGTTTGATCGTGGACAAAAGTGAAGATATCAGCTGTAGATCTGATCACCATTGGCAAAGGAGCCTAAGAAGATAAGCAAAAGCTCAGCTATATCCCTCGTCCGGGCCAGGGGCTGCAAAAATACTAGTACTGGTAGTAACCTTGTATTTTAAAACCTTGAAGTTGTTTTTGTTGTTGAAATTTCAAATTGATAGATAGATATATATAATTTACTCAGCTGCATTTGGCATGCCGGATGTCGTTCAGATGAAGAATTTGACTGCCATCCTAGATAGGGGATCCGAATGGGAGTTGATAAGAGCCCATCATATCAAAAACCAATTATTTCCCCCGTCCCCCGTTTGTCAAGGCCTCTCCCAGATTTGGATTAGTGGTTATGGCCAGGAAAGACTTTTTGGCTAACTAGTTAGTATGTATACTTCTGTTCTTCGACATTTAGAACAGAAATAGGACGTCATGACAGTCGCAGGAGCAGGGGCAAGGGCAGGGGCAGGGGCAGAAGCAGTGATACAAATAGCCATCTTGGGTGTGGCGCTGAAGAGAAAAATAGAAAGAAAGCAAGAAAGAAAGAAGCAGAAGAAGGCGTGGTGCTTGGTTCTTGAGCTGTATACTGTAGTTAAGCGTCCTTTGAGCTCCGCAATACCGGGCAGGGTTGACGATTAACGCACTGGAATGCGACAACATCGAAGACACGAAGATACAATCCAGGCTGCTTCATTCAATGCCTGGCGGCAACGACACCCTCGTCGTTCCCAGTTCACGGATTTCAAGAATACTCGTACCAATCGCTCGTATCAAATACGAAACGGATGGTTAATACAAGAAACATAAATGAACAACCTGTCCCATGGTACAGTACACATTATGCACTGCATCGCCTTCCACCTTGGTGCCAGCTTGAGTTTGCAAGGTGGAGTGGAAACAGGACTGAATCCGAACATCGGGTATTCGTCCGCACACCTGAGGAAAATGTGTTCAAATGGAAGCTCGACTGGGTGGGGGTGGAAGTTGGCGCTGAAAGTTGGGCCCGACGACAACCTGCAGCATCCCTTTGGCAAACGCTGTACTATACATATATTGTAGTACCAGATTGCTTCGCCTTTTCTCCAGAAGCATCCAGTCGGGCGGAAGCTATCATCATCCTGTTGTGCTAGTAATTGTGTCTTGGGGGAAGGGAAGATAAGGTCCATGAGAAGGATTTTGAACTTCCAGCTCGCCATCAACAAGATGAGAGATGGCAGCGGTCAGAGTTGGCCAGGGGTCGGTAAGTGTCCGATGGGAAATCTTTGCCAATATGGACCATCGCTGGCAAAATATCGGCCTTCCGGACGATTCAACCTTCTTCAAAGGTGGAGCTGAGTCATAATAGGAATAGGGCAATAAATCAAGCGTGTTTACCGCGTAAGGCACTGCGGAGAAATCGACAGTTCATATTATTTGGAACACTTGCCCCACCAACCACTACAGTTTTCTCATTCTCAGCCTGCATCCTGCATCGTGCATCGTGCATCTCGCATACTAGTCGTGTATTATGGAAAGCCGTATCGTGGGTAGTTCTTAGATATCGCTCGACGCACAAAACCAGGTAATTTTCTGATGGGATTTTTTTTCCCCCCTTTCTTTCCCCGCTCTTTTCTCCCCGCAGGTCTGCTTATGTGTTAAATTTTTCTTCTAACTAACTATATTTTTGAAGTGGCGGCTGAATCGCTGGCTGATTTTTAGCGTGAAGGTGGGGAGCGAAAGCGTGGGTCCGTTGTTGACGCCAGCGAAGGACCCCGGAAGCAACATGCGCAATCTACACATGCTATGGAGTAATCTGTGCATTGAAACAAGTTCAACATCATGAAGAACTACAAAGGAAATGAAAAAATGAAAAAAAAAAAAAAAAAAAAAAAAAAGGAAGCGTATCCAGACTGTATCTGTAATGATGCCTGTTATCGGATTGTGCAGTTTATTCCACTGCCACCATGCTGTAACTTAATCGTGCCCCCGCTTATTCCCAATTTCAGGTAACTTTTCCATAGTTAGGTACAGTGCATGAAATATTTAAGGCTAAGGCTAGATATATTCAAAGTGTACAGATCTGTAGAGAATATGCTGATACAGACCTTTTTGCAAAAAAGAAAAATCTAAAATTATGAATTATTATCTTAGTTTCTAAAATCTGTACTTGGTCATCATCAATGTTAACAGTCAAAATATTGATTATATTGAAGTGGCTGAATACTAACATATTCTCTGCACTTAATTATATTCATATTCAATGCTGTGATGAAGATATCCACGTTTCCTTGTGACTGCACCTATACCAATAATACAAGTTGCCGGTTGTGGCGAGGCGCACCCACACCAGCTTCTTCCCCACCACCGAATGCACCGCCATTCTTCAATTCTTCTTCCCAGAACAAGCGAAGCCGGATTCCGCGGTATTGCGGCAACTTCCTCATTGACAATACTAGTTCGGTTTGATAGCTAGGTATTCATGTATTTAACGTCGCCATTCTCTGCCGTTGGTTGTTTAGGCGATATGCAGGATAATTGAGTGGAAAAGCGCTGATCGGGGCAACATGCATCATCCCACGTCATTCCCCGCAGCTGCTCACCACGCACAAAGGAAGCAAAACGAACAAAAAGTAAAAAGGTAGGAATAATAGAAAGTCCCCTCCATTGTAAAATGAAGCATCCCGCTTCAGCCAGCATGAAGTAGCACTCGTACAGTACGTCCAGCAACAGACAAATTACGCTGCGCACACTCAGTGTCTCCAGTGTCTCCACGCCTCTTGCGGCAGGGATGATTGCCCGCCTTCCCCCACCACCTTACCCTGCAAGACAGGCCAACATACGCTGTAGTACCTACTAGACAGGCCAATACAGGCCAATACCGGCCAATACCAAATGCCAGATGCCAATGCCAACTCCCCCGCCTCTTGTTCTTTCTCCAGTCCAGTCCGTGGGCCCTTTGGCCCTTTGGCTTCTTTAAGCCAGCAGCCGTCTCTGTTCATGTTGTTGCTGTAACTGCCTGATTCTTCCTCTTCCACCGTCCCTCCTATCACTCTATTGCTACTTTTCCTGTTCCTCTTCGTGCTTCCACTTCTCGCCCGTTCTAGCCACTTTAGCCGCGCGTTTCTGCAACCTAGACGCAACCCTTCCGCCCTTCCGCCTCCCCGCTTCCGAGATTCGGTTCCAGCCAGCTTGTCAAATACCCCCCTCCCCACAATTTCTGCCCCAATTTCTCCCCCAAGATCCTAACCACCTCAATTTTGCAATCCTTCGACTTTCATCTTTCTCTGCATGATATGGGATCTGTGGTCTATGTCAGCCAAATTAATTCGCGGAATGGCATGAGAATGGAGGAGGTAATTCCGCAATCCGAACCCAACCCTGAGGGTTCTAGCAGTTCATCAGTCTCAACGCCAGAACCAGATGGTGAAATCCTTCTTCAAGGCGCTGTCAAGCGGCAGAAGCGAAAGGGAGGGCGCAAGCCGGTATGTCGTTTCCTGAGCTATTGCTTGAGTTTTTGGCCTTTCTATTTCATTATTCACAGAACTACTAGTACTACTAGTAGTATCTACTCTCCCGTTTACCCGAGTTTTTTTTATATATACTATTATCTGCTTGCTAATTTCTGTTCTCCCTTTGCCGCTGGCACTGCGATTGGAGCGATGTCTGTAGATATATGCCACCTCCGAAGAGCGCAAGCAAAGAAATAGACAAGCGCAAGCGGCGTTTCGGGAACGGCGAACCGAGTACATGAAGCAGCTGGAGACTACCATCAAGCACAATGAGGAAACCCTGCAGTCGTTGCAGCAGAGTCACCGTAATGCTGCTGATGAATGTCTGATGCTCCGCTATAAGAATTCGCTGCTGGAGCGAATTCTATTGGAAAAAGGTACTACACCTCACTAGTGGCGACGTGCGTTGGTATTGATGCGAAACAAAAATTATTCAAGCCATAGACTAATTGTATTCCGTGCTCCCTTGCTCTTCTCTCATAATTATAGGCATTGACGTTCAGGCTGAGTTGCGTCTGAAGAGTGGCAGTCCCAATATGCTATCAGCCAAGCCTGCTGGACAAACCATAAGCCAAAACTCCCCTCTTTCACGAGCCGCTAGCAACAGACAGTCTGTCAATCGCCACAAGGTTGGGGAGACACCAAAGCTTGACCATTCTAATATCTCGCAGGCACATCGTGAGGATGCCCATACTATGAGTTCCCCTCAACTGCATCCCACTCCAACCTCCCATGTCTCGTCACCTTCCACCGCTAAGTCCCCCGGCTTTAACCTGCAAGGCGGCATTTCCATACCCGGCGCGGAAATTCAACCCCAGCAGCAAAAGGATACTTCGCAGTTACACCAACTCCTGCCACCGTCAATATTGCCCGCGTCCAGCCACTATAGCAGCAACGGGAACGGTAGCAACGGCCATCACTGCATTTCGGCGACTTCTCCCGATCCCGCAACGCCAATGACAGCTGCCCTCCCAAATGTATCACCAGACAGTGGAGTAAACATGGATCGGACCGGTTCAGGTTACTACCTTTCACCGTTCCAGAAGCATTACGACCAATTAGGCAAGTTGACCGCTTTCCCCTCTATCCCCCGCATATCCCTCAGTTTTCCTCCCCCTTTATACGGATCTCTCTTTAGTACTAGGTTGATTAATTCTTTCTCTCCCCCTGCACAGAACAAGAATATGAAACCCAAATCGACATGCTCGATGAAGATGAGCACGATCTAGACGACTCTACAGAAGACACTTTATCCACGCCCGCCTACCACGAGCCCTCGACCCCACCATCCGGAATCGCTCGATCTCAGCCTCAATCTGGTCCTGAGGCTCAAGCTCAGGTCCAGCAAAACGAGCACGACATTGCTACTTCTCTTGCTGAGACGACTACCTCCGCCACGACCCTTAACGAAGATATAGATATTTTTGTACAAGACGAATCGCTCTTCAATGTCTTCGATCCCATGCTTGACCCGGATCCGTTTGGTTTGACGGCAAGCATGCACTTCCAAACTCCATTCAGCTATGTCGAGAGCCATGTGGGGCCATGAGAATAAAAATTGGAGAAGAGAGCAAAGTAGGGAAGCAACAAACAATCCATCTTATCAAAAATAGTACTCGGATGAAAACCGCCAAATCCGACACCTGATCTTTTCTTCTCTTCTCATGTCATATAGACTGGACTTGACGAGATGTTGTTCTATTTTATCAAGAGGTTTTATCGAGAAATCTACACTCTACGGCGCTCGGATGGGGTGGCTTTTCCTTGTATTCGTTACTTCTTTTTCGCATTTTCGATTTTTCCTTCTTCCTTGTTTTTCCAGCGGGGTCACGATACCCAAGGGTCACGGCAGAAATAATCTTGTTTTTCTGGTTTAATTCGAAAAGAGCAAATCAGGAAGGGAGAAGAACGACGGAGATGGCAAGTGCTTACATATATATATATATATATATATAATATATAATATATAACTGGCATGCGGCATTTGCGGGGCGCTTTTTGGTTTATTTGGGGGAAAGTTTCTTAAGTTTCTTAAGCCACATAAACTGTGTTACAGATGCGTGGGTTTTCTCATTTATTTTCTAAATACATACATATATATACATACATATATATATATATATATGATTGATCATGCGCATACGATATGTCTTTTCTTCAACATTCTCATCTTGTTTTGGTGCATATAACGGCAGATGAAAAATGATGATGATGATGACGGTTGTTCTGGATGCTGCTTCATGTCTTGCATTAGTTTTACATCATCTGGCCGCTGGCTTCGTCCGTCGTTATTGTTCCATGTTTCCCCTCGTTCCTTGCCATGTTATTCTTTGGTAGTAAGTTCAAGTTGTTTAACCGTGCCAATGTCATACATGTGTGTACAGATTTCGTAGTCCGTTGATCCGCCTTGCATCCACAATAAGGACCATACCCTAAGCCCTAAAACCCGAATCCGACCAAGCCCCAGCCCAGCCCCATCCGCCCGGGCCGACTCGGCTTCCGGGCCACTGAGCCCTTGAGCCTCCTCCGTGGCTCGCTTAGCATTTGCGGATTTCAAACCTCGACCTCAACCTCAACCTCAACCTCGCCTCCCACCACGGCCAGCTCTGTGTCCACGGTGCACCATCCCACCATTCACCATCCAGCTCTCCGCGATCCGGATCCGATTTGCACGGCATCCTCTACTTCGTGCACAGGCAATCCGCTCCAGTGCTGATATCAGCCAGTTCGCCAATCGGTCAGCTCAGTCAGTCAGTCTCATTCAGTTTTCTTCCTCCCCCCTTCCGCCTTGTGCTCCCGCCAACACCTCCAATCCAATTCCCAATCCCAGTCCCAGAAAAATATATATAACCAAACAAAACATTCCAATTTGGGGGGATTTTTTTTTCTTTTTTTTTCTTTTTTTCCTTTTTCGTTTTATTGATCCATTTTATTTCTTTCGCCGTAACAACTTAACCCAAGCAGCAATACTAATTAATAACTTCCACCAACCCATTGCTCATATACAGCCCTCCAACCCTCCCATCCATCCAATCTCCACCCATTTCCGCCCGTCTGGAGCCCGCCCCCAAGCCCGCTCCCCATCCCGCCCCAACCCCTCCGCCCCCGTAACCCGAATTGCTGCAATAACAGAAAGCCTTCCGAGGAAGGCCCCCTTTTCCACAAAAAACCAGGCGTCATGTCGGACGTCCGGTCCAAGGTATGCTTGACGTGTTTTTTCTTTCATGCTTTGAAGAGGGAGAGAACAGAAGGGGAAAAAAAAAACAAGACAATTGAGTGAGAGAGAGAGAGAGTGTGTGTGTGTGTGAGAGGTGATGTGTGGTATGAGGATGGATGGACTAGGGTTTTTTTTCAAAAGTGTGGTGTGTGTTTTTTGTGCAATTGGTAATTGGCAAGTGATATTTGATGGGATATATATATTATATACATCTTCCATGCCAATTGCCTGCCAATTGCCTGCCAATCACATTGTGATTCCGCTTTGTGTTGTGGTGTTGTGTTGATGCTCTTCATTTTTTTCAGGGGGGGATTTGGATTTTCCTGGTATTTTCATTTGTGGGCGAAAATGGAAACACAACCACAACAAAAGAAGGATGAAAAAATGCTAATATCGTTCCTTCTCACTACAAAAAGAACCTGTATGAGCTTCTTGGTACGGGATACCCCCTCCCCCCTCCGCTTTTTTTTTTTTTTTTTTTTTTTTTTTTTTTTTTTTGAAAAGAAAAAACCCCAAATTCCCTAACCAGCGCCTCCTTCCCCCTCCTGCGCTGCTCTCTGAAATCGAGGAATATTCCTATAGACATCAGACACATAATATGGTCCATTGAGAATCTTCAAATTCGAAGCTAACATTCTGCAATTGCAGGTAATGACCCTGAAGAGGACTCCGATCGGGAACCATCACCACCCACCAGCGCTGTAACCAAGCCCGGCCCTCGATATGGGAAGCGTGAAGGCCCTTCCGAACCACCCCGTTCTGCCAACCCGGCTTTAGCGCGTCCTCGTGGAGGACGAGGTGGTCGATATGGGAATGAACAAGGTATGTCATCATTATTATATATTTGAGTTTTTCCAGGTTTTTATTTTTATTTTTTTTTATTGTTGTTGTCTTGTGCCTGTGTCAACAGACAATTCTAATGAACAGTCTTCTGTCTCCAGCATTCCGTGACCCTGAAGCCAGCGCGAGAGCAAACCGCAAAAAACCCGTCGATGCTCCCCTACCAGATGTCCCAACTGGTGTAGTGAAGAACCGCGATGCTCGCGGCAACCTCCTCCGTGAAGATCGCACCAACCGCTCGGACAGAACGTAAGCATTCCCATTTAACAATCTAACCAAGCCAGACTTTTCGTTTTTTAAACAATAAGAATGGGTTGCTAACAATGCTCTCCTTCACAGCGAGACCACTAAGCAAGTCGAGCAAGGCTGGGGGGCCACCAGCGGTGAATCCGCCTGGGATGATGAACGGGCCGGCGCAGCTACTGCAAAGCGGGAGACCAAAGAAGGGCCCGGCGGCGACGCGGCCGCGAACGACGCTGAGGCCGCCGAAGCCGAAGACAAGGCCAAGTCCTATGCCGAGTACCTAGCCGAGCAGGCCGAGCAGCGCCGCGACGACCTTGGCGTCAAGGAAGCCCGCAAGCCCAACGAGGGCGTCAAGGCGGATAAGAAATGGGCGACGGCCAAGGCGTTAAAGCGCGACGAGGACGAGGAGGCCTACATTAAGGGCAAGGAGGAGAAGGCGCGGCGCGAGAAGGCCAGGAAGGAAAAAGCCTTTGTTGAGGTTGATATGCGCTTTGTCGAGCAGCCCCGTGGCAACCGTGGGGGCCGTGGAGGTGGCCGTGGAGGTGCTGGCGGCCGGGGCCGCGGCGGTGCACCCGGCGGTGCTGGCCATCGCGGCGGCCGTGGTGGTCCCGCTGCTGGGCCCAGCGTCGATGAGAAGAACTTCCCGGCCCTTGGTGGCAAATAGTTACTTTCTTTTTTTTTGTGTGTACTGATAACTTGTATCCGTCTCCCCCCCTTTCCTTTCCCTTTTCTCTATCTGGCTGGCAGTTGGTGATTTTAAAGGAAGGAGGGGAGGAGGGTAAGGTATCCAAAAAAAAAAAGGAGAAGAGAAGCTTTAATAATCCTTTTTGTATGTGTTTTGTTTTTGATCTTTTTCTTTTTAATAACTTACTTAACTTTTTTACTCCTTTTACTTTCTTTCTTTCTTTCGTCTTGTTGTTTTTTGTTTTAATTTCCCATTTTTTTTCCTACACCTTTTTTTCCCACCCTTCACTCTCTGTCTCATCTTCTCTCTCATATTGACTTGCCTTGCCTTGCCTTGGTGCTGTAAACCTCCAACTGCTCTTACTCAGCACAAAACAACAAAAAATTAACAAACAGAACAAGAAAACCCTTTTTGTCTTGAATTTTTCATTTTGTTTATTTTTTTTTTTTTTTCATTTTTCCCCCCTTTCCTGTGATACAAAAGACATCTCAAGATGAGGAGATCATGGGGGGGGGGGGGGGGAGAGAGAGAGAGAGAGACAGAACATTGTACCCTTGTCTTTACTTTATATATGTATGTGAATGAGGAAGAGAAGGAGGGGGGAATAAATGTCTTGGATTTTATTTTTATTTCTTTTTGTCATTGAGATGTCTGGGTTTATTAAAAACATGTAACTGTACTCTGTATGCTACCTACACCTACCCACCTGTTCATTTATTTCTCTGTATATGGAGTGGAGTGTTTTGTTGTTCTGTAAAGAGTCAAACCAACAACAAATTTTTTTTTAAAAAAGGAAAAAAAAAGAAAAAGAGATTAATCCCAATGTGAAATAAGGAGGTATCTAAACTTCTTACTTACTGGACCCAACTACTGGCTCCTAACCAAGAGGGTAGAAGGAAGTAGGCCAGCTCTAGCAACCAAAAATAACATAATGAAAACTAAAGCCGTGGGCAAAGACAAGACAAGACAAGACAAGAAAAGTAATATGAGTATAAACAGTGAGAGAATCGATACTTAAACGAGCTTCAATAGGCGGAATTAACTAAAAAAGGATGGAAAAGAAAATGAAAGCCGCTTAACTATAGGTCCATTCCAAGAGAGTGTAAAAATTAAAAATAAACCCCACAATGAATCAGTGTATAGCTAGAACATGAACATGCCGAAATTGGAGACATGGAGATGAGGAAAAGGAAAAGGAAATCACTACGCGATGATTCTCTCTATCCGTCTCTGAGCAAGAAGTAGAAACATGTCACTCGCAAATCCAAGTCAAGACACAGATTAATAGAGACTGACTGACCCCATGAAAGTACGACAAATAAAGCCAAAGACTAAGAGGCCAAAGCCAATCCAAATAAGCGGTCTATACCCCTAAGGCTGGCGTAGTTGAAAGGAAAATCCATTCCGAAAAAGCCAAATAATCCAGACAATTGATATCAACGCCAAAGAAAAGGGTGGCTTCTAGCATCTCCCCCTCCTCCCCCCCCAAAAAAAAGGGAGGTGATGACAGGTTCACCGCGCAGCTAGTTACGGGGACCAGCCCATCTAGTGAGTGTCTTAGGGAGGTTGGCTAGTAATCTAAACTGAGGCCCTCTCCTCCCCGCATATCCAGCAGCTGATTCATCGTAATCTTCATCGTATCCGTCTCTATGGTCCTTGTAAGAAGGGCAGTCATCACCTTCGCAACTAGGGTACCCATCTTCCAACACTTCATCATCCAAGAAGTCCAAACCAGCCATGGCATTCCCATTGCATGCCCTCTCAAGGGCAAGGAACGCAAAATGACCACCAATTACAGGTCGAGCGAAAAAATTGGGCCCAGGAAATCCACCATCACCTTCTGTCTTATGTAAATCAGTGAATGGGCGATCCGTGACTGTTTCATTGAGCCATTTAGCAACCGACTGAAGGATTTCATGGCGAACGTTTTTGCTGGATACCGCCATGGAGAAAAACTCCCAGTCAGTCTTAGTGTAGAGATGCCGGCTGTCCAACGGAAGTCCATATTTCTGCCGTACGTAGTGATACCATTTCGATTGCCGTTCATAAACCCGTTTTGGTACAAAACCGACATGGCCTAATTTCGGTGGATCAAGGGGCTTTTGTGGGTCGCCGTGGTCGATTGCCTCATTTCCATCGGAAGCACTCTCCAAGGAATCTTCCAGATGGAAACAGAGAAGAGAGTCTGCGTACAAATTGTACAAGGTGGTCCAAGAACCAAACCAGTCGTAGGAGAGTTTCGCATGAGTTTTGTCCCTCGAAAAACCATACTCTTCCCATTTCGTGATGTAGGTGTCAGAGATATTCTGGTAAGCAGATTATTTAAATTAGCATAGTGCGTTTGTTTCTCGATGTTTAAATGAAGTTCCCATTCTGAACAAACCTTGTAGTATTTGTAATCAGCTTTATTTCCGACGAGGGCAGAAAGCTTGCTCATAGCATTAATGCCAATAATTCCTTTAAGCGCAAGGTTTGTCTGAAGTGCCAACCATCCAGCGAAGTCATCGGTAGATACTGCATACAGGTTAGCCTGCGATAGTCACGAAATGACTTCAAGATAGACATACGTTGATTCTCAGGGAGCAGAGAAAATTCGACCAAGTATCCGGTCCATTGTTTCCATAGCTTGTAGGATCTTTCGACCCACAGCTGTGCTTTATCACCGGCGTTAGGCATCAATGCCCAGGGGCTATCGAGTTTATCTATGCCACCGCTTGACTCAAGGTCTATCAGTGGGAATATGCCAGTATCTTTGCCATGCTTAGTGTTTCTAATGGGGGAGCCGGAGCCCTTCGCAGGATAACGCAACGAATTAACGATGGCAAGGCCCATTATTAGCATATTTCCACATTCTTCTACCGGCATGTATTCGTCTCTTCCGTCTGGATGACCAGTAGCGTTAGGGAAATGAGAACCTAAGTCGTGCATCGCGTAAGTATTTGGATATTGGCCGCTGAGCATATGTTCTATCAATGGTTCCAAAAGGTAGGCAAGCCATCTGGGGTTGGTATAGAGGAAGAAAGGGAAAGACGGGAATATAACGTCAATTGTCTGGAAGTTTCCATTGGAGGAGATCTCCTTGAGGAACAAAATTGGATTTTCTGCTGTCCCCGAGAAGGTTGTTGCACCGAGAACTTGTCTTGCAGAGAGAGCGACAATGTCAACGTAATCTTCTGCACCCGACAAAAACGCATCAATTTCGAGTTGTTTAGAGTAACTCGTGGCAAGAGCAGATGCATTTTGGAAGTCGAAATAGTGGAAAGAAAGAAGGTTGTCCACACTACTAAACCAGGATTGCCAAAGGGGTTTCATCATGGTCAAGCCGCGGGCGGCAGCAAATTGGACAACAGGATCTTGGATATGAGCGATGGTAAAGGTGACTTGGTCTTCTTGCATCAAACTAGTTTCGCAGTTATTGCCAGTTCCATTGAGAAGAAATGACTTGGAAAATGCGAAGACGGGTTCCTCGTCCATAATCGATCGGAAGGAGCCATCGTTGACATTTCGCAAAGCATCAGTCCTTGCAAACCGCTTGCGAAGTACAGCAGACGTCCCAGATTCATATAGGACATCCTGGGTTTGTTGAATAATAATGTTTAGTTAATTCGGATATTCGTGATGGGGAATGCCAAAGGTAACTATCAGGAATTCTTACCTTTGGAGCAACGATATACAGGCTGCCCCATTCAGAGCGGTCACTATGCTCGGTGAACAGCTGCTCCGTTTCGCGTCTGACCCGCCACCTATTAAGGCGAGGACCTCCATTCCTGGGAGTTATCTTGTCGAAATCCCATACAATGCGGGCCCCTCGGTAACCGCTGACCCACTGGCCGTTCATGTCCATGTAGATGTGAGCATTCCTATTCCCCTTGACATACACAGTGATATACGCAGCAGGAATTGATTGACGAAGAGTAGAAGTCGGAGTGATGGGTGAAAGGAATGAAACGGTGATGTGAAGGGGTCCCGCTGACAATTGGGATTCGGGTGGAGCTATGGAGTAGGTCAAATTGGTCGTGGAAGCATCGTATTTGGCACCAAGATACGTTGGATACGAGATCTTATAGCTGTGTAATTTTCTATTGTCAGAAAAGAACTCCTCACATTGATTAAGTTTCACAGCAGTAAAGCATACCCAGAGCTAGCCTTAACCGGCGTCAAGGAATCGTGAGGACGTCCAAGAAGCGGATATACAAATCCAGTGTCCGGGATAGCAGCCATTAGGGAGAGCCCAAGGTGCTCTCCCGTGTAAAACATGGGCCAGTTATTCCACGGGTCATCTCTGGCATTGCCGAGCCAAGTGCTGAGATAAGGATCCCGCACGATCAACGGAAGAACAGGAGGGGTAAGGCGAGAGGCGGCAACAAGAAAGGAGTGGAAGATGGCTGCCCCAACGAGCGGAGTGAGTAACCATCGCATGGTGCCAGCTTCACCAGGAAACAGCAGCGGCTAAGGATATAAAGGGCAGTAGGATTTCTAAAGAGAAAACCGCCTCAGCATTGCGATGTTGCTGAAGGAGGATTGGGAGGAGGAGAGAAGTAGTCCGCGCGGAGGGGCAATTGCTGGTGGATTAAAAGCGAGCGTTGAGGAGGTTTAAGTTTAGAACGGATGAGGTCATGCGGAGAAGTCAGGCCAAGTGGAGCCGCAGCTGGTCCCGGTCCCCGCTCTTGTTGCTGTTTGCTGTCCGCTCAACACTAACAACAAATGGCAAAAGACAAAACACACAGATCGCCCCACAGAATGGCTTGACGCGGTTCCGGGTTGCGCGCAGACAGCCATGGAGAAAAGAGAGAGAGAGAGATTGGGAGGAAGTGGACACTCATCCGTCATCAGGGGATAGCTCATGTCGACAAACCTTCCTTCCCAGCGTCGCCCAACAGCAGCATCAACAAACAGTATACTTTAACCTTAAAAACAGAATGGCAGGTTTACCCCTATCGCTATTCCATATTTGTTGCTGCTGACTCTTCCTTTTATTCCCATTAGCGGGCTCAAAACGGTGGCTGTAGATTCGAGCCGTGCTTGCGGGAATCAAGCATCTCACTAACGCAGTCAATTAGCTTTACACCGGACGCATTAGGGGATGCTCCAAGATGCCACGCACACTCCAAAGTTCAGCCCTCCGCGATAAAGCGTCTAGACGAAGTAAGGTCATTTTTATTTATTTATTTATTTATTCCTTGTTTGCACCGAAAATACATGTCTGGTCCTGCATGTTTCTCACGTCTTACAACCCATAGAATATGTAACCAATTCCACAACCACCTGATAGTAATTTGCTCATGCTGACGTTTGACAATCTGCAAGTTGCCAATGCGCCCTTGCATAAATATTTGCTCCATTCAGCTTGGATGGAACTTGAAAGTTAGGGCCCTCGTCTTCTTCTCCTTTTCCCAACCCCTCCGCCTACCCCGCTCCCTGATTCCAACAAAATCGATATCCCAAGCCTACTCAAGCATCATCACCAAAATACTGTTGAAGAAACGAAAGATCTTTTCGGGCATTATTTGTGTTTGACACCGCCAAGCCTACACGAAAATCAGCCGACAAATCTCACTGACATCCAACCTTAAATTGATATCACATGTCGTGTGTCTTGAGTTCCCACATGCGGGCTCTGGGTTTGTAGATACGGTACACCGGCCTTTAAAAACAGGCGATCGGTAGACTCCAATATATATCTAACTGGAACTGGATGCATTAATATTTTGAATATATATATATATATATATATATATATATATACCATAAGGCGAAAGAACATTTTCTCCTAACGCTGGACAATTAAATCCATCTACCCCAACCAAAAACTGGAGAATATTTAGCCAATGACGTGGGCTTAGAGGAGAGTAGCTTATTGCAGAACGGTTGGTAACAGAGCTGAAGCCAAAGAAAGTCAAACATCATGCAGTTACCCCTCAGCTGACTGGGGGGTACTGTACAAAATTTTTGTATCCAGGGTAAACGTAAGCTCTTTGATCCTTATTTACTGACTGGTTGGAGGTTGAGTAAAAAGTCATCCATATATTTTCGAGATCATGGTATTCAGACAAATAGCAACTATCGGACTGCCGATCATGAGATCAGATATTGAAACCAGAAATGTGTGCATAGGCCAGTGATAGTTACCTGTTTGTAGTTTATATCACTATGACAACCCTAGTTTTCCAAAACTCATGAGGGAATCGTTTGATAGCTTTTGGTATTTATTCAAGTTCACATCGGAGCAGAGAAAAGAAACAGGCAAAAGGATAAAAGATAAGAAAGAAAATATATCACAAACGTTGTACTTCTCTAGCCACCCACCCACAATACTCCCTCAATAGAGTCCTCTATCCAGTCTTACCAGTAGGGATATTAAAGAAGACAGCAGCCTTCCCATCCTTATACGGCCGATCCAGCCTGAAATAACCCTTCCGTTCAAACTGAATAATATCCCCCTCCGCCAACCCAGCCACATTGCAATCCGCAAACGCTTCAGAGCGGAACTCCGTCTGCGGCGTCAAAAAGTCATGGATGTCCTCATCCTTCTCGATCTTATCCTTGGTGATGAGGTAGTCAAAGTCCACGAGCTCGACAGGGACGAGGTCCTGGCCCTCCTGCGCCAGCCATGTGACCTTCTTATCCGTCTTCTTAACGTCGCCGGCTAAATGCAACTCCAGCTCGAGGCCGTTGATCTTGCCCGTCGCAGGATCGCTGTTGACCTTGCGCACGATTGCATTGCCCCAGTTCATCAGGGTGATCTCCTCGTCTGGTTGGAAGGTAGCGGCGTCCACCTGGTCGAGGAGGATTTTGCTGCTGTAGATTACTTTCTTAGAGCCCAGCTCTGGATTCTTGCCGTGTTTTGGTTTATCAGCGCTTTGCACACCATCAATCCCGCCGACGGTAGTTGGGACCACGTCCTGCTTGTCAACAGCGGTATGGCGCGGGGCCACAGGATCGATATACTTGCGGTTAGTCGCCCAGAAAAGCGTCCAGTCAAGATTTACGATGTTTCGGCTGGGGCCTTGTTTGAGGATAAATTCACGCAGGGCAGGTACAGTCATACCGCGTCGTCTGATACCCCGGATCGTAGGCATGCGTGGATCGTCCCACCCCCATACGACGCCCTCGTCGACTAACTTCGTGAGCTTTCTCTTCGACAACACCGCACGAATGAAGTTTACACGCGAGAAGTCCCAGATATGGACTTTGCGAATGCCAAGAGCCTCCTGCATCCAGGCATATTGTGCGTTCCGATCACCGTACTCAGTGGTTCGCAATGCGTGGGTCACACCCTCCAAGGAGTCCAGGATAGGAACACAAAAATCGTAGGTCGGATAGATTTTCCATGTACTACCAGTCCGATGGTGTGGCTCCAGGTTGCAGCGGTAGATGACTGGATCTCTAAGTGCTTTGTTCAAGTCGTCAACCGAGATCTTTGCACGGATACACCAGCGCTGGCCTTCAACTGAGCCGGTTTTCATTTCAGCAAACCGTGCCAAGTTGTCCTCCACGCTTTCGTTACGGCGCTTGCTCTCAACACCTCTGAACCGCTCATCCTGCATCACTTCCTTCTCAGTGTCGTCGGCATAGGCTTTACCATCACTGATAATTTTGACACAGTATTCGTACATTTCCTGGAAATAATCACTAGAGAAAGAGGTCTTGTCCGGATAAATACCCAACAGGGATAAATCATGCTTGATCGCATCCTCGAACTCCTGATTCTCCTTGGAGGGATTGGTATCATCGAATCGACAAATCATGGTGCCTTTGTATTGTTCATGGGCGAAGTAATCGTTCAACAGCGCTGCTTTCGCATGTCCGATATGCAGATACCCCGATGGCTCCGGTGGGAACCGGGTCACTACACCGTTTTCCACATTCTTGAGACCGATGTTGTAGCTTGCACCAGCGGCACTTGCCGCAGCCTTTCTCTTCTGAGAACTAGCACTCAACTCAGCCACGGCAATGCTCACCCAGGGATAGGCTGCTTCGATGAACGCGAACCAGCGGCTAGTGGTTGTCGCAGCTTTTCTGATGCTTGATATGGCGATTCTATTTCCACGAAGGGTTCCCCAGACGGCAATATCTGCCAAGGTAAGAGAATAGCCAACGATGTGCGATCGCAGGGTAAGGTGGGAATCGAGCTCCTTCATTGGATGGTCTAATGCTTTGAAGTCCAATGGCCTCAAAGCAGCTGATCTCTTCACCCATTCATCGACCTACATTTTTGTTTTTAGAAAAAACGAGTAATTGTAGTTAGCAAGAGTCGGGGAACCGGTAGCGCCTGTATTTGGACAAACCTGCTCCTTGTCCCCAGCTTGCAGAGGTGCATATATATTCTCCAGATGTTTTAAGATATCGTCATCGTAAATTGTCTTCCCATCGTCAGTCTTAAGCTCCAGCGTTGCACCTTGGGATCCAATTGACTCCACATCCTCGAACACGACGGTGATGTCAGTGCCTGGGAGGATCTGCTTGACATGGTTGACAGCAAGAAGGGTTGGTAGGAGGAAGGCATTGTTGGCCTTTGTTGCAACGGCGAGTTGAGACATCTCCTTCGTCAGGGTGTCAGTTGTTATCTTCAAGGAAGGATGAGGGGTAGAGACAACCGACTGTCCTTGGGCAGGGTGTTGCAGAGCGGAGAAGAGGGATGTGGCTTACTTTCCTGGTAAATGTATTCCTCGTATCTGAAAAATAAAAGAATGTCCACCAGGAATATGTATGTTAATGCCACAAATATGGCTGGGTTGGTGATCTCTCTGGATAAATATGGTGACTCAGTCAGTATGTGGGGTATACAAGGAGACTCATCGGGCTGTTTCTTTTTAACTAGCGGGGCATCCGCCAACTGCAACTTTGCAATCCACCAAGCACGACAGTATGGTATCCGTTAGTTACTATAGATGGGCAGCGCCCATTTTGAAAACCTTTGTAACTGAATGCTTCTGATTCATAATATTAATCTCCCTCCTAGAAGTGAGCAGACTTGAGACTACTATTCTTTACCAGTACATGTAGATAGCTCTACTATGGTTGTCAATGCTCACCTTTTTATCTGCGGTAATGTACCCAGCAACAACAATTGTAACGCCAACATAGACGTAGATTTACCATCGTATAAGGAGCCAAATATCCTCAAGCGTGCTCTGTTTGCATTTTCCCTTCAGGCAATAAATTGTATCCGCGTCTGGTCTGTGGTTTTTCCGGCACCGAAGACCGCATTATTTAGTCCGTAACTAAGCCAAGCACGCGCATACTGACAAATTACTAGCGGAGATACAACCCTACACGCGACGCCCGCCCGCAACCCTCTCCTGCAATTTTGTTTCGCTTCGTTTGCACTTTTCCAGGTTCAATTGGCTATGGACGGCCAATCGCAGTGTGTTTTCCTTTGACTTCTGCTCTCCTCCTGTCCCTACGTTTCCTACTGCGCAGATGTGGGTATCTCCGTTTTCGGCGCGACATCTAAGCTAGTCAACTATAACATCAACTCAATAAGAATCAGAACCCCCATACAGAGCCCTTCTCTCCCGCCACGGCTGGGTCTCCACCTCCATATTTTCCACCTATACCTTCTTCGCCGCCGTTTGTATCATATACGCTCATAATGTCACAATCAAGTCCCATGAAATCCGAACGACGCGTTCTGGTTGAGAAATCAACCAACGCGTCTCTAGCCCCCTCCAATTCTCAGTCCGTGAGCAAGTCGAGCAAGTCCTCGATGTCTCCGCCAGTGTTGGCCGGCCAGAAAAGATCAATTGATCAGGTGGACTCTTCTCAGAACAGATCGAGTTCAACAAAAAGTTCCTTCAGCCAGGTCCGACGGGAGGATGAGTTCTATATCTATGAAGAGAATAACACACAGTCTAGTACAGGTGCAGATAAACAGGTGTGTGTTATTGTGTGCTGAAGAGAAACAAACAAAAGAATATCATCACATGGCATATGTGGGAGAAAGAGAAGAAGCAGGACTATAAACTAACAGATCCTCACAGATCATCTCATCTTCCTTCATTCAAACCGCACATGCTTTTGATCTAGACACGCCGCCCAAGAACACATCCTCACAACAGAGTGACACCATGTCATCTCTACTCAATCTCAGCTTTGAGTCTGAGAGCAAGAAGTCCTCACTCAATTCCCCGTCTTCCCCTTCGAGCAGTCCTACACAAGAGATTCCTGCAAACGAAACAACAGCAGCCCCCACCTCGATTGTGCCAACGGACCCTGCTGAGAGAAAGGCATTCATCCAACAGGTTAGCAAACCTCGAAAGAAATCACAATTGCCCACTATCATAGCATCTGCTGGATAGTTCCACTAATACCGCACAGAAAGCAAATCTCCTTCGCAGCCGCGTCCAAACAGCCATGAAAAAGATCAAAGCGCCCCAGAATGACATTGACCGTCGCCTGGTAGCGCTCGAGGAACAGGCCAACAGCCGTGATCGGCCTTACCCCCCTAAACCGTTGTGGCCCCTCTCACGCCCCGCGAGCAAACACAGATACATGGACGATGCGGATGAGGACTTAACTCCAAAAGCTAAGATGCCAAAGCTCCTCCCTCCACCGGACCTGCAACCGATGGCGTACTCGACCCGCTACGCGTCCACTAATAATACTATGCCATCTTCGCCCCCCGCCTCAGCCACAGGTGAAAATTATGCTGGGAAAATTGAGTTAGAGATGCAGATGCAGATGGAAATGAATGGCCACGGACATGAGCACGTAGAAAATGAGTTGACGCCAACCAAATCCAAAGCGGAAAACGCTGTCATCACAATCGATAAGATCAGCGGTACCGACGCTGGCAACGGCAACGGGAATGAAAACGGGAAAGCGGACAACTACCCTACGGAAACCCTCACCTCACCCATGCAGCCCTGCAGCCCACCACACACAGGAGACTCACCTATTGTCATCGAGAGAAACGCGAAAATGTGCTCCGTGGACCAAATGATTGCCAAAGCGAAGAAGGGAGAGGCGCTTGATGGGCTTCTGAAGCTGATGAAGACTACTACTGAGTATGATAACTTGGATGAGTGGACTGGGTGATAATATATGGCCTCCAATTCATATCAGTAATCCCCTAATCACAATGTGCAATATCATCTTTCGAGAAGAAGGGGAGGTGGTGTCATATTTTGCTTTTTCCCCTCTTTTGAGCAATGATGGATGTGGACTTGGATTTGTTGCTGCTTTGTTTAATTCCATAGGTGATTTCGTTTTGTTTTTCCCTTTCTTTTTTTTCCCTTCTCGTGTACGATATTGCTAGGTAGAAATTGGTGAGGATGGTTGGCTTCCATGAGGACGATAACGAGATTCCCTTGGTTTGTTTTTGGACTGTGGAGAAACGCTTTATTGTTTCTGGGACGCGAATTTGTTGGCTGTGGTAGAATACCCAGATGGAGAAGCATTTATCTTGTTTTTTCAAGATATCTAAAAGAAGAGAAACGACTTTGATATACCTTTTCGATCCTCATCCGCAAGCTTTTGTTTCATAACATTACTCGAAGGTTGGCCCCTGAAGGCAGTCCCTGAAACGGTCAAATGAGAAGAAAACTTCGTCTCATGAAAATATAATCTCTAAATACGGGATGTACTAGAAATTATACCAAAATGGTATCACTTCAATTACCCATAGAGGCTATTCGATGCTATTCATTCAGTCATTCTCGATTCCCTAAGAATGAGGTTGTTTTGCTTCTGCTATTGAAACAAAGATATAAACACCGCCTTTGATATAGCCTCGTTCCCCTCGACAACTGCACATCTTCTTGCCCTGTCCATTGGATTTGTTCCATTTCGTTCATCAGCTTCAGCAGTCGTGAATATGGTGTACTGGCCTGGGAATCGAGTTTCTACGGCTGGCAATGTTCAATTGTTAGCACAAAAATGGGTGGCCGTTGGGTGACGGAAACATTCCTTTATAACTTCACATCTGAGCTATAACTACATACGAATTTATGCTAAGCATATATATACCAGCTTTCAGTACATTTTTATTCGTTTCCTTTTCCTCTTCTTTTCAACGATCAGAATCCCACCTTGAAGCCTTCTTTTTTCTTCGCCTACTAGCCTAGACCGCTGCTCCGGCGAGACTTCTGTTTAACCTGCCCACCCACTGAGAAACGCTAAACTGCCTGTTATGGACCGCCCGGTTATCTAAATCTCTATTTCTAAAGCCCAGTACATCAAGGATACGTATATCATCTCCAGGACTTCTACAAATTCAAAGGCGCGGTGAACGGGGAATTCTGCATACCAAATATAAACCCCTTCTTTCGAAACCCTGACCTGAGCTGGTAAGTAAAATCATATGACATTTGAATACGATATAATTATCCTTGCTCCCAGCTCCCCCCTTCTTCCGCTCAAGCAATCTTTCACTAGTCTCGTGCGAGGACCAAAACTTCGCATCCTCCACTCTAACACGCGAGATGAAACTCCCCAATCCATCTACCATACATACCCCTTGTGGTTAGCTTTGCACTTCTCCGACACGAGCAGAGACTGTTTTCCCGACAAACATAAACCTCATGTACCGCGTAAATCGCTTCCAGACAACACTTCCACTAGTAGGCCTGGGCAGGTAAACAAACCCTTAAGCGCTGCCTTGAAGCCATGTTTGTCTCTTATCTTCCTAAGGGTTATCGGAGGCTTGAGTTCGAATTAGCAGAGAGTGGTTATCTCGTAGGCGAAGTCGCAGCCATCCCAGCCCTTGGGTCTATTGTTAAATTCGCCAGGCATTGCCAAGGTCATCCTCATTCAGTCGAAGATCGCCAGGTTTCTAAGTCCGCGCTGGCATAATCTCGCAGCCATGGGTGGTTCTGGACGGTGAAGCAGTCTGACTGATCCGGACTTTTTTCATACTAAGTTTAAGCAATGTTTCCTAAACTTTTAATTTTCCTTCTGTCGGTCATATCGGAACCATATAGGTGTCTTTCATAGGTAAAGTGGGAAGAGATAAAGGGTGAAGCCTGGAGACATGATAATGAGTGTAGATCCTGTAGGGAGGTATGTACTGTACATGTGCATTTTCAAGACACGCGCGCCTATCGCTTATTTGACTTATCGGGCCGCGCCGAACTTAAATCCAAGTCTTCATTGGCTAAACCAAAGAGGTAATTTCGCCTCGAACGTTATGATGAAGGTAAGGGGAAAGTTTCAATTAAGGAAACATTGCTTTTGTTCTTTCAGTAGATAACTGTATGGCCTATTGTATCTTAAGTATGTTTTTGCATGTGTAAATAGCCAGAATATAATGAATAAAAAATGAAACCTGAGTCTAAGAAACCGAGGGAAGAAAATTACAGCTGTAAACAAAGGCAGGAACAAAGAAGCATGTACAGGGTATAAAACAATGGCTATTAATGAAACAAGAGTAAAAAATAGGCCGTGGCCTCTCAATGTCGCACAGCAACAAGCACAGCTCCAGCACCAATATAACACGGGGGGCGGAATATAATGAACTGCCAGTCCATAAACATCTTTGGTTTTTTACGTTTATCTTCACTACCTCTCCATGTAGCTATATTGTACCTGTATTCTAATCCGTACCTGTTCATATTTTCCCAGTATTTGTAATCTAGGCCCCAAAAATGATTAATTCCTGAGTTATACAGAACAAGCGGCCGGGTGTTTCCACACAGCAACTGAGGCCCGCCGAAGACGAAACAAGAGTAAAAAAAGAGCTGGAGATTTCCTAAACTCTAAACTCTAAGTTGTTCTCAGAAAACCCCTCAATGCAATTTCTTCCCATTGTCGAACAAAAGGAACAAAAGAGACAAAACAATCACCAAAACATTAACCCAAGCGTATGAGCTTGTACCAATTATACGTGGCTCCAAACGGTTTCAGCTGCACGAGAAGAAATGAAAAGAGAAAGGGATCCCATCAAGACAATTCTATATAGAAATTTGTTCAAGAAGGTAGAGGACATGTGGTTGAGAATTGGGCACAGAGAGAAGGCGACAGACGGAACACCCCAGGTGGATATGTGCACAGAAGCAGAGGCAGGTTCCCTAGGGAGATTAGAAAGCATCAGGTCGAAGCAAAGTGAGTGCCAGAAGCGATTTGCTTGAACTTGTTTTTCCTTTGGAATTTGTTTCTAGTCGTCCTTATCCTCAAGAACGAAATAAAAGCTGAGAAATTTATCTGTCATGCACCGTCAGCAGAAGGATGTAAGATATTATTTTGTGGCGACTATGATGGGAAGGGTAGGGGGACGGACTTTTGGCGTGACCAACTGGGTTGGGAAGGGGAAAAACCACCGTGAGATTCCTTTTCTTGCGAACATGCAATCAAAACGCTTGCAAACAACCACTCCAATGCTCTTTTCCTCCAAAGATTACCCGTCCATTCTAAGTAAAGAATATCTAATGATACGTTCTTTCTATTCTTCGAGGACATCAGTCGCTCCATCTATAACCGGTACGAGGCCGTCGGAAACCCGGAACGAAAAGAAGATAATTCTCGCATTCGATTTTCATGGGATTTGGAAACGGGGAAGTGGATGGACAAATCGACGTGGTTGAAGATGAAGCGGCACTCAGGCTCTTGCCAGGTTACAGTGGATGTCAAGGCCAAAGGGAACGATGAAGTTACGAACTATCATACGATGACAGATGTGGAAAAGAGAGAGAGAAATGGCAGGCAGGTGCAGTTAACGAAAAAAGACAGTAGCGCTGTGGGAACAGACTCGGATTATGTTAAACAGAGTCATAAAGTTATCGTTTTCGATCTCGAAGAAAGTACCGTTGACCAAAGTTCAAACGAGGAGCAAAGGGGAGAGAATGGCGATGCTCCAGTAGCTAGCTCGGACATCCAGCGACAGAGAAAAGGTGTGGATTTAGGAGCGAAGTCTGTCCCGAAACAGGAACGAATAGTTGCTCCAACAAGGTCACCTACACGGAGGAAAAGCTCACCCGAAGCCTCGACAATGTTATCCCCAGAGCTAGTTTCGAGAATTGATCCGATCCTAAAACCTGAAGCAATGGCAGATACCACATCGGAAAATCGGAATAAGGAATCACAGGAGCCAATATTTGCCGAAGGACTGGCACCAGGAGCCAGAATTTCTCTTGAATCAACCCCAAAAGCAACGGAATCGCCCCCAGGCGGTGGTAGTGGGACATCCCTAGGAGCTATTCATGATGTTATTTACATAGAACAGAATGAGAGAGAGTCAGAAAAGGCACTGATTAGCCGAGCAGCCAGGCAGGACAACCCCATAGCACTGACGCTGGAAACGGATATCGATCCCGAACGATGGGTAAAGGTTCCAAGGCTACTAGAAGAAAAGGGTGAAAATCTAAATGATCCAGCGGAAACCGCTCTAGCGGCAACCGGGGGTAAGAGGACAGCTCAGGGGGAATGTCCAGCCACTAGGCCAAAACAGAAGTGGGAACGGCCGCCAGCCAAGGGTAAGAGTAGAAAGGTCATAGTTCAAACTACGCCTGTTGGTATGATAGCTGAAAACGTTCCTGGAGATCAGATGGCAGCTCCTGGAGCGTTAGGGATTGAGGCACAGACGAAAACTCATGAGGTGGTTTCGGATGAAGGATCTGAAGCAAAGGCCCCAATGGGCCGGAAAAGGAAGCTGGAAGAGGCATCAATTGCGACTCACGGAGAAACTCCAGTAGAAACCGAAGGCAGGCCAAAAAGGACCCGTCGGTGCCCAAAGCGGTATGAAAGTTATGAGACTTGGACTTTCTCCTTCCTGGTAGACCAAAAACGCCAACGGGAAGTCTGAGAAACGGAACGGTACAAAATGGCGAATGAGATAGACATGGAAGAAGGGAAAATTATTAGCATGCTAACGGACTTTCTTTAACTTTCTCACCCGACGGCCAAGAACATCTCTACCCTCTTCCACCTCGCCTACTGCCTCCCGCTTTGCCTCTCCCACCTCTTTGAGAATTCCGCCACGTACAACCCGACCTTCAATACTGACACCTTCCTCTTTCCACTCTACCATTTTCCTCCCGACACGATCTTCGATGGCCAAAACTAGTTGCACATCACGTTGACCAACCAGAGTAACTGCTTCACCTTCACGTCCAGCTCTGGCTGTTCGGCCAACACGATGGACATAATCATCAGGGTTGCGGGGTACATCGAAGTTTATTACCAAGCTTACGCTGGGGATATCCAGACCACGAGCGGCGACATCAGTGGCAACTAATATACGAGCTGCTGAAGCCCGGAAACGAGATAGGTTGGCTGTACGTTCGGATTGTGGGAGAAGACTATGCAGCGACGTGACTCTATGACCAAGACGCCGCAGCATACGTTCAACGAGATCTGCGGTCTTGGTTCGATTGCAAAAGATAATAGCGGGTTTTTGAGAATTAGCTTCCGTCGATATAAGAGTGTGGAGAAATGCTTCGCGATGGGTCAGGGGCACTTGGAGATAAGTCTGCTTGAGGGTTGGTGGGATACTAGCTTTGTTTTCTGTGGATACTTCTGTGACGAAGATAGGAAGCTTGTTCGCGGGGCGAGGCATGGATTTGAGGGCTCGAACCTCCGGGGTGACCGTGGCTGTGAAGAGGAGTGTTTGGCGAGCTGTCGAAGGGGGAAGCGCAGAGAGGCAAGTTTCCACATCCGGGAGCATGCTTCCTGGCCCAGATGCAAGAAGCCGGTCAGCTTCGTCAAAAACAACAACGCGTGTGCGGTTGAGGCCACAGATCGTATCTGCCCCGGAGCTGGTAATATGATCCGCTAGACGACCAGGCGTAGCAATCACGATGTGAGGACGTTGGGAGAGAGCAATAGCCTGGGGGCGCATCTCGGTTCCGCCGGTAATAAGAATAGGCTTGAGAGATTGCGGTGCTGATATAGCCTTAATTTGTTCAAATATCTGCAAAGCCAGTTCCCTATATTGATGAAACTACAATCAGAAAAAAGCATAATATAGATAACTAAGTCCCAACGGATCATCAAAACTTCAGAAAACAAATATCTCACTCTGAGCGTACCTCGTCGGCGTCAATATCACCGCAAAAATTCCAAACGGGTCCTCCGCCCACTTCTGTAATATGGGTGCGGCAAAAGCTACCGTCTTCCCAGAGCCCGTCCGACTACCGCCAATGCAATCCCTCCCCTTTAGAATCTCTGGTATGCACGCTTTCTGAATTGCCGTCGGTCGTTTAATGGCCATTGTCGACAAGGAGCCTACGAGCCATGGTGCGAGGCCGAGGGACGCAAATGACGAAATATCTGAGGGTCTTGTTACTGCTGCAGCATCCTGGGCTGTTATAGGATCCGCATTCGTCGTCGCATTCCCATTGGTTTCAATATTGCTATTGGCCTCCGCGGCCTTCTTTTTAATTCGTGAGATAGTAGGAAAGAGGGATTGCTGTACTGGTACTGGTTGCGCTGTATCGGACGAGGATGGTGATTCTGATAATCGGCGTCGTTTAGTGGGTGGGGTTCGCTCCGGTATCTCGACTCCGTCGGATAATTCACCGCTAGCAGAAAAATTGGAATCTCCTGACTCCGAATCCAGTTCCGCTTCTAAATCTTTGGAATGAGCCATTTTTTGCTCAGCTGCAGTTGCTCAACGGCTGCTCGTGCCTTTTTTTTTTTTCGACCATAAAAAGACATTTTGCCGATTTTGAATTGAAAGCGGCGACGGCATAATTAATCATGTGATATCAAAGTAATCCAAAGATCCACATACATATCAGGAACAGAAAAACAAGGACTACTTCAATACAGCGTATTCGGCCTGGATCACAGCCAATCTAGGGATCTTGGTCTAAATCGTATGAAAGAAAGACCCCGCCAGCGTACTAACAAGTCAATGCAGTTGTATTCCGTACAGCCTGTGCAATGTGGGGAGTACCAGAGAGCAAGCAAGGAAACAAACATCAAAAATAAGAGGTTGTGTGTATAGAGCTGGAGGCCCCAACGTAGCCCAAGAAGAGCCCTGTAAAAGAAGAAAACCGGAAAGAAAAATGACACTCAAAAAAAGGGTGAAAAAGAGTGGACTGAAATGCGTCAATACGTCCACCAAACACTCCAACCTTCACAACAAAATATTCTCTCAAAATCATGTCTAATTTTTGCTTTCCAAATCACTCTCCTTCACCGCGAACCCTTTTAGCCGCACGCGGCATATCAAAAAATAAAATTCAATCACTGCACCCAATTGTATACATGTAGTATAGCATGCGCGCGACCCGGGAGGCCGCCAATAATGAAAAAAGAAAAGAAAAAACACACGAACAACAAGGTACTAATTTTCACCACGACTCCTCCTCCGCATGGAAGACCTGGTATGAAGCTCGAACGACTCACCCCTCTCCAGTTCATCCTCGACCGCAGAATCTGAAGATTTAAATATCCCACCGCCCTCTCCAGACGCTGGCGTAACCGTTACATCACTGTCTCCATAGCCGTGCGCTCCACCCACACTCTCCATGGTGAAGGGGCTGGCAGTAGGCGCATCGAGCGCGACAAGCTCGTCCTGTGTGAACCAGCGTGGAAGCAAAAACGTCCGAACAGGGATGAGAATGAGGATGAACACGGGGAACCCAATGGCCGCAATCGTTTGCGTTATGGCGAAGGTTGCGCCAAACCCGACAAGCTCAATACCCACAAATGCCCAGATGGCCAATTTCCGCTCGATGCGTTTCAGCGGATCGGACGCCGGCGTTAATTTCTTGTCTTGGGCTAGGAATTTTATCTTCTGCGTCATGCCATTGCTCAGGAGGGCTTGGACGCCCATGACGAAGAAGAGGCCTGCCATTACTCCCTGCGGGATGAGGTGAAGGACGGTAAGGAGCGGGCCGCTCATAGTACCTAGCGTGAGCAAACCTTGGGCTAGGTTGCTGAATCGTTGCTCAACGACGTGATCTATGACGCGAACTGATTTACCCTTATTCGTTTCGTCTTCGTCAGCGACCTGGCGGGTAACGCACAGTGCAGCGGTATGGAAAGGCGCTTGTGGGATCAAGCCGTTGGGGAACGGGATGCCAAGGATTCCGGCCACGCCTGTCGTTAAACCGAGAAGGAATAGATCCCAGTGAAACCCAGCAGGTTTTCGGAGTGGAAACTCCGTCCCCTGAGCTATCAAGGATGAGACTATTTTATCGATTAGTATTATCTGTAAATGAGAAAATAGCAGTTGAGAAGGAAAGAGGAACACAAAGAAAAGTATTGTTAAAACCATTATGATCAAAGTAAAATAGAATTGTCAACAGTACGGCGAATGGTACCGCCAGGAAGATGTCCCGGACGTCCATATCCCAGAAATTGACAAGCCAGCTGCGGTCGAGAGTCGGAAAAAAGGCCTTGCTGGTGGGCAGCGTCTCAACAGGCACGTTTCTCATGCGGCCAATGTGTACAAATCCCGTGAAAAACACAATAGTAAGCGGAGTGCCGTAGTCCTCGATGAATTTTCGGATGTAACGCTGGAAAAGGTTGCTTTCCCCGACCGCACCACAGATATAGGCGCACATGAGCACAAGAAGGGACACCATGATAGAAAGGTAGGCAGAGGCTTCGCCAGATTTACCCCATTGGCGTGTGAGGACCTGAATCCCCTTTTGTAGGTAGATAAAGGCTACGTAGAACCCGAAAATGTCGCAGGAGAAACGGGTGACATATGTCAGCGCGTTGCAGGAGTTGGTAATGGCGAGAACCCAATGCATGAGCATCGCCCATCTGGAACCACGTTAACATATGAATCTAGGCACGGCGCCAGATTCCGTGTAATTTTACGGGTCGTGCAGGCCTCACTCACATCCCAATCCAGCACATGAAGCCCAAGTAGTTGACGCCTGTCGGGGACATGATATCATAAGCTGTATAGTTAAAGACGGTAATTGGGCCTATGACCAGGTGAGTTAGCATAACCTGGGAACCCCCTTACTCCGCTCACAATGGTGTATCGGAATGAACCCAATACTTTACTAACCTGTTACTCCAACGATAACTAGAGGCTGGCCCGCAAGTAAGGAGAAAACCACAGCGCCTAACACCGAGGCTAACAATACCTCGTTGACTCCGTAGCTCATGTTTGTTTTTTCAAACATGTCCAAGGAAAATGCAAGAGCGGGCAAGATGCTGCAGGTACAGTAAGTATTTTCATCGTTATGAACGACTTGTGTGCATGTTCTTTATAGGCTCTGCATTCGGTGATCTGCTCCATCTTTACTCATCTGGTTGTTCTCGCCAGGCCGCTCTTTGAGCATACTCACGGGGGGAAAAAAAAGTGCAACGTTTCTCTTTGGCATTAGAGGGAAGGGCAGAGCAGGGTTCGAGGGAACAAATTGATAAGAGAGGAAATATGAAAAACAATCAAGAAAAAAAAAAAAAAGAAAGAAAGAATATATTCTCTGGGTCATACTTGGCAAAATACATATATATCGTCGCTGGAACGACGCGATAATCCCACGCCTCTTTCCAGTCACTAGCATAGTACGGCACCCTCCTCTTGATATCGTCTATCATGCCCTGGAAAAAGTGAATATGCCACCACTTATCGCCGGAGCTTGAAGTCCTCCTGGTCCCCGTCGAACCCGAAGAATCTGCGCGTGTCAGATTCTGCGAATTACGGGTGCGCTCCGCCTCCTCTGCAGCTGCAGGCGCTGTGCTTCTCATTGAAGAACGGCAGGGATGCCCTCGCGAGGAATGGAGAGATGAGATGCTAGGGTTTTTCCACGTCTTTTTCTGTTGGGTGCGCGATGGCGAGGGATGAGATGAGGAAGAAGAGTGGAAGTTGGGCCCAGTGGGCAAGCTGAAGCTTCCGCGCGAGGAGTGTGGTTGCTGTTGTGGCGAACTCATGCTGATTGATGGTGGGTAGAGAGGAGGATAGGATAGATAGGAGGAATGAAAATACTAATGCGTTCTCTATATTGTCCCACGAGATCTATTGTTAAATTAGTGAATGAGGTCGAATATATCATCATCGAGTCCAGAATTACTTTCTCTGTCCAGCAATTGTTGGATTACTAGATAGATGATGAGATGTTGAGACTAAATAGTTCCTGACCAGAGCTGATTATTAACCACCAACCAATCTGACTAGCAGGCTACACCGCCAAACCTGGGATCCCAGAGCACAAGTTTTACTGCGGAAACAACGTCGGACACTGGACCAGGGAAGATCCTTGTCATTTGCTGCAAGTTACGGATTCTACACTCGGGTCAAATAATGAGGAGACAGAACGGCTTCATTGCCCTACCACACTGTTCCATCTCAGCGCATCAGATCAACATATGTACATGTAAAGTACTGTACATACATACACTCACTGCCTTGGTGTGCAAGGCAGGCGAGGAATCAATAATACTAATATATATACAAGATTACCGCACATGTACTAGTATGTACAGTGATTGACACCATGTATCAGTAAAAAGGTAGCTAAAAACCTATGCAAAATGTCAATTATTAGTCCACAAAATATTAGTTTGAAAAACAGAAAGCGAAGGTCCTAGTTATTTTGATATATAAAATACGCCTCTTAAGCTTCTCCTTGCGTCCAAATATTCCCTTTTCTTATTTTTAATTTTACTTCTCTCCTTCCCTGCTGTCAGTCCACATAGTACATATTACCTGCCTGTATTTCTGAATTGGAGGTTAACGTTGACTAAGAACAATTTTTGGTCAAAGGAAGCCTATAAAAAACGTTAATTAGGACTCAGGTGAGTAAGTAAGCATTCTCTTTTCCTTGGTGTCAGTAGCAGTAAAGTGTGTTGATAAAATATTTCTGGTTCGGTTTGATGGAGGACAAATTTAAGCTGGAGGGGGAGGGGGTGGCAAGTCACTCGGAGGCTATCAATGCAAGTTAAGTCAGTAATTTTCTAATTAACTATTCAAAACACAGAAACTGGATAACTCACAGGTGGTGGAGGTCCATCAGCTGGAGGGGGAGGTGGGGGTGGACTTCCGGCACCATACCCAGGGAACATGGCTCCCATCCCTGGAGGAGGTGGAGGTGGCACTGCATTGAGACCGGGAGGGGCCCCCATATTCTGATGGGGCGGGAAGGCCGAATAACCAGGGTACCCGTAGGCTGCATGTCCTGTCGAAGCTGCTGGAACAGGGGGTGGAACTGGAGCCGGTGCGTGGTGATGTTGCTGCTGCTGTTGCTGCCAGGGAGGTGGCCCGCCCGATGCGGTGTGTCCATCAGGTCCACCGGCTCCGTTATACCCACTGCTGCCGTGAGATCCATATCCATAGCCATTCCCCCCTCGACTTTCTCGGCCACCACGGTCGCCACCATGATCACCACGATCGTTACGGGCTGCCCAGGGGGGCGGTGCTCCTTGCTCGCGAGGATAATCATCACGAGGTGGCCGGTCCTCCCTTGGTCGTTGCCAAGGGGCAGGTCCACCGGTCGGACCCCGCTCCCATGGTTTCAATGGACGATCGCCTGCAGGATAATTGTCATTTTGTTCATAGCTCCCACGACCAGCCTCGATGCGACGCTGAGGTTTGCTATCATCGCTTGGCGGTGCGCCTCCAAGTTCTTGCATGAGTTGCTATAAATCATCATGTTAGTAGTGTTTTCTGACGAAGTATCAGGGTGGTGGAAACTTACCTCCATCTCACGGTCAACAGCATCGCCACCACCACGACGCACGGGAGGACCATGATTGCGCCAATCAGTTCCTCTCTGGCGATCCGGACAATCCTTGGCCATGTGTCCAGCATTTCCACAAACGCGACAAATAATGCTAGCGGTGAAGTTACGTTGCTCGGGACAATCGTATTTACGATGACCAATTTGACCGCCTAATTATATATCATTAGTTGTGTGTTGCCATTTATTCCTAGGGAGGTAGGGCTAAAAACTCACAGTTTTGGCAAGCTTGGTTCTCGTCATCTCTGAGCGTTCCGTTAAGGGCCGCCAGCTCTCGCAACTGGTTTCGTTTGAGCTCATTTTGGCCTTCGGGAATCGACGCAGCCTATTTTCAATCTGTAAGGAAAACCTATATGACAATACAACTAAAATGGGAGAGGAAAAGAATCAATCGATCAGATGGGGGATAACACGTACAGTTTCGATAACATTGTGAATCAACTTCTTCGCTTTGTTAACCTTTTCTTCGGTATCTGCCATGATTAGACAGTGAAGATCTTCTTCCTGGTTACTAGTGTGAGCCGCGTCAGATCGACCTTTGCCCTCTTTGACGGAGCCTTTGCCCCGAATGGCAATTTTTGCACCAGACTCTGTTTCCATTTTCTTGAGGGTGTTGCCACGAGGTCCGATAAGTAAGCCAACTTTGACAAGAGGGAGTGGTAGCCTATGTGTTAGTCTTTGAAGATTTCATAAATATAGGAAGTCATGGTGATAGTGCATTAGTAAGTAGGAGGTTAGTGGCAAAAACAAAGGAAATATTCAAGATAAAGTAAAAAAGAAAAAGAAAAAAGAAAAGAAAAGAAATAGGAAACAGAGAAAATAAACGACTCGAGGGCTCGCTCGAGTTCATTTTTTGAGAATAAAGAAAGATCAGGAAATAGATTGTTAAGGACACGAAGGTTAGGAGTTAGAGGGTTAGTTATCATACTGAAGTTAATCTCTGGATAGTCGTTCACGGGCACATAGACTTTCTCCTGTGTTTTAGTCGGACGTCTGTAGTCCGACGGAGGATGATAGTTAGGGATGACCTTCACGGCCTTCTCTATAAGCTTATGGCGTTCGTCTTCCAGGCGTTTCCGGTAGCGGTACTCCCTGGTATTCACACGCCTACCGAAGTTATCGTATTGCGGAGCGGGAGAAGGGGACCTATACAACGGTTTTAAAAGAATCTGTTAGGAAATTGTTTTTTCGGCCTAGTCCTAAGAGCAGGGGAACATGGTAGTTTTTTTACGCACCTGTCTCCGTCCGCGGGGACAACGTCATTAATTCTAAGTTTCTGGCTGATTTCCTCGATGCGGAGGTGAAGAGTATATGCCTCAAGCTGCTCATTCGTCATGTTCGCCATGATCAAGGTTGGCAGGCCCATGAGGCCAGCGGCTTTGTTTTCCTCTGCATCCCCCCATCGGTTGCGCTTCTTGCGCTTCTTAACCCCGTCAACAGGGGGTTCAGCTGTTAAAGGAACAAAAGAGTTAGATTCTTCGCATATGGTATATATATATAATATATATTGAAGGGTGCGCTGAACTTACCTCGTACAGGACTCCGTCCACGTTTGAATCCAGCATCTGGGGTTGACACTGAAGCGGAGTCCTCGCTTTTGTTGTCTTCATCGCCGCCAAACCTGCGGCGACTGCCAAGCGGGATGTTGTTAGATCCTGTGATTCCTTGGTTACGCCACGACATGATTCTTTGTGCAAGACTGATGATATCGAGTTAATCAGGTCAGTTAGCTGAATGAGTTCAGTTGTAAGATGGATGTCAGATGGAAGTGGCAATACGCGAAAATAGCAGACTAATTTTATATCACGTGATGTTCTGTGACTGCAGAATTTGGATAAGACCCAGCTTTTGCCAAGATCGCCTCGCCCAAGGAAAAAGATACTGATATCCCTAAAGAGAGGTAGGTACCACACTAGAAAGGGAGCTTCCACAAACCAATACACAGTTAACTGTAACCTAAATAAAATAGCATTAGCCGGAAATATCCACACCATATGCCCAGAGGTTCAAATCTTCGTGTAAAAATTTCAAATTTCTTAAGTTTCTTCTTCGTAGCAGGGGTTCAGATCCAGATAATCGCGTTTTTGTTTCCAGGAAGATATAAAAGAAAGTATAAGTAGGTTGAGCAGGTGAAAGTATATATAAATTTCAAACAACCATACAAAAATATATAATTTTATCCCGTTTCAAATACGTACATTGTAAAGAGAAAAAAAGAATAAATACAAAACATATATAATAAACCGAAGAAGGGGAGGCGGGGCTGTTCTCCACTTCCTCTTCTCGAAATACATAAACAAGAAGAATAAAGGCACGCGAGCAAATAACAAAGGATAAAAAGCGCTTTTCGCGTGCACATATTTGTCGTATGAACACATTGAGGCCGGGTTTTAACCGTGTTGGTGTGTTTCCGTCCGTTTGAAAGACGGAGTAAATACAACGATTGTGGGTGGTTATTGAATTTTCACAAATTGCGCAGAGGGCTGGTGGAGAGTAGGTTTGAAGTGTGAGAAGGAGGGAGGTAAGGATGGATGAATGGGTGTATGTATGTATAACTATAGACATGAGAAGTGCCGACTCTCTGGATCTCTTATTCCTTTCGGAAAAGAGTGTTAAGGGAAGTGGCCAAGAGCAAGCGAAGGTGCAGGTAAGGAATCAGCGCGAGCTGTACACAAAAAAAGCGCAAGGAGTTACAAAGAAGAAGAAAAAAGGGTGAGGGAGGGAGAGAAAGCTGCTACCACGAGAAACTTTCCTCCAAGAAATCAATATGGCTCCCGGATTGCCTCGTGCGGCATACTCGTCGGACATCATCGCTCAAGCTACCCGTGCCACACACAAGTACACCCATAGCCCCTACTTGGTTTTCTACTTCGGCATCGACAAGTGTTGGAATATTCGGTTTGCCAGGGAACATCTGCACGGTTGAGCTGGGGCTGTGAATCTCGCGTGTGTTGCGTGGTCGAGTGATGAAAAGCAAGATTCGAAGAACATCGCGGCGCCCTTCCATAGACAAGATGCTGTTCATCCATGGGCGGATCCATTCAAGGTGCTCTGGTGATTGGATGATCCACACTAAGGTAACCCTTCGAGCAGAAACTGTACCCGCTGCATAGCCTCCAACAAGATAACGGACAAAGGACACATGGTGTGTGATGCCAACACCAGCCGCGAACAACATAACCGTCCCGTACGAGTCTAGGGAGTGGTCAACTCCATAGGGGCCCTCCACCATTGCCTTGAGTGAGATACGACCGTCCCTAGTTGCGCTGGCCTTTTCGAATAAAGAGTTTGTGAATCCAGTTCTTCGACGGATAACCAAAGAGATGCTTGTCTTCTGTGCACTGAGAACATCCTGGCGAGATCTGACAAGGCCCTTCTCATCGGTAAGATCATCTACTGCCTCGCTCCACGCAGCAGTGAAAGGATGAGACATCCAGAAACCAACGGATGGCACATAGAGATAAAGGTGCTGCCCGGGCTTGAATTTCCATGGCCGTACGAGTTTCAACGTGATGCGGAGTGCCTCTCCAGGTAGAACTTCAACATCAGCCGTTGTGCTCGTTTTCTTACCGATGTTCCGGTACAGGAGGAGAGCAAGACGGGTGAAACGCTGCAACATGTTAACGAGATGAACATTTAGGAGACATATGAGAAACGGATGTCAGCATGATAGTCCAACTTACTTCGGCTACCCAGAGGGCGATGGCTGCATAGAGATATTTCCGCGCAGCTTTTGACTTTAAGTGCACACACAAAAAGCCCAAAGCTGCGGCCACAAATAAGATGTGGAGATGCAGGAAGGTCTCATAGAAAGCATGTCGAATCGCAGAAGGTGAGTGCAGTGCTAGTAGCAGGAAAGCAACCATGGCCTAGTTATTGTTAGATTTTATGTTGTGTTTCCTTAGGTACAATATCTATCCCATTGTACTCACAATTAGACCAGTCATGATGAATTGGCCTTTGAAAGATTCTGTAACAGCGTCCCAGCCCTCTATTGCAACTGTTAGTGGCAAGTCATGGTACGTTGTTAAGGAGCTGAAGGGACCAACTTGTATGGACTTTGTTTATCATCCACGCAATGACGTGGGTCAGAGCCTCCAAAACCACGATCCGCGCAAACCAACGGTGTAGAAGATTCCATGTATCGAAAGACACGTTGAGCAGTTTGATGAAAGGGTTATTTCTTCCCCCCATGACAACGAGTGGAATCAAATTAACCACGGCCAGGGTGCCCGAGCGGTTTCTGATGACACCAAGAACAGTCGTTTCGGCTGATGAATATGGGATGTCGATAGAGCAGAGGGTTGCGTTCATAGCAATGATCCCCAAAAGGAGGAAAGTTTGGAATCGGGTAGGAAGAGTTCCAACGTTGACGGCAGCAGAAAGACGGAATTCTCGGTTATGTCGTGTTCGAAATAGAGGAGCATAGACGACAGATTTCTTCAGCCAGGCCCAGTAAGGATCTGCTGATA